ATGACTCCTTCCTTACCATTAGATTTCGCTTCCTCGCTCTACTCGATGCCCCGGGCAGCATCGACCTTTCGCCATTCCTCTTTCTTGCTCATCTTCACGTGACATGTCTACTCATGAATATGGGTTTAACGTCAGCCTGGACGCGGCACTGCAGTAGGGTTAGTACTGGCTGACGGAGTCGCACCAGTCGAGAATCCCCGACACTTTCAACACATCACATCCGAATAGCTCGAATGAGAAACAACTTGTGGCACCTCGGATCTGAAATTTGAGAAGTTAAGAAAAAGGGTTGCGATGAATTTTGACATACCGAGTGAATCCTTGGCCACGGCGAGCCCGCAGGCAATGCGGGTAACAACCAGCCCACAGTATATGCGTACCACGACGAGGAGCCCGCAGGTTATGCGGGGCACGACGGGTCCGCATGATATGCGGGGCACGACGCGGAGCCCGCAGGTTATGCGGGGCACGACGACCCCGCATGATATGCGGGGCAGGTCGAGGAACCCGCAGGTTATGCGGGGCACGACGAGCCCGCATAATATGTGGGCTGCTCGCAACTCGGAGAGCTGCGAGAATGACCAAATTGCAATTCCGCCGGCTATTTATAGTGCCACTGGAGTCGGTGCAAAACTTGCAACGGAGCGCATTTGTCGAAACGAACTACAAATCTAAGCCAAATCATCGCATATTCTCTTAGGTTAGCACACTCTCTGATCCGCTTTCTCGGTCGACGCTGTTTTACGGTAGCACGTTTGCTATTAGGGCGGACATGCATTATGAGTTCATAGTTTGAGATTTAAGGTACCATTTTGTTTAAAAAATAACCTTTTCGGCGTTTGCCTTCATGTCCAAAACCGTTGAATTTGACCACCAGTGGATTTAAATTTGAGAATTTTGTGGGAATGTGTTTTTAAATTTCCCCGTTAACCCTTTACTTGAAATTTTTTGAATTTTTCGCGAAAACTTTTTTTTCAACTGTTTAAAATAGTAGTTTTCAGTCGTATAGCCAGCTTCCAACGGTTTCACTTCGTAACAAATCTCAGCAATTAAACTTCCTCTTCTATCCACGTTGTTTCACCAACAGTTGGTTTTAAACCACAAACTTTATGTCTCCTTCTCTGTGCTTCCTCATTAATGTTTTTAGCGGAATTGTGATTATCACAAAATATTCTCATAACAAAAAGAATAAAAAACAAATTTTGAAAGGATATAATTTTTGCAATGTTCTAATTTTTCAAGGCTCTCTCAAATAATTATATTTTTGTAGAAGCCTTCAAATGACATATTTGCTGTCAAGAATCAGCTGCTCAAGAAAAAACAATCAGAATGCGAATATTTTCGAATTAGGAAAAATTTTTTTTAAGGTAATCGTATCATTTTCCGAAAATCGCTTAAATGTCTATTTGAACATCGGTTGTGAAATCACTCATTATTTTTATCAAAACGCAAGTTTGCGGTGTTTGGTGATCTAAATAAGTGTAATTTATCATTTTTATAAAAAAAACCTTCAAATGATGGCACCATATCGAACATCATGCTGTCGCGTATCCACGACCACTAAAAACTTGATCATCCCAGGCCTGTTTTCATATGTTGATGTACTTGCCCCCACTTTTACTGAACATTTTTGCGGTAACACGTTTTCTGGATGATCGAGATCCAATGCAGTTAAAAATCGCAAAAACTCAACAATATTGGATTTGAAAATTTTAGAAAAAAAATTTGAAGAATTATGTGATTTGAGGTAGAATAGTAGAGTTTTCGAAAAATTTAAGGATATTTTTTCAATAAGACATGTATAAGGCAATCTGAGTTATTTTTCACTATGATAAAATCCGTTTTTTTATACTATGAATTTTGAAAATACCACTTTTTGGACTTAAGTATACCAGATTTTTCAATTACTTATGACCTGTAGAGTGTTCAACAAGCACGCCCACCCGAATCAGTTATTATTCACTTCCTTTCTAAATATCGAAATTCTCATGTCATCAACAATTCGTAACAAAGAAATTTTTCCGTTTGACGTCAGCGAAATAATGTGAAAACAGTAAAAATGGATGTTTATGCATAAAATGTGACGTCAAAGAATTGTAATAAATTAATTTCCGCGGATTTTAATTAAATTTCGAAGAGGCATATAAAGCGAGCTCTAGAGCTATCGAGAGAATGATGCCCGTCAACAAAAAATCCCACCCCAAAATTATTCACGTGCAGTTTTCTGCTCACTTGAGGCTACCATTCTAAATTTTAATTTCTTCGAATTCTCAACCTTAAAGTAATAGACAGAAGAAAATGTCATTTTTTTTTATTAGCATAATTTTGGCGACTGTACTACAGTAAGCTGTCTAATTGCTCTAGCATTAGCTGAAATTCCCATCACTCAGACACTGGTTAAACTAGCTAAAATTTCAATTATTCTTGATTAGAGCCACTTTCGAATATTGCTGCGGAGGCAAAATATTATTGCCGTTTACTGTCTGCATCGAATCGATCACATAAAATTTACGGTCTTCGCTGACGTGTCGTTGGAGGAAAAGACGCAGCGAGCCGCTCATGCCAGCATCGTCGTCGTGTACTGTGCTGACGTGGCCATTCCCATACTGCGACGGTATAAAAGGAGCTCGTTTTGCCCAAATATTCAGTTCGCCTTCAATATCTTGCCTTGCTCCCCCGCTCCATGCGCTCATCTTCTTTCATCTTGTTTTTCCTAACAGTAAGTTGATAGCTGCATTTTTCAGATGGTGTGATCTCAACGGTGGGCGCGACTGGCGAGCAACGTCGTCGTGATAGTTCTACACAAGGCACAAAAGATTCACCGATCAAATGAAACCAAAAAAATGAGAAATGGACATCACACATCCTTTCTGAACGAGGTTGGTCAATCTTGAAATGATCTCTGAAAGATGACCTGGAATAATTTTAGAGAATCATGGATTTCGTAGCTTCAACAATTACTAATAGAGAAGGCGCAATTTGTCGTCTTTCAGAAATCCGAAGTCTAGTAGCTCTCATTTGAATGGTACGTCATCTAAGAAAATTTTAGAATTTAGATCAGCAAAAAAATGTTGGTTGATTATTTCAAAAACATCTAGTCACATTCTACGTGATAAAAAATCGAGAACCGAATCCATAAACTGTTTATGATGGATTCTAAAAATTTTATTTCAGAATCGAGAGCGACGCATACTTCCTGGTTAAATTCTCGAAATCTTTCTTCGCGCCGAAATCAGTCAACAATTAAACGAAACGTAAAAAATGCTTGGATCATCATCATATATATTTAGCGCAAGGGATCATTGAATTCTGGATTTTCGCCACACAGTGGGAACCTATAAATTGTCAATTGGGCACCATTATTTTTTGACTTCAAGCATATATCGAAATTTTCTATCTTCTCCCTCCACTTTCAAATCAATTTGAAACCTTTTGTTTTCAACCGCATGCATTTCTCACCACGAGAGGTGTAGAGAACAATCAATATTGTGGATGCCGGCGGAATCGAACGGCATCCGAAATCGGCATAACATGCTGATTTGCTTACAAATTTTGGTTTCGCAGTAGTTAGTTATAATGTGTTAAGGTCTAACCAATATGCTTTATGATATTTGTCAAATGCGCCCAAAGCAATTGCCCACTTTCTTTGCACATGCTAATTGGAAATTATTTTATTTGGAAGGTTCGTCAATTCCATATTTGTTGGCTTCTTGTCTATCTGGAATAACTTATTTTTCTGCCACCACCCACGCCCAAAAATTCGTATTTGGAACTAAATAGCAATATCTGTCATCGTCCCATATATTTTTGTCATGATCCATACTTATTTTTATGTTTTCCTTTATTTTGTCACATTTTCATTATAATATTTCGACACCATTCCATACTATTTTTGGGAAATACAAACCACTTCTTTTATTTGTTTCCTTTATTTATTTTTTTTTCAATCCAAGCTCGTTTTATTGTTTCTCGAAATTCGATTAGGATAATTGCTAAAGCTTCACCAAAAAAAAAACAATTCAAATCTAAAAAAAATCCTACGAAACTTTAGCATTTTATTCCTATTTTCGCGTAAGTATTATGTTGACTATGTGCGATCGTTTCATTTGATTGGTGTGACTTTACTGCCTTTTAATAAATTAATCAGGCAAATTAATGAAGAAAACATACATGTGATTTGATAGTGTGACTGATGTGTGCACTTATAAAATAGAAGATTTGGAAATTGTAGATCGCCATTGCACGGGTGAGTTGGATTCAACTCAACTGATACAGATGCTGTTTTCAAAAAATAGTACAGAAGAGACCAAACAATTCAAGACTTTTATTAGAAACCTTTCAAATTGTCAAAAATACGCATTGATAGCGATTTCTCAAATTTTGATATATGTTAAATATTTCAAAGTGATGTGAATCAAAAAGATGAAAATTTAATTTCTTATAATGTATGCAATTAACAGAAAAACAAAATGTGTCGAGTTAAAACGCTTATTTATCTTAAGTTCCGTTTTTTATATAAAAATTATATATAAATCATATATAAATCCTGAACAAACACACCTATGAAATAGATACAGATTCGATACCTTTTCCAGAATTCAGATCACTAACGAGGGCGGGGTATGTTTTTCATCTCACGCAATAAATTTAGTTTTAGCACGGTTTTATAAATTTATAAGTCTACTTATTTTTTAAATATAATGCCATAAATTATAAAATATTAGTTCAATTTTTTGATGCTGACACTATTCCTAATTAAGTTTAAATTATAATAAATTTTGAATTTACCAAAAAAAAGCTTCCTTCGCAGACTTACAGTGAAATTTGTATAAACACCATTTAAAAGGGTTCACAATTACTCAAAGTGTTTTTTTACGGTTATAATAAATTGAATAATTAATACTGGGGATTAAATTTTTTTCGAATTCTCAATTATGTTTCCGTCCGGTCTTTGGATTATATTTGTGAAGAAAAGATTGCATCATTTGTCTCCGAATAAATCAATCAGAGTCCAGTGCCACCAAGTCCTAAATATTTGAGCGCATTAATTGATTTGCATAATAAATTTACCTTAACCGCGGATTCAATTTCAAACGATCTTCGGTCATCTGCTATCTTGTTAAAATTCCAATTGTACTCATTCCACGGTTCAGGTTCATCAAAGTCGTCTTCTTCGTCCTCGACATAGTCGGATGTGTAAGCACGAATCCATTTGAATTTCTTTTCGATCGGTTCCAAAGGAAGATATGGATCATTTCTTCTTTTCATATCGAATAGTTCCTCAGCTATTGCCTTTTTGAATTGGTCTACATATGGAAAACCTTCATAGTAGCCGTACTGAAATTTATTATATTAATATTGTATCATATTAATAACAAAACGTACCGCAATGAGGTCTGCAGAGGTCACAACAGGATGCTCAACCAAATCTATTTTTGGTCCTAGTGCTAACTGTAAATATACGTAAATTGATAATAATTAATATACTGGGTTGCTCATAGCGTATTACACCAATAATAATAAATACACAGAATCAATTATGATAAAAAAATTTACATTCTAATTATTCATATTTTCGGATCCCTTGGTATTATTAGTATTATTAATGGCAACTAATCACATTTTGGCAACAAAATTCAGAAAAGGACATTACCACTTTGCTCTCAAATACTTCTGGCCACATGATCAACCCTTGATAGTCATCAGGAACGTCGTCATATATATGCGCTGCCGAAACATCCTCTGGGTCACCACGATGATGATTATAGACAGAAGGGCGCTGTCTGCTGAAAATTTTAATAAAAAATTAATATATATAATATATATATATTCAAAAAATCAAAAATTACATGCTAACGTTCTCCTTGATTCTTATAACTTTCACTTTGTCATTCTCAATATTTTCGGTGAGTTTGCTCATGTTTCCCACTGAAATTTTGCTCTGCAAAAAATTCAATACATAAAAAAATGTGTGCGGCGGAAATAGCGGGTAAACCGCGGCAATGTATCATGTGGAACATCGTATAGGTCCTACAACATTTATAGCAATAATGTTATAAAGTCGATTGATTCATTCGAATTGCTTAAAGAAATAGTGAGCTTCCAAGTAAACTATATAAATAAATGTATTGAATCTAGAACAATAAAATTATTAAACTATTTTATTTTTTGAATCAAAAAAATTTGTTGAAATAGAATTATTGAAAAAATCCATAAAATGAAATGAGAATCACTAAGTCGTAATTTGTCAGCGTTGCCATGCAACCTCCGTTGTTATTGGAGATTATAATCTATTGTGCCTCACAATTTTAGCGTTATATACGAACTATGAGATGAGCGAAGTTACAATAGAGTCGGTGAATAACTAACTTGTGAGGTATATGTACATACAGGCAAACAGTTTGTGAAAAAAAACACTAAAAATGGATTATAAAATAATATGGAGACTATTTTTGGAATCATCTGCAAAATTATGACAACTTTTTAAAGAGAAAATTTATGAAATGTGGCAAGAAGTATTGTAGTTTCTGTACTCAGAAATACCGTAGGAAATACCCAAATCAATTTTTCGTTGTCAAAAAATGTCAAATTTTTATTTATATTTCTTAAAATCGAAGATTCAACAGATCAACTCGGCTTGTTCTTTTACTACAAGTCAATACATTCCATTCTTCGGGAAAATGACCTTGAATTTCGATAAACATACCGTTCAAGAATTCCATTGATCAAAAATTTCAACTATATTCTTACGATTATCGTTTTTTTCAATTAACACATTTTCCTTTTTTTCGAAGAGCGCTGCATTTTATACATTCGATTAGTTGGGTGTTTAAAAATATGTTTTTCTTCAAGGCTTTAATATTTTCCATCTCTCAGACAAATGTAGACATTCAATAGTTCTTATTTGAACCTGAAACTTTGGTTAATCCATACAAGAGTACATATTTTTGCTTTCAAAGACAAATAATTGCTGTGTGTCTGTAGCCGCAACAGGGTAGAATGTGATTATATTTTATGGTCAATTTGTAGTTTGTGTTCGATAACGATTCGAACCAGTTCAACGAATGTATATAAAGAACAGCAAATTTCATTCTGTTTCACTATTCCCAAGTTTATTTCATATTATTTTTTTATTTCACAGGAATTAATAATGGGTGGATATTTGTCTCATTTGACGCCAGAAGTAGCAACTCACACATTGGATGCCTCATGTGGGCCAATTCGTGGCAATATTTACAAACATGTATAATGGGCAATATTCAATTCAGTGAATAATTAGAGTTTATAGGGAGACAAAATCGTTGAAGGCTATCTGGGAATTCCGTTTGGAAAGCCGCCCGTTGGAGAATTGAGATTTGCGGTATAGTAACAATCAATACAGTATTTATTTTCTTTTGTTATTTTTCACCTTTCCTACTTTTTCGTCAGTTTTTCCAATTGAAGGTAATTTCTCAATTTTTTAAGATGTGTTGAGTTAAAGGGTTTTTTAAACCTAAAAATAAGAATTTAACAACAATGAAAATTTCAAGAATATGTAATTTGAAAAATTTGAAAAATCCACAATTCCGAATATATCAAATCGTATTTACGATGTTATTATTTTATGAAAAAAAAAATTAAATTGTTTTCAATATAGACGACACCTCTTTATTTTTCAGAAACCAGTGCCATGTGATAAATGGGATGAAGTCAAAGACTGTACTTCATATGCTCCAAAATGTCCGCAGAATATTTTGGTAATTAGTGAAAAAACGTTTTACCCGTGTTATTTCAATTTTAATCAGAATCCGCTACATCCTTCCAACGTTTCGGAAGATTGTCTAGCCCTGAATGTATTCCGACCGGCTTGGGAATCAACAGAATTCGCTTCGCAAGGAAGGCCAGTAATGGTTTACGTTCACGGTGGAGCGTTCGAATTTGGAGCTTCATCGGATTATTGCGCTTATTCAATAACTGGGTAAATTTAAAATCAAATTTGATTCCAATCGTTAAACATTAAGAACGCTGCCGTTAAAGGATGTGGTTTTTGTAACAATACACTACCGATTAAGCGTTTTTGGATTTTTAACAACAGGCGACGAGAATTGTAAAGGAAACTTTGGTCTTTGGGATCAAACGTTAGCTTTAAAATGGATTCAACAACATATTAAATCGTTTGGTGGAGATCCAAACAATGTTACCGTGTTTGGGCAAAGTGCCGGCGGTGTGTCCGTCGATTTTCTTTCCCTCAGCCCTCATTCTAGAGACTTGTTCCATAAAATGATACCAATGTCTGGAGGTGCTGGATGCGAGTTTGCAATGAGAACTGCCGAGAGGCAGGCTCAAGTATTTGTTGAATATGCCGAATTTCTGGGATATAAAGGATCAGGTAAACTGGCTGATATCGCGTGAAGTTTATACATACATATATTATAGGCGACAGCAAAGATCTCCTGGAATGGTACAAATCAGCACCAACAGAATTGCTCGCGAGTCATAAAACGTTTAATAGGAAAACTGTTTCCGGTTTTCTCACATTTGCTCCAAATATGGACGGCGACTTCTTTCCAAAACCATTAGAGCAACTTAGAAAAGAAGCTCCAAAAAAACCAGCGATCGTCGGAATATGTGAACAAGAAGGACTTGTGCTATGTATGTTCCAATTTTTTGGGACAACTTGAAAATCTGTGTCAATTTAGGCTACTTTATCGCTCAGAATCAAGGAAATACGTATGATATGTTCAAAGGCAAAGTGCAACAAACATTTGGGGAAGACATTTTCGATAATCCGGAGCAAATCCAGCAAAAAGTTGTCGATTACTATATGAAAGGAATCGATCGGACAAATGAGGAGGAAGTCAAAAAGGGTTTCTCTGCATTTATTGGTGACGCGCTATTCAACCAAGGCGTTTTTGAAATGGTCCAAGATCTTACCAAAAATGGAAATCAAGTCTTCTATTACAACTTCCGATATTTCAATCCGGAAAGCTTTGGAATTTTGGAATCATTGATTCCATTTAAAGGTAACACAATTTATTTATTTGTTTTCCTATTGATATTTTCAGCTGCTACTCATTGCACAGATCTTCGTTATGTACTTGGAGAAGGAGTTTACAGCAAGTTCGAACCAAATGAGGATGAATACAAAGTTCTTGAATTCATGACAACCACTTTCACCAATTTTGCGAAGACTGGGTACCATAGTGTTGAAATTATTCAAAATTATTCTTTAATTTTCAGAAATCCCGAAAACCCTGACTGGCAGCCATACAGTTTGGACAAGCCGTACACCCGATTCTGTATTAATCTTCCAAAGTCTCATATGATTGATGTATTTGACAAAGAGGGCCTCAAATTTTGGAAAGAACTTAACAAGGAGAATAAGATGTATAATGAATTGAGATATGGAAAATAAATAAAGCTTTATTCTGCTTACACATGGATGATTTCGAGTGCAAAGAATGTTTGGTTTATTAGTGATTTACAGAAGCAATGCAACGGTAAATGTAATAATTGTTAGAAGAATGAGGGATACTGATGTCGCAGATTGGGTAGTCGCTTCTAAAATCAAAATTTTTGTCACACATTAAGACTATTTCAAACTATACCATGAGTCGTAGTGGTTGGATTTGCAGAAGATGAGAATTTGATTCTAGTCGTCCTTTGTGGTTCTGCAAAAAATAGGTTACATTATTAATAAATGAGATTTTCAATACCGTTGGTAGCCGAGGTTGCCGTCGAAACTACTTCAGTGGTGTTCGTGTCATCAAATGTCGTTGATTCTCTTGGATTTTCTGTTGTTTCGACTTGTACTGATGTTGTAGTTTGATCACTTGCATTTGTTGAAGTCTGTGATGTTACTATCGGTTGGGTTTCGGTGCTGCCCACTGTCGTTGTAATTTGTTGAGTCGTTGAAGAAACAATTTTAGTTGTCGCCGGCTGATCTGTTGCTGAAGTAGTAGAAGCCCTAGTTGTTGATTCAATAGTGGTAACGGCTACTGTCGATTCAAACGAATTTGTAGTTGAAACTTGTTCGGTAGTCGAAATATCAAACGCGCCTGTTGTTCTTGTATGATGCGTCGCTTCAGAATTAACTTTCGTCGTAGAATAATCAACACTTGCAGTTGAGACATCAAATGAGCTGGTAGTTGAATCTGGAACAGCAGTGTCGGTCGAGGCAGGATTTTGAGGAGTACTCCATCCGTTGGACGTGGATGGCGCATCAGTTGTTGTCTTGAATTCGGTTGGAGATGCGGTGCTCTGGGTGGTCGTAGAATAATCAACGCTGGTGGTTGAGACGTCAAATGATCTGGTAGTTGAATCTGGAACAGCAGTGTCGGTTGAGGCAGGATGTTGAGGAGTACTCCATCCGTTGGACGTGGATGGCGCATCAGTTGTTGTCTTGAATTCGGTTGGAGAAGCGGTGCTCTGGGTGGTCGTAGAATAATCAACGCTGGTGGTTGAGGCGTCAAATGATCTGGTAGTTGAATCTGGAACAGCAGTGTCGGTCGAGGCAGGATTTTGAGAAGTACTCCATCCGTTGGACGTGGATGGCGCATCAGTTGTTGTCTTGAATTCGGTTGGAGAAGCGGTGCTCTGGGTGGTCGTAGAATAATCAACGCTGGTGGTTGAGGCGTCAAATGATCTGGTAGTTGAATCTGGAACAGCAGTGTCGGTTGAGGCAGGATGTTGAGGAGTACTCCATCCGTTGGACGTGGATGGCGCATCAGTTGTTGTCTTGAATTCGGTTGGAGAAGCGGTGCTCTGGGTGGTCGTAGAATAATCAACGCTGGTGGTTGAGGCATCAAATGAGCTAGTAGTAGTTGTTGAATCTGTGACAGGAGCATCTGTCAATGCAGTGTTTGGAGCAGTGCTCAAAGTCTGCGATATTGGCGGAGTTTCATTTTCGCTATAAGCTGTTAACGTGTGACCGATTTCATCCAGCCTTTTGTATGTAGACGTATTCGTTCTTGGTTTGTCACTAGTTTGATCAACGGCATTATTACCAAGTTGAGATTCCGCTTCAATAAAAAATTATGAATCGATTAATAAATAACATGTTAACAAAGTGAAAATAAAAAATTTAATTTCACAATGATATTTTTATGTTTACTATATGGCTAATCCTTACCAAGAGTTTCTTGGACGACAGCGAATGCTGAAAAAAGCAAAACCAAGCATAGATGGCGCGTGCTTCGAATCATGATTTCGGAATGAAATGACGATTTTCACCTTCTTATACTCATTACGCAACGCTTTTTTTCGTTTTCCATACATTGAACCCCGCCCATTTAAGGAATTCCTCCTTATCGAATGCGTTAAGACTCTTATAATAAGAAAATCAAGTCACAAAGTTTTCATTCTTTCTGGCTAAATTTTTGCGATTACTGGGAACAGATAATAAAACATAAAATTGGTTTACGAGTTACCGCGCCGAATTTACGATTTAAGTTATACCTCACCCTTTAGATATCAATATATTGTTGTTTACATTCCATCGCGGTGAATAGAAACGTTGCAAGCGAAAATAAAATGATGAACGCTCAAGAAACATGAAGAATCGTATTAAATTGATGGAATGAAACTTCACATCAAACAAATTCATCATTGTTATTTGAGAAATACTTAAAATATCTCAAAACAGCTGTACTACATCACAATCGTGCATAATATTGATATATGAGCAGAATGCACAATGAAACCGGAAAAAAGCGGTGGGGCGGCGAATTTCGAAAAATTGACATAATTCCCGGTTCTTCAATGTCCTGTTATAAAGAGAACGTTCACCAATTATAGTTACAGTATGTCGGATTATAATTAATTAATGTCTAATAAGCCAAATGCTTCCTCAAAAATATAATTCCACATATTGAAAACAAATGGATGATGGAGTAGATTTAAAACTATGGTAAATGGTTAAATAATATTTACAGAAAATACATGGTATTATTCAGATTTTTGAAAAATAAAATTCAATTAACTAGTAAAAATTAGCTACTTCTGTAACCTCTCGTTTTCAGAGCTTTTCAAGTGTTTTTTTAAACTATTTCGTAGAATTGTTTCCAAAATCTACGTACTACCGAAAGACTATTTGATTCATTAAAAAAATTGATGTCTACTTCAATACTTTTTTGTTTGCTTAAATAATTCGATATTGAAAAATATTTATGGATTTCCATTCATTTGAAAATTTAGGGAAGTCCCCCGGAGCATGACGACATCTCGATTTGCAATCTTTTTGCATCGCTTCACTGATAACATAAGAACCATGTAATACCTTGCAAGAGTAACAAGGAAAATTATTGAAAGTGAGTTTTAAATGATACTTTTTCCGAAATAAAAATTCGGAAAGCAACACATTTTTTCTCAATTTTCTAAGAATTCCATGATTGACTTACATTAGCAATACACTCAAATAAAATCGTAAACTATGTTTACATTCATGATACGTTTACAGCATCAATGCTTTTGTTGATTTTGCTTAGAAAAATTATGTCATTTCAGCAACAAAAATATAAAGCAAATTTATTTTAGCATGATGATCAAGGGGGTGCACATTGCAAGAAGAATTGTAATAGAAGACGTCAACGATGTTGTGCTTTCTGAAATGACATTAATAGACTTACTCAAATGAATGAAAAATTAATAGGTTAACCATTTCGTGTCAAGACCCTCGTAATTTTCTTATTTGTAAATAAACGGCGAACGCGTTTTTTTTTGTAACCTTTAACAATTATGAATAGGAAATTTAAATTAAAAATAATTGTTTAAAACATTTTTTCCAATGCATGAATATGTCGATAACCTTAAAAACCATATTATTCGTCACCTACGAAGTGTCAAAGTACTGGAGTCGGGAGCGAGAGTTGTCGAGTTGATTGTAACTGGACTTGGTAAAGTGGTCGAAACTTGAGTTGAATTGTCAGCTAACGCCGTAACGGCAAAGACGAATAAGAGGACGGCAACGATAACTACTTTCGAGCTCATTTGTAGCTGATGAAAATGATTAAAACCATCTAGTTTTATAGTAGAACTATATCAAATTATTGATAAGCACGACCAATCAAATGATGCGCTGATTCATAATTGAACAAATTATTCAAAACCTTGTGTGAAGGAAGTGCCACACCTTAATCATCAGTTTATGCGATAAGGACTTGCAAACATTAGCAACATTTTGGTCGAGGTTTTGGTCCTATTAGGCATTCTGCTATCGGATCCTGAGCATAATTTGAAAAATAAACAATATTTCATTCCAGGAGAAAAAAAACTCAGATTGTTGATTATTTTTATTGGTAAGGTTTATATAATATGCCAATGATTGCGTATTAATATTTATACTTTTGAGCCACTTTTCACAGTTCGCATTATGACCATTGAAGGGCTCTGTGCATTTTTCGAACAACCGAGCCATGTTTTCAAAGCATTCCTTATCTATATGAAATATATAGAATGACTCAGCATCTGTGATGTTCTTACTGTATTACTGGCGCACAATAATATCCATGGAGGTGAAATTGCCAACAAATCATTAGCATATGGGGCGATTTCGAAAAAGAGATTGGACAAAGGTTTAGTGTGTAATGGATCTTCAGCGGTAGTTTTATTTAATCCATACTAAAATATGTATATTTGATTCATTACTGTGTTATTTTACTTACTGTTATCGTGAAAACAACACATTGTGTCAAAAAATAGCAGAATGAGACCAAGAATAACCTTCGAGTTGTTCGATTTCGACATGAGAGTTTCATGGAATTGATTTGGTAGAAGCATAAGGAATTGAGAATGATGTTAAGAATCACTATAACGATCATCCATGTTAGAAGAATGTGAGATATTCCGAGGAGATCAGCAGCGGTTTGTGTAAAGTAGGTTTTTGTGATCTTGCTGAATACAAAGTAACTCGGCTTGAGAAGAAGAGGTAGATTGTGTGGTAGTGAACCAATTGTCATAACTATCACAATCGGGTAGAATCCATATTTCCAAATCTACAATTCAAATTTCAGTTGATTTGCAAATCTGGCATTGTTTGCTAATTATGGAAACTCTTACTTTATCATACCATACTGAAAAATATAGCATTGTAAATCGATTGATTGAAGTCAACAGAACAATTCCTTGATTAACAAACGCCGTGTAATATACGAGCATGTGGCTCAATGACAATGGAATGAAATTGTTGTCTGGAGATGATATTGAATCCATAAACCCAGAAAGAATACTGTCCTTGCCAACTGATATTGGAACTCGAAGAAGGCCAAAGAATGTAACGTAAAGTAAACAATTCTGAACTCATTGTACTTTATAAACTCTGAGGATTTTGTATTATCACCACAATATATTGAAAAATGAAAATTCTGAAAAAATGCGAGTCGAATAATTTCCAGTTTTTGATAATAAGTAATACTATCAAGGTGTATAAAATTAGAGAAACACTACCATACGTAAATTGAATAAGTAAAAGAAGCAATGGCGCAATCATCTGCAAAAAAAAAATTGGGACATTCAGTCTAGTATTCGATGGATTTAAAAGTTAAAAGAAATAGTTCCTGTTCTGTTTACCCATTTCATATGATTTATTTATTGTCGTTAAAAAATTTGAAAATGCGTCAAAATATGAACGTTTGATATTACTCTTCTTATATGCTAAGGGTCAGAGATGTATAACAAAATTGGGACCAATTCAATTACTAAAATTTTGTAGGCGATTATTCGGATAAATATTTAGCTATTAATTGAGTTATCACATCGGTTTTCAACAAATCCAGAAAAATGTAGAGAAAAAAAATCAATGAATCTATTACAAGTATGATTGACAAATTATCCGTAGTTTCTACAGTATATTTTCCATCACATCCTAAAATAAATACGATTGTCCACAATTACGCAGGGTCCTTTTTTCGATGTTAATTTTTTGAGGCATCGAATGAGGAAACAAACATAATTCACGTAGAGAGTTCCAAGGTTACTTATGTTAATATGTATAAATAAATGTTCAAAACTTGATCACGCATGGGAATTTATGTGTATTAATAACAAATATGAATAATAATTCATTTAAAGCTTGTAGTTGTAGTGACGCACGAGTTAATATATAAACTCAATAGAAGCTTGATTGGGAATGCGAAAATGGACTTTTCAATCGTTCAACGATTTGTCTGCCAATTTTCTAAATCAAATCTGACGCAACAATAATTTCAGATTGAAACAGGGTATCGATTTATGATAATTGGATCCCAATAGAATACGAATTGATTGCGTATTCTGGGTAGAGCCTATGAAAACTCCTTAGCCAGTCTGGAAGAAAAGGAAAAATGAGCTGATGATGAGATGAGCCATATCGAAAAATTGAAAATTGCTCCTAGCTGAAACTCGGAAAGTAGGTCATTAAAAGAAGCTATCATTCAAGCAGTCCCAAAATTCATTGCCCGACTCAAATTATATTTGCGAGGGGTCTTACAAGTGACTTTTACTCTGAAATTCTAAGCACTTATTTCCAGCGTTTATTGATCACGAAACCACTTCCTTAAATATTCATTTCTAATAAAATATTCTTAATATATTTGTATTACAGATTACCATATCACGACCCATAGATAATTTTTATCTGAACACAAATAATCATTACCGAAGGAACAATGCATAATCGAAAAATGACACTGTTGAATTAGAGAACAAATAACGAGTGCAATGAAACAACACCTTGTCCAAAAAAAGGTGCGAATTACACGTATTAACAACGATATATGTCATGCACCTTTAGAACAGACGCGCGAACAAAGCGATGTTGATAATTGCCGCCATTTATTGATTACTATAAGTCACATTAATACGAGTTTCTCAAAAACTGCGGTTGCCTTTACAATTAGCATAGATTTCTTCAATCAGCTAAAAAATTATATAGCGTTTGTTAAGTGACAATAATATTCGCACCATGCCGTGTCGGCATTCAAAAATAGTGCAAAGTATATCTATTAACAGTAATGTACTACGCACATTCTCTAACAATGCGCACATTAAATATTGAGAATTGTCAGCGCGTAAATTATTTTTATCCTGTCTAATTTTTGTTTTTTATTTTGGTACCTATACGCTTATTCGGAATTGTTGACTAGTCGCTATCACTTGAAAAATTAATAATACTATTTCTTTTTATAGAAATTTTGGTTTTATTTTAATCGTCATAAACCTTTTAGTTTATTTATTTTCTTATATCCTTTACAACTCTCCAAACAAATTCTTAGTTTTCTCACCTAAATACATTTTCATGAGTTACCATTATCTTGTTAGATGAGAACCAATATTGTCATGTGAATACAATTTGTTATTCATCGAACCATCTCGAATAGTCTCGGTGCCGTATGATTTTTTAAATTACGCTGCGGGATTAATGAAAAAAAGAATTTCTCGATATGAACTTGACATTTATAATTAATAACAAACTTTTTAATTGATTATTCCTATAATTTTGTTTGTTACGAAATAAAAGTACAGAAATCTATTTTTTCTGAGCAACTTCACTGCATTATCAAATGAAATTGATGATTGATTGTCCATTTTTTCCTTTTTAATATCATAATTTCTATAATATTGTAATTTTCATTAATTTTTGCAGAAATGAATGAAACGCAAACCTTGGCTCGATTTCGCGAGACATTTACCTACCGTGAGCATTTGTTCTACGTTGTTACCAAAATGATAAACGAATTCGCGAAGATTCGAAACCGAACGCGGCCGGCTGAATATGAAGACCTCGACAATTATTGCCTAATAGAGGTTTTGCGTTTTTTAGAAAGGCATCCGGGATTCGAATTCGGCAGGCAAGCATACCTTTGGGTCCTAGGCCATTACTTGGAACTTGAAAGTCAATTGGAAGACGAGGAGGACGAGCACGAATGTGAAGAATATAGGGCCGAGCTCACTATTGCGCTGATGAAGCGTTTTCGCGAATTTGAGCATGGCGTCGACGATCACGGAATTTTCAGACCTATTTCTGACGAAGAATGATTTAAACAAGGTAATACTCTTTTTTGGCTCAATCTTAAAGCCTAATTTTCAGAAGTGTTAAATCGATTTGCAACGCTAAAAAAACAATCAGCGAGTTTTTCTCTAAATTTCATTGGTTCTAATAACTGCTAATCGCAAATTTTTCCACAATAAACTTGTTAATAACATGATTTCATTTACACTGTATAATGTTATTATGTATATTGATTATATTGATTTAATAATATATTGATTTAATTTAACTTGCAGAAAATCCTTTTTTCTTATTATTTGGTTCAATCATGTGAGATCTATTCGTATGTTTCGAGGCGTTCAATTGTAAAATTGATTTTAATCTCAGTTTGCACTAATCAATTCATATCAACACCTGAAAATGATCGTATTGTTTTTTACCTTCTCTATGGAATTTTCGGGTTCATTCTGCAGAAGAAATTGGAATAAAAACAGCAAAACAGAATTCTACGGTAAACGGAAATGATTGTTACATGTTGGACAGATATAATATCGCAGGACTCAAAATTTGCTTTTATTAAAATGCCAATGTATTTTTAATTGGAAAAATCCATTTGAAATGAAATTGACACAAAAAATGATCGAGTTTATTAGCAAAATAAAGAAGAAAGGAATTGAGGATAAGTAGAAACCATTAAAAAACCAGAAAATAATTAAAGCTATTATATGCACCATTAGCTAGATCTTTTTTTTTTGATTAGTTTCTTTTGCGGTAGACGAAATCCTTGTCGAAGTATCCATCGACATAGTCCGGATGGTATTCGATTTTTGGTCCATTGATATCCCCAGGACGCGGTGGGTAACGCGGCGCTCTCTTCTCGTCTTGCTGATGGGTTTCTTCGCCGATAAGCATGACCCCAGTGGAATTCCCATTTCTTGCGTACTCCAGTTGGGTTCCGCCGTCTCGCGCGGGTCCATGATGCAACAACTGCTGGAGTATGTCTCTGACTCGCCCATCTTCCATCCAATGTTGCTGAATTGGTGCAATTCCCGACAGCGTTTCGGCCAACTGACGATAGATTCTGCCATTAGCCTGTCCGTCTCCCATCCAGCGCTGCGGCATTCCACCATTCATTGTCTGGTTATCTCTCATCATGAGCTGCGCAATTCCGTCATTCATTTCCTGACGTACACCCATGAACGGCTGCTGAATTCTTCCATTCATTGGCGAACCTGTGGCGATCCAACGCGATTGCATTAAGCCCTCCATAGGCGGCGCGTCTCCTCTCATTTGTTGTTGAATTCCACCATTCATCTCTTGGCGTTCTCCCATGAATGGCTGCTGGATTCTGCCACTAGTATTTGTGTCATCCCCTCTCATTTGATGCATGATTAGGTCATTAAGATCGTGACGTTCGCCAAAACACGGCTGCTGGATTCTCCCATTCATTGACGCAGCTTCTCCCAACCAACGTTGCGACATTCCATGATCGATAGTCGGACCATCTCCTCTCACTTGTCGCTGAGTTCTGACATTCATAGCCGGACATTCTCCATTTAATTGATTGAGGAATACTTCACGTCTCATCGAATCATCGGTCAAACAATGAGGAATTCTGTCGTCCATATATGGAATTACGGGTCCCGGTCCAATGGGGAACTGAAACAAGCCATATTAAAACTGGAAAACCGTTTTTCAACAACTACCCGTTGGTCATTGCTTGCTTGCTGTTGAATCTGACGCAAGCGCTCTTCAACCAACATGGCTGTACGCACAAAGTTCTGAAATTAAAAATTGATTCGATATTTCCTTTAATTGCGAATTTACGAGAAAATTCGGATCATTGTTCGCGGTCAAACGTTGTTGGAGATTTTCTGGCTGCTGCTCGTCTTGCTGATTCATTTGCAAAGGATTTGTTCCGAGCTGCGCAGAAATGCGAGCGTTGTTCGTTTCCATCCTGAAATAAAGAGATTACCGATATTGCCACTGCAAAATGGAGAATAAAACTGGCGTGGCACATTTGGCAGTCATTTACCTTTCAAAAATTAACCAGTGGCTCGATTTTCAATAAGATGGTGCGAGATTACATTCATGCGAATTTTTGAGGTTGGACGGGGTGGGAGGGGGGGGGAAAGATCATGCGATAAATAGAAAATTTAAATTACGTCTTCCTCGCCTCCAATCAAAGAAAATGAAGATTGAAGTAGTATTCCTTAATTCAAAATCAGTATTGATTTGTAGAAACCCTGAAATATTAATAGAAAAATCCCAATTAATGTTGGTGCAAATACAGGTAAGGTGATACGACGTGAACGAGAATAAACGAAAATTGTTAGACATTTGCTCATATAACATTCTTTATAAAGCATGCATCATAATACAATTAGTCACATATGTCGCCTGGCCCGTCGGCGTTGTCGTGATCGTCCATTTTGTCGTTGCCAGAATCCTGCTCATCCTCATTAATCTCATCCATCTCACATTCTTGCACTTTGCCGTCATTTTGCTCGTCGCATTCCATGGCTTCTTCGATTTTCGACTCGTCCAGTGGTGTCTGAAACTGAGAACAAATTGTGGAATTGCGAGAATATTTTTTTCATACCGATGGTCGCGAGAATCCCGGGAGCCCTTCGTCGTCGGATGGCGGCAATGGAGAATCTGGACGTTCGATGTCCATGGCAGTTCGTCGTTCCTTCTTCTCAGCGAAAACTGCAAAAAAACACGAGATGAAGATTTCCTATTTCGCAAACACATTGAGCACATAACATTATCATTTTATTTGGTTTCACGGCAATGTTCGCAAGACGAGCAGAAAATGGAAATGAGTTTTTGAGCACGAATTCGACACGCATTGAAACCAATAAAATTCGCTTAAAAATAAATAAATTGTGAGAAAACAAAACTCATTAACCAAGAAATGTGAAATCGAACGAATCAATTAAGAAGTTTATTAAGCGGAAATGAGAGAATGAGCAAATTCGGATCAATCAACAGCAATTGGCAGAAACAATTCAGCATTATCCAAGGGGGAAACGGCAAAAGATCGGAAAATTCAAAGACACGTCGAGTATATGAAATAAGTGAATCTTTTGCGGAGGGTTTTCGGTTTTTTTTAAAAATTTTTTGACGTATTTTAATTTTTAAAAATATCTTTGGTGTTTTTCGGAATTTTTGAAGTTTTTAATTAAAAAAAAGGGAATTTAAAAAATGAAAAAGAATAATTCGACGGTTCTCAAAATGTGATATTTTTTCAATGGTTTTTTGTTTTTTTTTGCATTTTTGGTTTTTTCTTTAATTTTTTTGGATTTTCGAAATTTTTGAAATTTGAATTTTTTGGTTCAAGATTGTCAAAAATATGAGTGCTATATTCAATTAAACAGGTTTGAGCAACTTTTTTTAAAAAGGCTTTTTTGGTTTTCCGGCTCTCAACTGCTTAATTGATTTACAATAAAAACTGAAAAAAACTACATGGTTTACAATTTAAAAGAAAAATAAAAAGCAATATAACAGGGCGTAATCCACGTATTACGAATATTTCAGAGCAATTTTTTTCGCTCATAAATACTCGCGTTTTGTACTGGAATAGGACTTATAACATTGCTTAAAATAACTGAATAACTGACACATCGCGGATAAACAGATGACAACTAAATAGTAAAGAGCGCTTCTTTTTTGAAATTTTTATGATTATTGGCTCAAAACGATTCAGTTGTCTGACAAAATGAGAGATTTGAACCTGACAAAAATTGGACAATCAGAGTTAAATACGAAAAAGATAAAGATGCTGCTGATTTGCGTAGAGCACTATTTTTTTTTGTTTTTGTTCAATTTTGGCTCTGTACTACTTAAAAGAAATGAATAAGAGCAAAAAATATAGACAGTGTGTTGAACCCATAATTAAATAGAAACGATCACTATTTTTTTGTATTTTTTAAATGTCTTTTTTGGCTCGAATCTATTGAGATTAAAATAGAAACTAAACTACGAAGTTAGATAGCGAGGGAAGGTCGGTCTGGAAGTCTGGAAAAGGTCACCGGGAGGGAGGGGGGTTAAATGTATTGATCTTGAGCACTGTTTTTGTATTTTTTGTTCAAAATTTTTTAAACACATATGAGAACATGACCAAATAGCTTTGTGCCTACCTTTATTTCATTTTCAGTTTTCTTCGCGCAAAGCTATTTGTTCATTTGAATAACATATATGAAAATGTGTTAATTGAAAGACGTCGTCTTTCCACGTTTAAGTATATAGGCCGAAAGGATCTCTGGAATCCCATTCAAAACACAGAACACGTAGAAAGGCGGTTGGATCCTTGAATTTGAACGAACTGGTTGCTCCTTTCCTTTGGACAATTGTTGATGTTTCTAGCTGCTGATTTTGTTATGAAAGCGCTTTCGTTATCCAGATAATCGAAAAGCCAATTTTCCTCGGACTGCAATGAACGGGTTTAATTTGAAGTGTCTGCAAGGTCAACACTAATAAGATGCAGAATGCGCGCTACCGTATGCCTACCGTACCTCGCACGCTGAATTTTAATTTTGTTGTAATTTTTGCGTAATTCCGAAATTGGCGCAACCGCATGGGTGTCAAAAAAAAGTCGCACGAGAGAGCTGGCAGATGTTTGTCGCAAAATTCAAGGCCACCTGTGAAAAATGCGAAACAACTCACATTCCGCCAGAAAATTGGCTCAATTCTTGTTGCGAATGATCATTCTTCGATCTTCACTGATGCTTCTTGGATGCTGTAGAAGAATTTGTTGTATTGATGCCAAACGCAACAGGATTTTTCGATGACTCTAGAATATAATTCGAATTCTTTTTTTTTTTTCGATTGATATAATTAAACCTGATTGATAACGAAAGTGCTTCTCGAATTGGTTGCTCATTCTTGAAGAAGAAAGTACTGTTTGACTATGGCAGCGACGTGGCTGCGAGTCGGTGGAACCCAAATTTGAGTGTCGTTTACATCCTGAAAATTATTAATATGCGGGAATAGTAGTTGGTGGTAAACAAAGAACGCGAAGATTTCATCCAATCTGCCCGTCAAATTGAGAAATTACGTGAAAAATTGGTGAAAAATGAGCGAGAGCGGTGAAAGATTGGCGCGAAATGGTGAAAGAAATGACAAATGTGCTGGCCTAAAATAATTTCTGTCCGCGCTTTTGTAGTATTCGTGGCGGGATCCCACGATCGCGCGAAGACATCGCGCCGTATAAAATGGGCGCGCCTTTAACAGATATTTTTTTCGATTATTTATTTTTATCGATTTTAATCGTCTCTCTTCGAATTTTGTATTTTATTCGAATTTCAATATTTTTCAATTTACATTTTTAAAGATGTGTTTTCATTTGAAAAAATCTGATTTATGTAGAGTTACAATTTTTAATTCATCAGAATTTATTAAAACAAATATTTTATAGACAGGATCATCAAAATCAGCATCAAAATTTTATCGATCCAACGGAATGGAATTTCAATGGTAATATAAGGTTCAGCATTTGATAAAATTAATCTTTCAGGAGAAGTTTTCCGCCTCAAAAATTTGATATTAAATTTTTTCAAAATCATCGTCTCCGTGGTATAGTTAAAATTCAATTTTTAGCTTAGATGTCTATATTTGCAGTTTATGAAATAATGGAATAATGGAATGTCAGATATCTCAAAGAATTCACGGTGTTGCTCTCACGATGAGCAGCATTTGAAACTTACGTACAGGGTGTCATTTAAGTTCCCGCACAAAAGTTAGACGCCATGAAAAGCTTGGCTGTCGCACTTTTCGTGCACCAATACAATTTATTTTTGTTAAATAAGGTGTATTTTACTTACTTTTCAAGTTTCACTTCATTCGGATGTGTTTCCGAGAAATGGCGAAGGCTAACATCCATTGCGCTTCCATTATCGAACTTCATAAGCAAAATGTGAGCTCGAGAGACATCATTCAACGGGTCGGTGTGCCTCGTAGAACGGTTTAAGACACCAACAAACGTTTCAAGCAGCTAAATACGACCAGTGACCTTCCCAGACAAGGAAGACTCGTCTCAGTAACCACTCCTCAGAAGATCAACGCCGTCAAAACGAGGATCAGGCGAAAACCGCACAGGAGCATAAGAAAGATGGCGTCAGACATGGGAATGAGCATCTTCGCTATGGAACAAATGGTCAAAACGAAGCTTGGACTGACCCCATATCGCGTCCAAAAAGCGGCAATTCTATCGGCCGTCAACTAGCAGAGACGCTTCGAAAAAGCAAAACGACTTTTTGCTCGCACGCGGTCTGGAGAACACCTCGCCACTGTCTTTCCGACGGAAGCTGTTCCTGTGGAGGGGCATTCAACTCCAAAACCATTGAGTACTTGCCCAGACTCCCGAAGCTTCTGGAAAGGAAGACATTCTCCGCCTCATCCTGCCAGTGTGATGGTTTTCGGTGCCATCTGCTCAACCGGGAAGTGCCCCTGGTTTTCGTGGATCGGTGGTGAGTGACAAGAAGTCTACGTTCGGGACATTTTGGGGAAGCATATGATGCCCTGGGCCCAAACGCATTTCGGTGGGAAGATATGGGTCTTTCAACAGGACGGAGCACCCGCCCCTACTGCCAAAACTACTCAGGAGTGGTGCCAGACCCATTTTCCCGACTTCATCAAGTCATCCGAATAGCCTGCTTGCTCCCCAGACCTGAACCCGCTTGACTTCTCCGTGATGGGGTCTTGCAGGAGAAGGTCAACGCAAAACCCCACTCAAGTGTAGAGGCTCTGAAGAAGACATTACTGGCGGAATGGGACAATCTTTCCATCGAATACCTGCGTACCACAGTCACATCCTACCCGAAGCGTCTCCGCGAAGTCATAGCTGCGAAAAGAGGCCGAATCGAAAAGAGTTAATAGATAATTATTAGTTGTACTATAGATAAAAAATATTTCGAGTCTCGTTTGATTTGGACCTTTAGTTTCAGAAATATACGTCTTCAAAGTTGTGCGGGAACTTAAATGACACCCTGTAAGTCAAACCGGGCATCGGAAAAAATGAAAAGAGAAGTCTGCTCGACATGAAGCAACTCTTCGCTACAGCTGTCTTCACTCATCGCTCGACCAATCGTTTATAATATATGCTCCGCCTACTTTCGGGGATACTGTAGCGTATCCAAGGTCACTCAATTTACCGCGGAATATTTGCTATTTGTTAATCCTATCATATATATGAATGTTGTTGTAATTTCGATAAAATTTATTTATTAAACTCGTGAAGTATTTTTTAATTCTAACAGGTTCCCCCTGTGTGCGTCTTTACGAACGATCTTACTGTAAGTGAGTGAGTGAATGCACCTTGTCTTAGACACGCGTTAGGTGCACTTCCACCAGATATCAAATATATTCCACCACAACACAGTGGATCTTTACATGAGCCGACACTTTGTAAAATAATAGCCCCATTAAAAAGTCTATCATGATTCTCAATCGTTCACAGTGAGTAACTTAATAATTTATTTCAACAAATATACTAAAATAGTGTATAATTAAGAGTCGAAAGATGTTGTGGCGTTTTTGATGACTTCGGCGTTTTTGGATAAAAATGGTGGCGGCGGTGATAGTGGAAGTGGTGGTGGCGGGGATGGCGCGAATTCCAATGGGGCCTCGTTAGAAATCCTCTCGGTGATTGGCTTGCCGAAAATCGGTCTGTGATAAAACTTTCTGTCCATTAAAAATAAAGACAAATAGTTTTCGCGTTGTAGTACCGACACCTGTAACCTTATTAATACGATTTTTAATAGCAAAAAAAAACTTACGCCTTTCTCATAGTACGTCATTTCAGACGGAGATGGAGAGTCGGGTGGAATTTCCCGAAAATCATACGGCTCCGGGAGTGGTTGAGGTTTTTTCGATTGTTTTCCGCCCATGTCGAAAACTGTTCGCGGGGCAAAATAATAAGAAAGAATGACATTCTTGCGTTTTTCGAATCCCATTATTTTTGTATCACCTCATAATTTCTAATAGATTGCTGCACAGCGCCAGACTTACTGTTTCGTCGATAAAAAACAAACAAACGGCCAGCGGGAAAAGAATTGGGCGGGTTTGAACAAAATTATTTGCATACAAAATTTTTGTCAGAGTCAAACGACTTGACGAATTTTAAAAATATTTTGGCTTGGTGCCAATGCATCCAGTGGTAGCGAGAAGTACGCGAGACGGCGTACAGAAATTTCAATTTCTCGATTTCCAAGAAACTGTTCTCAGCACGTTATTCGCCATATCGGTTGTACAGTAACTCAGATTGACTTTGATATAAATAGTGGAGTTCCTAAAAGATGTCGCTCTTCCAAAACATTTTAACACTTCCAGTACGACACTCCAATTACACGTTGCCCTATATTTAGTGTGCCGGGCTAAATGGTGAGGGACTTTTTTTTCGACTATACTATCTCTCCCCCCTCTTCAAAATGATCTGCGGATCTTAAAATCGCTTCACTTTATTCAGCAATTACCTTATTTTTTAATAAAAATTAAGTGCATATTATATATTCCAAACAAAATGTCATTTATAAAAATTTGATCTAAAGGGGCGTGGTACCAGTGACTCGTCCTCTAATCGATGAGGATTGTTCGACTCTCTGCGCCTCCCCGTCGGAAGTGCTACCGCATATTGTTGTACTAATTAAGCGTTCGATATCGCAATCAAATCATTATTGGTTATTTTAGCATTTCGATTGTGGCGGCGCAACTCTCCATTATCTTCCCTACAATTATGACCTCAAGCTCACGACGACTTAGAACGGGACCGCACTTATCAAACTGTAAACGAGTCTGTGGTCGAATCCCGAGAATCAAAAAATGCAAGACATAGACGCGGGTATTGTTTTGCTTAATTCTTTAAAATAATTTCAAGGTTCTAATTTGTCTTTTTCTTGCAGAGGACGAAACTTGTTCCCTGCTCATATTTTCCATTCGATAAAGTCCGGTTTGAGAGGGACTATTTCACCTATACGATGTACCAACTGAAGTTTGTTAGGAATCCGAGGATCACACAATTCAAAGCGGTAATTCCATTTGAGTTAATGTTTTAATTGAACATAATTTTTTAGTATTTGCGTCATCCACTGAAAAACCGCAAAAATGTTTGTTTCAGTCATCCATGGCTCACAAAGTTTCAACGAAATTATGTAAGTCCCAAAGAATTTCGAAGGTTTCCGTTGATTTTTGAAATTACAGATTAGCGCTCATTTCACCGTCAATCTCGATATGTTCGTCAGTGTAATCCTTCAACATTTTCCGAGCCCTCTATACAATTTTGACCCGTACTACGCCTGCCCAGAAGATTCGAGTGAAAGTTTCTACTATGACGACGACTTTCCTAAATCTTATCCGACACCACCACTCAATGCAATGACACCTCGACGCATAGAGTTTCACCCAGAATATGTGAACGGATATTTCGATGCCCAATTTGTTTATCGTCCATTTGACATATAATCATGTGTTTTAGATGTTGTACAATTTTTTAAATTTAGTATTTTGTATCTAGTCAACTGTGCCGTACATATTTTGATTAGTTTTACCTGTATAAGCATCCTTGAATCAGTAAACTTCATGCATTATAACCAAAAAATCACGCGTTTTATCAAATCAAGGAGTTTTAATCGATTTTGGAATATTTGATTGGTTCGTTAGACGCATGAGAACGTTGCTTCTCTTCACCATTGTACTCTGCTTGTCTCGTCGATTGATTTTTCGTCAATAAAAAACACGTCAAAATTCCTTCATGACGTTCACAATTCCATTTCTTCTCACGCTTTTGTAAGCTCGGCATTTATCCAGTTGATGGAACATTTCAGCCATTTTCAGCCTCACTAATGCATTCGCATCGCCGATTCATATCATCGAAGGAAACATCGACTCCCCTCAAGCGGTGGAAATAGTTTTCTATTTTAAATAAATTTTAGAGCATTTTATCTTGATTTTAGAAACCAATGGTGCCAAAAATCAATATGAATGTCTGGATAATGGGATTTCTATCTTTTTACTGCACATCTTCCATCTTGATTGTGCTCTATTGTCTCCTCGACAAGTATCGAGTTAATAATGCAAATTATCTTTTAGTTAGTAAGCTATAACATCTAATAAATAAAATAACATATAATCGGTTTTGTTGTTGACCTCATCAGTACGATGAAACAGTATCCATTCCGAAAAAGTACAGACTCCACAGCGTGTCCGTCTGTTGCACAAATCGGTGCACGCAGTTAAGGATATTGCGCAATCGCGTAAACTTGTAAATCATTAGCAGAACGGCAATCACTTGGATGAACTTATTGGTGTTAATTGATTAGAGGGGTCGTTCGCGGTGAGGAGTACTGTAATTGGTGTATTGTCGGTCATTGTTTATTACTTATCTGTTTGAAAAACTATCCGAGCCGTTCAAAGGACTTCCGCCAAGTCGGCCTGTGGTAAAGCCTTACTGTCGAAGCTTTATAACAGATGGTCAATGTTTATATTAGCTTCTCGCCATCAGATGTAACAAATGCAACATGGATATGTATTGGGACTTACTTTTCAGTACGGAAGACGTAAAAAGCCGGATTTTTCATGAACCGGACCAATTAAAAAACTATATCATCCTGACTATTTGAACTAATCAAGTTTAAATTTTGAAATTTTGAAATGCCTACAGAAATCAAGGTGTTCGACAAATTTTAATTCGATTAAGGGTTAAGTATTCGAAAATTTTAAAACTTCGAAGAAATTTAAAATCTTTAAAGAAAATTTTAAATTCATTGAAATTTTTAATTACTTTTTGATGACTCCCACAACCAATGGCTTACAGCACTTTAGACACCTAAGTTTTTAAAGACCCCTTCTCTATATATTTAAAAATTTAGGTAATCCAGTTTGAGTGGTTTTCATTTAATGGTCGTTACATAATTCTATAATCTGACTAATATTTATCAATATTTCTGTGTTAAGAATATATGATCATAAATTCTCTCTACTATGATTATTGATGACGGCTCGGTGGCTAGTCAGCTGGTGATCAGCATTCTTTTTAATCTGAAAATTTTTTTTAGATGTTTATGTGGATCACTTCGATTTTGAATTGCATTTTGAGACTAGATTAGCTATGTCGAGGTGAAATAAGATCAAAATTATTGAAAGTTTCATTTTTCGTAGGTTTTCGCAACAGTGAAATGCGCGAAAACGAAAGTGAGAGACCTTGATAAAATCTTCTAGTGATGGTTTTTCTTTCGAAAAATCGGCTATTGAGTTTTTTTTCAATTCAATGGACCAAAACTCCAGAATGGAATGACAACCAATTAATAAAATAATTTCAAATAATTCAAATAAAATACTCCAAGAGTCGGTAATTTATTAAAAAAATATAACTTTCTTTTTTAGAATAAACATTTTTCAATATATAATTATTGTTTGAACCACGAATTTTTTTTTATTTTAATAATTTAATATATTGTCCAATTATGTTGCTTACATCTGAAATGGATTAATTCTAGTAGAGGATTTGCAATTAAAAAAACTGTTTTTAACAAAATCTATGATCCAAGCAAAATATGGTTGTCTTAAATTGTTACAAATGAGATTAAGATGTTTATTACCCGCTAATTATATTTTCATCAAAAGGAATTATTTTTGATTGGTTAACACTATAGTTGTGAACAGCCGAATTTGAGAAATTCGGTCAGTTTACTCAAAACGAAAGGTGCTCCTCCATAATTTAGCATTTATTTTAAAAATAAAAAAAAAATCTAAAATTGTATTGAAAAAAACTATGCTCTTTCCCTATTCTAGCCAAATAAATAACAACTTATCGTAAGAGTGAGACAAAGCGGTAATTTAAAATATAAGTCGCACCCGACATTTTTTCTTTCTATATCATTATTTTGTTTTCCTCATGTGCAAGTTTTTTCTTTTGAAATTACATTTTTTTTTTCATTTTAAAATGACTCACGCATAAGAATTGAGAACATTTTACTATGATATCGTCAAGTGATATGTATTTGTTGCGTATAGTTAATTCCAACACTTCCTTCTTGTCTTATTTTTTTCATGCGTGCTAAATAATAATTTAGTATCATCGTGATTCTGAAATTAATTATTTTAAAGATTTTCACCTTTTTGTAATTTAAAAACCTTGGATTGACAATCCATGTGACAATTACCAAATAGATCCCTATTAGAGAAAAGGGATTGCTTCTTGGACGTCTCAGTTTATTTGCAAGGTGCAAAGTATTCTTCGATCAGTCATGCATAATCATATATGTTCTTTTGATATCAACAGAAACGTCTAGGACTCTGTTGAGCATTATTGAATGTAACTATAACAATAATTATAAAATAGAATTGTTAGATGTTTGAATTTTTTGTCATACCGTACAAGAGATTTGTTATATTAAGTTCGTTCTTCGGCAGTCACTACAGCCGAAATACGATTACATTTTGGCAAAGATGGTTTGATTGATGATGATCGTGATAGTCTTTCGTTTTATAAAAGCAACAGGTTTAACGATCTGGTGCTTCATTATCACCGACACCGTTCAAATTGTAAGTTGGTAGGCGGTACGTCAAAACTGGTGTGTCGTCGAAATGCCACCATTGCGGAGGTGTGTTAATCTTGCAGACGATCTTTCTCTTGCGCAATAGCAGATTGACTTTTTTTTATTCATAAGACGCATTCATTGGCGCCAAGTTAAACTTTGAAATTTTAATGTTTTTGTTCATTAACTATTGCACCGTAGAAAAATTGCAATCAATGAGCACCCTAGTTATTGTAATTTTACAAATTCAGCGAGTTTGGTGTGCAATCTAATGTACGTTACCCGAATTCTCATCGTTTTGGGCAAAATGACCGTAGAGCCTCAACCTCTTGTGTACTTTTAAGTTTGAATTGTCAGCCAAAAAAAAAAATATTGGGTGGCACACCGCATGTGCGTATGGTCCCACAGCGAAAGTGCTGCATATTAAGTTAACATGACTCGAATTAGGCTTAGTTTATGACTTTCTTGCCGATTTTCGTTATTATTTCACTCAAAATTGTTTTTCTAGATGTAAAAATCTTAACGAGGGTTATGACAACCTACAATGTTGATTGAAGAAGAATTTTCGGAGCAAATCAAGAAAATTGTCCAAGTTGAAATTATCGATAATTGGATAAATTGGCAGTTTTTTTTTAAGGTAATCTATTATTTTTTATGTTCAAGCTACATTTTTAAATTTTTCAGATGGTATAAAATTTTTGTATATTTTAAAGGAATGACCATTGGAATAATGAAAATGACAAAAACGTTTTTTTGCGGCATTCTCAACTGCAATGAAAAAAGGCAATCGCAAGAAAAATGAGGTATTTTAAAAAATTATAAGAATCATAAAAAAAAATATGCATATAGTAAAAATTCAAGGTAAACGAAGGCAAGCAAGTCCAGCATTAAGCACATTTTAAAGTTTTCAGGCTGACAAATGTTGGCTTACAATCACTGAAGATGCAATCCTGAAGTTGGAGCTGAGAGCTTATAGTCATACAAAATACACAAAACACAAATCTTCATATGTCATTTTTTCAAGCTAATCATATAATTCAAGCAAATCTTTGATCTCATTGTTAGTTTTCGTTTAGCTGAATATTCTTCTGTTTTAGTACACAACTTATAGTTTATCTTGGAGTTAATCTTGTCACCAGATTTTGTTTCTTAATATTTGCATTGTGTATTTTCTTATTTAAACTTGTGAACTCCAGGATTCATGTTCACTATTCCTTCTATATGAATTGATTGTTTGACGCCGTATTCCAATGGTTTTTCCTTCATATCTCAACTTTGATATAGCTTCATTTTTCTTAAATAAATCTCTGCTGTAAAAATAAAAATTGAAAAAGTTCTGCAACTCTAAAAATCGATGCGTATTTCTGTCAACATTTTTTTCCATACCAATCATATGCAAATAAATTATTATCATGCTGAATAGACGTATGCGAAACCTGGGAACATGTCGGTTGCAAGACAAGGACGCTCTATATAAGGGCTGCATCCATCTCATAGAATGGGGTAGAGCAAAGCGGAAAAATGGAAGTTCTACTTACATATATTCACCGAAACATTAGTAGAAGAAGCCTAGAAAGTCCTACTTAGATAAATGAAAAACTCTTCCGCTTCACTTCTGCCCTTTTGCTAGTAATAAACAATTTATTGAAGTAAAAATACAATCATTATTTTTTGTATGAAATTGTATTTTTGTTTTAGGCAAAAACAAGTTTTTTAAAAAGTTGGTAATTTTTCAAGCGAAGTCTTCGGAAATTTAAATCCTTCCCTTTATTATAACACTAGTTCAATTCTTCATATTTTCTTGGTTAAGAATTTGACGTCTATTTGTCTATTCATCTATTCAACGTCGAATTACGACTTTTTAAAAATGAAAAATATCCAAGTAATTAATAGTAACACAACGAATGGTCCGGGGTTTTAATAAAAGTGTCTTTCGAATCTGCTGACCGTCCACGAGTTTAGCCGCATTCTCATAAATGATAGTGAGTAGTGCCGCGAAATGTGAAATGACATTTATCAGACTAAAGTAAATGTTGCAGGGTTTCAGATTGCCACGCAAAAACAAACGTCTTGAAAAAGAGTGAATCGCATTACTTCGAGCCGGTTGTTCGAATTGCAATTTAGACAGTGCCGGATTTGGGCACGGAACTACAAATAACCAGAAAATCATATCCACCGTAAATCGCCGCAGGGTGCTCATTTTTTGTGAATATAATTTAATATGAAAAATAATTTTATTTTATATTTTGAAGCCGGGAGTGCTGATGAATTATTAGTTTAAAACATTTTTTAACTTAAATTACTGAAAATTATATGTATCATTGTGATTATTAGAATTCCATTTCACCGAACAAACCATATAAGTGATATTGCTTTAAAAATCTGGTACTTAATCATTTTTTTCAGCTATATATGAATTTGAATATTCGATTCACATTCATGAGACTCGTTTCACGAATTTCGATATTTAATTTTCGAAAAAATTTAAAATTTGATGGCGCGCACATTCGTAATGCAATGAAAAATACCGATATCGGCGAAACCTGGTTGGGGTCGGCAGCATGCTTAAGAAGTGTTATATAATATCTGCGCAATTGCAATACTCCGGGGTGGTGTTTGTGGAAGTCTTAATGGTAATAGGCAGGCTCATTCAATCAAACATATCTTACATCAATCAATTCCCCAACGCACTACCCTTTTAATTTTCAGTAGGACACAGAAATCCATATTAACTCTAAGTTGAACATATTATTTGCAGGAAATGAGCTGATTGATTTTGCTTTTAAAAATAATGTAGTATTTAATAAGTTTGTTTTTTATTTCGATGAGAAAAAACGCAAATAAAAATTTTTAATTTGAACTACCGTCAAAAAAACCATCTAGCTCGAAATTCAGAAAGATAATTTTTTAATAATCGACATAATATGCTGGTTAAACTGCATTAAACCTATCATTCACTGATAGGAAAATAAAATAAATGAAAGAAAAACCTTTTTATTTAAACGATTGTCGTTTTATAAACAATAAAGTGCCAATTTCAATCAAAGTTAATTTTTATTTATAGACATTAATATGCTCCAATTATCGTAAACAATTTTGTTTTCAATTTTCTTCATATGTCGAATGTGACATGCTAAGTAGCTGCGTCTGTAAATACCAGCTGAGCAATGAAATAATTAACGCGGTATAACCTACGGCATGACTTGTTAGTTTTATTCATTTTCTTATTTTTTGTGGCTTTCGCAATGTTTTCAAACTGATTCGTTGGTTTTAACTACCTGAAAAACGCAATTATTTTTAATATGGCATTTATTAGGAAGAAAAAATAAATAAGAAAATTCGTGCAATTTTATAATTTTCCTATAAAAGCTTTAAAAATCTATCAACTAATTTTTCGTATTGTTTTTAGGATATGCTTTGCGCGCGCCGTAAGATCGCTCATCTATTTTTTGGAATTTAGCCATTTTTCTGCAGTAGCGCGAATTTGGAAATACATAAATGAACAAATCATTTGATTTCATTAGTTTGACAAGTCTATTACTTTTTGTAAATCGAATTATTCAATTTATATTTCTTATAATTTTTTTAAAGAACCTGTGAATTGCGGTACGCATCATCATGGGTTCAGTTACAATGATGTTCCGGAATTCTTGAATTCATTATGGAAAAACCTGAAGCGAAACACTGAAAAAAATAAGACGATCTTTAACATTTTTGTTTTGTTTTCTAAGTATGATGTTCAATAAAGATAAGAAACTCACGGTCCCATTTTTGTTGTATTTTTCCGGCCCATGCATGTCCACAGATTCGTATCACATTTTGATGATTGTTGAAATCGAATTCCGAATTTTCAGATCCTGAACATACAAATTTTCAAATTTTCAATCATTATTTACCTGATAAAATTAAAAGTGTTGGTGTTGAGACATTTGGCTCAATATCCAATTGGTTGTGAATGGTGCATCTGCTGTGCGAGCTGTACGAGGTCAACCCATCTGTGAGCTCTCCTGAACTGTACCGTCAACCAACGTACTAAGAATAAACAAATTTTATCAGATTCATTCAATGTTTTTTTTGTATAAAAAGCAATTCGGCATATTATTAAAATTTTCTAGACCGTTAAAAACCAATCAGCTGTACCAAATAATTTGTACACTTCAAGCATGCTTGGATCAATGGGTAAATATTAAAAAAAAATAAGATACACATTATTAAAAAATTATGTTTGAATTGCCGCCGCCACCAAAAAATAGGAAGCTGGTCTCACACCGAAAACGCCGCTAGACTAATGTGAGCGTGTATGGCGGGCCTAATTTTTTGAATTAATAAATGTTAGTCCGCCAATTTATTTTGTTTTATATGATTTTATAGCAATCATACATTTAGCGTTAATTTACAGAAATGGATTGGCAACGCAGACTCATGGAATATCATCACACGCTCACAGACGATCAGCAAATTTTCGTCGACATCATCGGTAGAATTAAAGATTGCACAACGTATAGACCAAAAGACTTTCCACAAAGTGAAGATTCAGAGCGCGACCATGGGGTGCTATCACACTGTTCTATATTTTCTGGATGAGAGACCACCATTCCAATTCGGCATTTACGCATTTCGATGGATATTGTCGCATAATTTGGATATCAAAATTGAATTTCGGAACAAGCCCAACCGACAGGTACGTCATCGATGATGGGTAATACCACATCATAAATAAGGTAATACATGTCCCGTTTCTTGATTGAATTAAAGTTTCAAATTTTCAGAACACACATTTAATTTTCTCATCAAAACCGTTGGGTACTTCATCCTCAAAACGTCTTCTACTTAATCTTTTGAAGGTCCCTAGATTTAATTTTGTGTTGTTTATTATTTTTTAAATCAAATTCATTTAATTTTTGTTGCCAATTTTCTCAGAACCTCTATGAACAATTTCAATTGTTTTGACTGTTTTTTTTTATTTTCCAATCTCCCTAGTTTACTTACGATTATGGACTAAACGAATAATATTCATTATAAACAAGTTAATAGTATAACACTGCTTTCTTTTGTGTTTGTTATAATGTGTGACTTATAATTGTTACTTTTCAATAAACTGGGTTATATTAAATTTAAAAATTGTACATTTTATATTTTGAATTTGTTAGAGTACAAGCAAATATTATTGGACAACCCTGCAACAAAATTATCTCAATAACTCAGCAGAATTATCCTAGCGTTTTATTATTACCTTATTCTTTTTTGTGAAGCAGGTGAGTGAGGCTGAATGAAATCAAAAATTCCAAATTTTTGAACAAAATACATTTACTTTGAAATGTTGTAGGGGGAGGAATAATTCTTACTCGAAGAATTACAATAATATCCTGACAGAAAATTTTGTAGTCAACAGTCATCGTTTCTTGAAATTAGCAATGTGTACTGCAAGAAGAAATTGTAGATTAGAAAATGTCTAAGCATCAATTTCAAAATGCAGAAAGGAACACGATTCGAACCAGAAAGCAGAGCAATGCATAATAACTCCGCTAAACATTTTGTGATGAATTTGACAATGAACAATCACGGAAACAATTTATTCCAGACATTAGAGCAATCTTACAACAGTAATTCTTCATGGATGAATAGCAAACCAATTTGTCATTATTCAAATTTCATCTACACTACAAATTTTTAAAACTTACAGAAATGGACACAACTCAAAGACTTGCACATTTCCGCGAAACGTTCACTCCGGAAGAAAATGCCTTTTGCAGCATTTTGACGACGATGCAAGAATATGCAAAAATTCGATTGCACGTACCCGACTCCCAGCGAGAAGAAATCAATCAGCAATGCCTGTCAGTTATCACGCCTTTCTTCGACCGCCTCGATTTCCTTTTCATTGGTTTTGATTTTTACATGTGGCGATTTGAATCGCTCGAAAATAAACTAGAAGAAATTATGATTGAAAACGAGCGCGAGCAGGAAAGAGCCGAGCTTATCATTACAATCATGAAGGATCTTCGCGAATTGTTGCAACCGGATGTGGGCTATGAAACTGATGGTTAGGGTAAAAAATATCCTAATTGCTATACGGTGTAAATTTCCAATTTTCAGAATCATTTTAAAGTGTCTTGCACCAATAATGGACACATATATCTATAATGTCATGTGCAACATTTTTTATCGCATAATAATAAAACTTCGCAACGTTTATTGTTTATTGAAACACCAAATAAATTAATTGATATTCTGAAATTTGAATATCTAGAAAGAGGTGATACAAAGGGGAAAAGAAGAATTCTAAGTGTTCTACCAATAAACTATTACAATCTAAGTCAATTTTCCAAAAATATCGTAGATTTCGTTATCTGCGGACATTTTCGAGGTTGCGCCTCCGCCGAAGTGAACGCCGCGAGTTGTCCGCAGCAGGTACCTATATATATATATATACCCAAGTGTTGCGCAGTGACCTGAAACGGTTTAGAACCAATATGGAATATACCTTGACAATTTTGATGTCTCACTAATTTTAGTAGTGATTTAATTCAAGCAAGATTTATTGCAACGATTTCCAAGTTTTGCTGAAGCAGTAATGTCTGGAACCCCACTCTTCTTGACGTTTTTTCCACATTGATTACGAATTAGATTGCATTTCGTAGATCCCAATGAGGATTGAATCATTTAGTTTTCTATTAAACAATAGAATCCTTGTCCAATGCAGCTCGATCGGTTGAAAATTTTCTTCAGGCTCCATCTGAAATAAGTCATAATTGCAAATGTTACAAATTTTGGCATTTACCATTTTTGTTTAGTTGAAGGAGTGTAGGCAATTAGAGAAATAATTAAGAACCGTGATTTTTCAACACAGATTGATATAACAGCAAGTATACGACTTGTAAAATGTCTAATAGTCTTGCACAATTCTACGTCGGTATATTATGAAGTTATTAAGTACACTTCTTAACTATCATATATTCCATGCACATTTACAACAGTCAAAACACCTCCATCCAAAACTGCTTTGATGCTTGCCGACAACAGAACCTCAGTGTTATTATAGAACTTGTTTCAGCTTGTTGGTCTTAAATTACTTTTTTCTCAATATTCAAAGTGAACTTGTTATTGATTTTCAACGAGACCCCAATAAATTTAGTCGATGTCGATTTTCGACATGAAAATTCTATCATTATAAATGTATAATCGTACCTATGGTATTCTGTAAACGAGTTAGTCGCGTTTAACGCAATTATAGCACCGGAGACAATTGAATATTATAGTTCTCTGCTCAACAAGCAAACTTGCTATTTATCTGAGTAAGAAACTTAGAATTTCAAATATGAGATGCATTATAGAATAGTCGATGTATGTATGTGTTGCTATCGAGGTGCTACTCAGACAAATCAAATACAATATTTTGAGACTCAAATATTCAATAATAAACTCTAAAATATTTTGAGAAATTCTAAAGTTTATGGATACTTTCTAAAACTTATTGAGAATCGCTAAACTTAAAAATATTTTTTGAAATCTTATAAGATTTTCTCAAATTTATGGAGCAAATTCTAAATTATCTCAATAAATTCGAAAATCTTATAATAAGTTCTAATGTTGATTGAGAAAAATTTTTGTTGAGCCGATTTCCCGATCCTTGGTTCCTGAATAACTGTATAATGTCGGCTCCAAAAATAACGCTTACCAGAGTAATTCATAACGGTGGATTTAGTCAATTGTTAGGTTGTGTGCGTTGTATGAGATCAACCATCTGTGAATTATTCTACGATGTACCATCCAACAGCGCACTAAATATAAACAAATTCGATAAGCATTATCAAATACTCTTATTGAGATTAATAAAACAAAGTTTTATAACGAGCCCACTTTATTAATTATTTTAATTTGAAACTTTTCCAACAATCGTTTTCAATTATTTGGCACTCCTCGGAGAAAAAAATAGGAAAAAACAACAATTTTAATTTTTTCGGCATTGATTTTTAATAAGAGAAAATCAGTTTGAAATTGTTTGAAGTTGGAAATCTTGATTCGAATTACCGCCAGCAAAAAATGACGAGCTGGTCTTACCGCGAAAATGCTGCAAATTGGTGTGGCCGAGAATATTCGTCTCACCTTCGAAATGATTAATATTCTTCCACTCATTACTTTAAATTAATTTCTCACAAATAATTGATAAATTGTGATATTTCAGATGCAGCGGTCTTGATGTTTGGGAATTATTGCCTATTGGCGCCGGTTTGAGAAGAGATCTCGAAAAAAATTTAGGAAATGTCAATAGTGGGAACAAATGTGTAAGGAGATATGAATATGGTAAGTTCGGATGAAAACGGTTTCAAACAATAATTTTATTTTTATTCTTTATTCAGATGCTCATTGAAATACTTGAAAACAAAAATTCGCCAAGTTTAACATTCGTAAACGCTAAACAGAATTCCAGTAAGGATTCATAGAAGATAAACAGGTAACATTTGAAAATACAGAAAATATAAATGTGACTTGATTTGAATCCTCAAATCAAATCTTCCTCAAAAATTAACGCATGAAACTCCAAAAATGTTTTTGTATTTTATTAATTGGTACAATTGTTTTCAAAAATGGTCAATATCAATTATCAAGGCCAAGAAAATTCTAAAATATGCTTTAAGCCAATTGTGTGCAAAAATTATAAAGTGAAAATTTCACTTTGAAAGTCTTTCAAATCCCTAATTCTATTATTTTCAGCCGTCTGTTCGAATACCAAGAAGCTTTTTCCTACAATCATTGAAGATTCAATCCCGCATTAGTGTCCGTGTGTTATGTGATATTCAAAACTTGCGTGAATATGTCTTTCTTTCAATTTTTATAAAATCAATATCCGTCTATTTTCAAACAGTATTTACCTAACTCATAAAAAGAAACATCGTTTTTACTTTTTTTTTCGGCGTTCTACTTTTCCCCCGTAAATGCAAACTCATTCCAAATTTTCATTATTTTTTTTTAATAGACTAATAGCATTAACCATATTCCTGTTTTCCATATTCGTTTTTTTCATGATATACATATTCTGCAGTTTTACCAACAAGGGACTCCGGGATTTATCTTCATTATTCAAAACGACTGAGTTGATTGAACGAAACTGATTTTTGTCTGCTATTCATTATTTTGCTCCAATATTGACATGCTCCTTTATTTTTTTTAAATAAATCTCTTTAATTTTCCATGAAAAATTTTCTGACATTATTTGTGGTAATGTCAGATTTAACCAAAATTATAGAATGTAATGGGAGATAAATGGGAGATTACTGATCTAGTAAAAAATAAAATACTATTTTCTAAAGAAAATGTAATTTTTTACTAAACACAAATCATGGTATTTGGTTTTAATGCTGCACAATTTTTGATATAAAATGTTAAGTACTGATCTATAACGTATGTAGAGCTTTCCGAGTTGCGTACCAATAAAAGTTTGTGTCTGTTAAAATTATGGAGCAGTCAATGTCTGTCAAAAAGTAATACCTCGATTGCGGAGGAAACACTGACTGGATCGTCTACAGTACACCACAGATGCAAAAAATCTAATTTTGAAGACGGAATTCTCGGGAAGGGTGATTCAATTTGAATTTAATGGAAAACATGTTATAATCCATCAATGGACGAGCATATAAAGAGAAACCAGCCACAATATCTATTATATTTAATAAGTATACTTTACATCTTTATACTTTACGAGAGTCAGGTGAGTCTACTAGACATTTTTGTTTGAGTCTATTAGGCATTGTATAATTGCAAATTCGCTTTTCCATCATAAATAAAAATTGTCATACAAATAAACGGAGCATAAAATTATATTTATATACCAGAAAACTTCATCAATACAAAAATTGCCATGAGCGTTTATCGAAAACGCTCATGCCAAACCCTAAAATGTTTCCCTTTAGTATTAAAAAGTCTTATTTGTATTTATTGTAATATTTGTGTAACATCGTATGACGGAATTACAACATTTTTCACCTCTGCTGCTCCCCTGACTGTATAAAAGTGGAGCAGAATTTGATTTTGATTATTTTTTTTTAATTGTCCATGTTATGAGTTTACATATTGTTAAATCTCTTCAATAAAGATTTGACTATCAAAGTCTAAGGTGCTTAAATCCAATTTTTAAAAAATTTTTTTATGAAATATAAAAAAAGAGAAAAAATTTAAACAGTTAAATAAACGTTTATTTTTCTGTTCTTTTTAATATTTTTCTCCGTATGAATGTATGATTGTTTTTTTTTGTTTGTGAGTTCATTTTTTTGAGATATGCATGATACCATATATACATATCACGAAAGATCAAACTGAAAAAAACATTGAAATTTATTGATCCCAAATCTGAAATTAAAAGCGACATTGAAATGAAGAAGTAATACTATTACTTGAATTAACTAATTTTATCAATGTCGATATTCCAGTCATTATAATGATGTGTATGTGTTGTGCTCCTCAATTTCCCTCCTCTTCTCGTTCAAGCTTCATAAGAGAATTGCTCAAAAACTCACAATTCTCATTTCATCTGCGATTTGCACACATACATTCAAGAATAGAAACCTAATGAGTGTACGAGATATGTGTATACAAAAAAAGTGCAAAATCTGTGAAGCACTACCGCGTTTATAAGCGGATGACGTCATTCGAAGCGGCACCAAAAAAAAAATTATCAAATTCATCTGATAATTCTTTCTCTTTTGTAGAATCCTGAATTGATTTTTTAATCACTAATCATATTTTTAGATCAAGTTAAATTGTACTCTTTTTTATTAAAAATTCCAGGCGTCAATTTCAAATCCCACAACATCATACGTATTCTCACTAACGTGGCATTGTCTCTTTTCTTTAAATCGTCATAACGATTATATACAAGAATAATTGAAAAAAGAGCAGAAAGCATTTTTTGTAGGCATCTTGACAATTATTTTATAAGCCTTCATTCATTTCACACCGAAACAATTTTTCTTCAACCGAACAATACACCATTAAAAATCCTATGAGAGAGGAAAAAACCAAAATAATGCATATAAAAACAATGAAACAATGATATTGTACTCTCGAAGATACAACGATGACAATAGAAAGCGACACGAAAAGAAGAACCGTGATAACACTTGTAGAGATTCATTACTGGCTAGGTCCTGAGCCAGAGTTGGACTCTACCTCCTTTTCAAGAAAATTATGTCTATTTTTGTTGAGGTACGCCACGAAGTTGGTAATCTTGCCTTTCATTGACTGAAATGCGTTGAAATTAGTTTTTAAAATTAATTGCTTCATTCACCTTGAAATGAGTGTTGGTCCACGCCGATGCTTGCCAAGCATTGTCCAATTTCGACATGAAACGCAGGAGGCTCGTGGCCCCGAACCAATTCTCGTAATTTCCATCATACGTGTCTCGAAGATAAATGGCATCATTTCCTTCGATCTTGGCCAGATCATTCCTGTAAAAATGGACGATTATTTGACAATAATGTCACATTTTGTATACGCCATCATTTTGTTGTATCCCTCGCTGATAAAAATAATCATGTCCATTGGCTCAATCGATGTCACCGATATGTTGCACGTGTACTCCTTTTTGAGCATTTCAAAGTGAGCTTCGCAGATGCTAAGTGTCGAGAGATACTAAAAAATAAACTCGAATTCCATTAATAAAATAATAATCTCACTTTCAGAAATATGGTATAGATAGTGACGTCGGCAGGTGTTTTGATTTGACGAAGTTCGTGTTTCGTCAAAGAATCTCCACTAACTTGAAGAACCGGCGGTAGCGGAACTTCGAGACGACGTTTGCTTCGAATTTCGCCGTCGTCGTCATTTGTTAAAGACGCCTCGATTCTTGGCAATGGCGTGCCTGGCGGTTTTCCCGCCATTCTTTGTAGCGCAACACGGCGAATAGGCTCCTTAACTTTTCGTGAATCTATTTTACGTTCCACTGCCGCAGCCGCCGAGCCATTCGCTCCAGTCGACGTGCTCGATGAGGACGAGCCCTGATCCCGCTGATCAATTGTCGCCATACGGTTGGCTTGTTTTCGTTTACGCGCTTCTAAACGCTCTTCGCGTTTTTTCGCTTCCATTTCTCTTCTCTTTTTTCTGTCATCCGGCGATGATTCCGTTTGCTCAATTCGGCGCTTTTTGCCACCAGACGACCTGCCCTTCACACGTTCTCGGTCCCTTTTCTATAAATTCAAATTAAAAATAAAACGTAAATTCCGTTACTATACCCTAATCATGGACAGATCTTCGGGGGTGACCGGAAAAAACGCATGTCTCGCTTCTTCATAGGTGTACACTTCATCATGTCTGCTAGAATAGCCATTATATGTGATGGTAAACGACGGAGTAATCGTGTGATTTGAACGATGGATGATCGTCGCTTCATATAGATTCTCCTCCCATTTACATAGAATTTTGCATCCTTCCGTGAGGTCGAGCACACGAAATGATTCAATCATGCTGAAACCTATGAGTTAACTGAGAAATATTGATTCGCATCAATGGCAAATGCAAACGCAAAGAAAAGAAAGGGAAAACAGATTGGTTTCGAAAATGGGAGTGGGGTGACAGCGAAGAAGTCTTTTATATGCCTAATTTCTGAATATGATTAGAACAATGCAAACGAAGAGCGAGAGTATTGATCAATAAGAAATTTTAAAATAAAAGCAGAAAAGGCGAGACGTTGGCAATTATTTTCAAAGGACAGAGAGGGAGAGGAAATGTGGAGGAGAAAGCCGAACGCCGCGGCGTGGTTCGCAAACCGCGACGCACAAATACACCGCGGGGCGACGGCGGCAATTTGAAGGCTTTATCGCTGGTTACCGCCCGATTGCATTGATGAACCGGGTGAACGAATAATTGAGTAGTGATTGACAATCTATTGCCAAAGGAATGAATTACATTAAATTGTTGATCAACGAAACAATAAAAGAAATTAATAAGAAGATTCTATTTAAAAAACTTTGAAAAACCTAAGCTGAATTTATTTGGAAATATTTCATAAATCAACGGTCTTGATTATGTCCAACTCCTATGTGTATGATGAATTTTTTTTTAAGAATTATATAAGGGGTAATCCACAAAAACGTTTCTATATTGCCGATGTGAGTAAAACAAAATAGTAATACTGAATGTATTAATAGTAATATTGAATTTATATTAACTTTTTGCGAGAGATATATACACATATATTAATTGCCTAGAATGCCGTTTATAAAAATGAAAAACAATTTCAAAAAAAAAAACGAAAAAATTATGAAACGTCAACACAATGTCGAATGAGAGGGCGAACGCTGCTGGGCACGCCGGTGGAGGGAAACACATTTCGCTACGAGATATTTTCGATTTAATGTCGCGTGCGCCTTATGTTGCCCGTCGCCTGCTCTTCTTTAGTGACTTCGCCCCCCCCCTTCTTGCAAATAAAATTTTCGAAATTTGGCACTTAGCTGAATTGATGAGGATATTTTTAATTCAGGCACTTTTATTTCGAACAGTTGAAATTAAACGCAACGTACAAATGTAATCATCGACAATCAAAACGTTTACGTACTAGAGATTATCTCTCAATAGACCATCGCTTCGTTTGATTTATTACGCAAAAAAAGATGAGTTTAAAGTGGATGAGTGATAGAAAACAGAACAGATCTCATCAGTTCATATGTCAATTGTGATAAGTAATCAAGATCTTTTGCTCTCATTAATATTAGCGGTTCAAATCGGATAGCAACAAATGAAAGAAAAAACAGAAATTTTATCTTGAATTGACACGATTAGCTGGAAAACGACAAAGGTTCCGAATGGCAAGTGTTTGATGGCCTGATACGGCCGCCGCAAATTCATGGAAATCCTTTACAATATCACGGCTAATAAAATAAGATTACATTTTACTCGATTCATTCGGCACGATGATACTTGAAAAATATTTTAATGATTATTCGTGGAGCTCTGGTCGTGCTTGCTATGATTCCAATTTAAAATTTTGATAAAATAGCAATATTCGCAATGAGGTCGTGGTGTATGTGATGACAGTAATGGAGTTCTAAAAATGATGAGCGTGTTGAAGAAATTTTCAAGAATTTACCTTTCGTTTTAATTAGAATTGGTTAGTTTTTGCTTTTTCTGAAATTATAAGTTTTTAATTTAAAAAAGTGAAAACATGACTCTATGTGAGAAAAGTTAAGGATTTGATTTGAAATTTAAATTGAAGTTTTAAATACAAAAATGTTGGCATTTTCATAGGATCTTTACGTCATTTTACTTTTTTTTGATTAAGATATCTTCAAATTTCAATTTTTTGAATGAAAATTTTCTTTGCAATTTTGAATGTTGTCATTATTATTGAGTTTAATGCAGAAATATTTTTAAAAAAATTAAAAAAAAATACAATTACTTACAATCTTTGTATTTTACTCATTAACTTTTGCATTCCAATTATAGAATGATTAGCTTTAGATCGTTTGACGTTTAAATGCTTTCTATATTTTCCATCTTTATGACTAGAATATTGGATACTATGTTTATACTAGTATACAATTTGATAATCACAACTAGAATAGATTTTCTTTTTCAAAACATTTATTTCCGTAAAACAATTCTAACTGAAACCCTTTTCCGTCGTTATATTTTAAATTTTGGATATTTTTAAATTTTTCAAAATTTGAGATATTAACCACTCACAATTTCTTGGACCAATAAATTGGTAGCGACGAGTTTTCCATTAACTCTGAAAAAAAAGGCAATTCTATGTTAGTATACTTGGTATGATTGTTTGAACTATCATACCAATTGGTACCGTCATTTGATTGATCGTTCTTGTCTTCATTCGAAAGAATGAACAAAGACCTTCGCTTGAACTGCTGATTTTATCTATAACATGTCGCATCGATAATATTCTAAAAACGGTATTTATTTGTTTAGTGATAATTTCTTACATTTTCTTTCTTTTCAAAAATTCGACAGTATTTAAACATTAGAAATAATTTTATATTGAAAAATAAAAACTAATAGAGCAATTTTCCTTTCACTTGATTTTTTAGTAATTTTAATGTCCTTTTAACCCCGTATATAGATAATTTTCTGGTTTTTCCAAATAAAATTTGTAATTCATTCCCAATTAGCGATTTATTTCTCAATTTTCTTGGGAAAGATGTATGAAATATGAACAATTTCAGACAATCTATAGCCGTTAATTAGGATAATATGAGAACATCAGATATTCGACACCATGGCTCCTAATTAGTACATTTAATTGGGTTCAGATTTTTTGTTTTGGCTATATTTTCAACAGCCAAAAATAACTTATTTTTTTATATTATTTTGGGTAGAGATTTTGAGAACATACGTATTACATTGATCGCTAGATTGATACTTTGTCCATTCGTTGATTGTTTTCTTTGGTAAACAGTTTGTAGTTCCTAAAATAAACACAACTTTTAAATCGACTTCAACGACACTCACTCATTTGTCATTCTTCGTTTAAAATTGTCTGCATCTTCGATTACCTTGAACGTGTCCTTGAAAACGAATTGATCAAACACGAGTTAGATTCAAATCGCCGCTTAAAAAAGAGCGATGTCGTCAAATCGCGCGCATTTGGTGAATACACCGTGCGTCAATCCCGCACGCAAGTTTTATTGGACTTCTTAGACGCACCATTTTTGTTTGTTAGTTTTTCGAATCAACACCAATTTTAAAAATTCATTCAAAACGATAATTTTTTTTAAAATTTGTTGACTAAAATTTTGACAAAAATTGAAGAGCCAATTAGTCTGACTAAGATATTTAAATGTGGAACTTCATCGAATTTTAAGAATGTCACGCAGTCTTTCTTTTTTTTTAATCCGTAGTAGGAGGTTTGGTAAAAATAATGATACTTCGAAAAAAAATAACTTGTAGATTGAAGATAGTAGGATAATTACAGAGAGTTCATAAATTTAATCGTTTCCTGTGAGTCGTTATTATTTTAAAGCTAAAAAACGTGTTTCTTAAGACAAATATTTGCAGATGAATCCCTCAACGTCGCAACCAAGAAGTCTGAGAGTCATCCGTAAGGGATCATCGGTCTTCTACCTCCATAACGAGCAATACCGAGAGGTGAAGGTTGTCGACGTTAAGAAGCGTTATTCCGATGACCCGGAATACGTGATTCATTTCAAGGGGCAGGGAAGCGATACTAACATCACCATCAAGTCGAGTGAGGCTCATCCAAAGATCTTCACCCATCCGCAAGCGTCGGCTCATGGACAGGTACACAAATGAATTATAATTAAAAAAACACTTGGAACAGTTTAGAAGAGACATCGTGAAGATGACGCTCCAACCAGTACCATTCTTAGCTTTGAGCTAACCATGAACATCGTGGATAACGGATATGACACCGATGGTTAATATCGAAGAATCAACAATATGAATTGTATAAATTTTCAGAGTATACTCATGAGATTGGACGTATTGTTTTGCCGATTGAGTTGCGTCGAATTCTCAAAAAAGATGTCGACATGATTCGTACCAATCATCTTAATGTCATCAACGGACCTCATACAGTTGATAAGATATTGGATGATGTAATCAATGAAGCTTTTGAATTGCTGGTTAATTTCCTCAATTTCAGTTTGTGAAATCGGCAAATTTGACGCCCGAAGAGATGGAACAGGCAATGCGGAGTTCGATTGAGTACCAAAATGACGGGTATTCGTTAACTGGACCTGGAATGGTGGCTTCAGCCTTGGGAATTAAAAACTATTTCAACGCGTTGTTGAAGTGAATTATATGATTCGAAACGTTTTGCCAATAAGTTTCATTTTTTACAGATCTCGCTTGTTATATTCTTTCGAACGCGGACAATACCGTAAAATGTATCAAATCGATAAAGCAATTCGTGACAGAGACGCCGGTACGAATAGCGATGACGAAAACGCGCCGCCAACATTGTTCAAACCGTCAAAATACTACGGTTTGGTTCATTTGCTGAGGCTTTTGGCCACGATTCCGGTTCATATTGAGTTTCCAAAAGGAGAGAATACTGAAAAGACGTCGATGAAGGTTGATATTCCCCAAACATGGCAAATAATCCAATGCATTTTCATTTCAGTTCAAAATGGTGATCAATGGAACTTGTCAAATCATTAAATACCTTCATCATAACTATGAGCGATATTATAATGAGGACGGATGGTTCCTGTCGAATCCGATTTATCGCGAGACATCGAAACAAACGCTTCCAGCGATAGGCGCAAAGATTGATATGAAAAAAATTGAAGAAACTCTCGCCCGAGTTCAAATGTTCGAGATGCAGGCTGCCAATGGAATTGAGCCAGATCTACCAATTGAAGAAGCGAAAATGGAGAACCCAATGTATCTACAACAGTTGCAACAACAAGTTCATGGAAAAGAACCTGTTCCAGAGGATCCGACGGCTCCTGTAATAGGGGCGGGGCCAGAAGTTGAGGAGAACGAACCGGAAGTTCCAGCGGAGGAAGACAACGCTGAAAAGCAAGACGAAAAAGAAGGGGGAAAACAGACGAAGAAGCAAAGACGCAAGAAAAATAAGAAGCAGAAGAAAAACTAAAAGTCAGAGCCCTCATGACGCCGCTAAATTGCTGAAATAATATTCCTTGCTTTCTTTCCCCTTTTGCATTTTTATATATTTTAATGCCAATTTCTTTCTAAACACTCTAACCTAACCTATAAACCCTATCTTACAAAATTATATGGCAAACATCTGGTTAACATTCCTATTTTGAACCTCTGCTGTGATTGAAAGACAAAAGAATCGAATAATTTTAGAGATAACTCTTGAATATTTGAGTTCATCAACAAACAAATAATAACAGAAAAATGAGTAGAAAATAGAGAAATGAAATGATATGAGAACTGAGAGCAAATGAATATTTATGATGATGAGGTGTGATAGTTGACACATTCCTGACTTACCTGCACTCTATACGTAATAACTATCCATATAGTGGATGCATGCACAACATATAACACTATTAGACAGTTGTGTTTGTTTCTAAAATGTGCCAATGGGGTGCAACATGCAAATGGATTGAATTGAATTTTGTGAGTTGTGGAGCGACTTGTTTTGTGTGCATCGTGTGGATTATTGATAAGTAGAAGAGATCTTCTTGATATGACCCTTTATTTTAAATGTCTTGCACAATGTTGAAATGTTAATGTTTATCCGACGTTTCGATCTTTAGATCATCATCAGGGAAGGTCAATTTACCTACAAGATAATAAGTAATAGATTGGTCAAAAAAAGGAATAAAAGAGTTAAGTTGTAAGTATCAATCAGAAAACAAACAAACCATAAGAACAAATCAAGAAACAAAACAATGTCCAATACGTAACACAAAAATATGTTAGGAGCGTTAATGTGCCCTATACTAGATATTGAGAGGAACACAACTCGTCGAAGAATACTGGAAGGAATTTATATTAAAACCAAGAATCCTGAACTTAATACTAAAGAAGAACTTATAGATTTGGTCTCGGATTTGGGAATTCGAGGGGATTTCTCTTAGTCATAGCTAAAAAAAACTTTTCTAAACCTATCCTCTAGTTCTCTAAAATTTTTGATCTACTTACATCCTCACATTAACGCTCCTAACATATTTTTGTGTTACGTATTGGACATTGTTTTGTTTCTTGATTTGTTCTTATGGTTTGTTTGTTTTCTGATTGATACTTACAACTTAACTCTTTTATTCCTTTTTTTGACCAATCTATTACTTATTATCTTGTAGGTAAATTGACCTTCCCTGATGATGATCTAAAGATCGAAACGTCGGATAAACATTAACATTTCAACATTGTGCAAGACATTTAAAATAAAGGGTCATATCAAGAAGTTCTCTTCTACTTATCAATGAATTGAATTTCACAGAGTTCATAGTTCCAATAGTGATTATAGAATATCAGAATAGTAGAGATTGCCTATGTAGAATAATTTTAAAAAATCAACTATAGTATGACATTCTCAAAAATTTAAGAAAATTCAAAGAAGTTTCGAAAGACAGGAAATTTTCTCCTCCGTTTGAATTCTTTCTCCTTCAACAAGAATTTAAACCAAATTTGACCTATATAATTAAAGTTTAAAATTCATACATGTCTTCAGTGAATGGTTGAAAACGTCCTATTTGGCTGATCCTTTGCTTTGGCCAGCTATTGTTATGTGGCATTTGTAGGTACTGTTGATAATTTAATTTTCTTGATCCTTCAGGTTGAAAACATTTCTGATATTCAAGCCGTTCACATGATTTCGAACAATTAGAATTTCCTCTTGCAATCGACCACACCCAAGATAAATACAATCGGGCATCAAGTTTGCATTCCATTTTCACTTTTTTTCGCATTTTCTTGAAATGTTTATATCGCCGTCTTCCACCAATCAAAATGATTAGTTCTATACATTCATCAACACTGTTCAAAACGATGAAATGTGTTGATGGTGTTTTTTGCGTATATTCGATGCCTCTAATCTGGTCGACGAGACGACACCGCGACGCCAGACATTTAGGACAGAGATGGGAGACGTCTTCAGATCGAGCGGTCAATCTGTCAACCGCTCCTATTTTTGAAGAAAATGAAATAAAAAACCCTGCAAGCAAGAGATTGTTTCTTTTTGTCAACAATTTTTTTTCAGAAACCACATTCCATTCCGACTCATAATATTTCATATTCTGTGCTCGTCCTATTGTATTCTTTGAAATATTAATAATTATTCCAAGAAGAATTTTTCATACACATGAGCGAGCGATTTTTTTGTTTGGTATTCATTCGAGAAGGGATTAGGATAAAAATTGGCATCAGCATCATATTTTATTCGATTTCTCGTTATTGTTCAGTCGCATTGTCTTCGCTCGACATTTTCCATTCATTCCATTCAATTTGATTCCATCGTTCGGCATTGTGCGATGTTAACAAACATTCCCTTTTATAACTAAAAAAAATTGTCCAATGTCGCAACGAAATGTCAGGTGACTGTTGATAACAATTTTTTTCGGCTGTCCCTTTATAACAGTGTTCGACAAAACCAGATTCTGGAATTTTGAATGCCAAATTTGATACGCTTCTTATTGACTACGGTAACATATCATTCATTTCAAACCCGACCATTTATCAAGGTCATTCCATAATCATTTCTGCCCAAATATTTTTCTCTTTTAAAAATATCACGTTAAGCCGGTCATTTTCTTTTAATAACGCTCAACATATTTTTAGGTGACTTAAAATGGTGGGATTTCTTGGACCTGAACCCGACGAGCTTGCTCCAAATCGACGTAAGATCCCCATGTGCTTTATCAATTTTTGTGAGTTCCTTGTTAAGGTCGCCAAAGAAGACGTCGTCGTCTTCAAGATCCTGGATCAATCTTCGGAATGCCTGAGTTTATCATCGACGACAACGGTGAAATTGGTAGCGAACACTTTCATAAATGGCTCTTATATCGAATTTTTAGTTTTTCTCGAATCTGAAGATAGCGACACGTTTTCCACAATCTCGGAGCGCGATAATCGTGAGAGACACGAAAATATTGAACCGGAAGAACGTAATAATAATTAAATGTTTTATTCAATACGAAGCCCCCGCTTGATTTTCAGTTCCGTGTGAGCCGGAGGAAGCTTATCGCAACCTTTTCGAATACGTTGCCGAGGAACTCAACCAGGAAATGAGGGGAAGACGCGTTAACTATGAAGATTTCGCTGATCGCGAATGGTTCAACAGGTGCCGATGGTTTTGATCGTTACTCCAATTTTTCAAATTGTCTTGATTCAGAAGAAATGAACCAGACCAATCGCAGACTCATCTGGAATTTCAATGCCACTATGACTATTCCTACGGGTATGAATTCGTGATGGTTCATCCAATCATTGTTGTTAAATTGAATGGTACGATTATTTGTTGAAGATAACTGGGATGAGCTAACTAGATTGAATGTTTGTTGATAGTGACACACCGAATCGTTGTGTTCAAAGGCTTGAGGCAAAATTTTGCACTAGTTTAAAAGTGATAATACTTAATCGAACTTTGTGAATATTGCAACGATCGCGTCAACTTTTAGGAAGTGACACAGATGAGCTGGTTATTCGAATGGCTGGATTTGATCTCAACGATGAACCAATTCGAGAGGAGCCACCAGTGGATCGTAGACTCACTGAATATCTCTATAGACAGTTGACGGCGCCACAAAATGGAAGAAATGGAACACGTCAGAATCGTCGAAACAATCGGAATAATGCGACAGCCGAAGCGCCAGTGCCAACTCCAGCTCCGCCAGCGGTGCCAGCAGCGTCGGCAAACGTCGACAACGAGGCTTGAATAATTATTAGCCGTATTCCCGGCGAACCCATCCACTCGCAACTTATTAAATCCTACATATTCTTATTACCGCATTTGTAAAACTACCAGAACTCCCGGTAGTTGACACTTTTATCCAGATGTTCAACTAGATATATGGAATGATAAAAACTTGGCACACAAAACTGATGACAAGTGTGTACTCTAGCGTGAGTGGTTGGTATATGTTCGGCTCTCTTATCTCGCTATCTTGTCTAAAAAAAATGGGATGAGGCAAAAGGCAAATATACCCAAGCCGTTATGTGCCATAGTTTTGCCTGTATCACATTTGCGCTCAGTCATCCTTGTCTTATAATCTCATGACCGAGTTCAATATCGATCAATACGAGATTACGGTTTCCGTCGACGATGATAATGACATCGGTAACTCGGAAACGAATGAGAGTGACGATGCCAATACAACATTCAATATTTCAACGATCACTTCTCATGATGAAAGTGATAATGAGCCGGATGCTCAGGAAGTTGAGCCCGAGATCGCTGAAGATTTGCAGAAGATTGAAGTAGGTTTTTAGTGAAGCAATTTTCTTAATAGTTTTCTGAAACTGAAAATTTAAAAAAAAGTTGTATTTTAAGATCAACAAATAGTTATGAAATTCTTGAGTGTCTATAATAAATTTTTACCTATATAGTATTAATTGTTGATTTTACTAAAAACCAATTTCCAGGATACGAACGACCCCTCATTAGTTAGTGTTCCATTGCGACCCGTTAGTCATCCTCCGAAGCGCAAGCTGCCAAAAGAGGGTGAACTATTCAGCCGTTGGATATTTTACCATCTCTACCATCATCGAAATTTGCAGCCGGAAAAGATTGCGCTGGTACCGCACCTGCTTTTTTCCATTAGAAAAAATCTAAAGCTTGTTCTGCAGATTGAAGAGGTTTCTGAGGCCAGGTGCGTCTCCTACGCGGAACTAGTCGATGGCGCAATAAAAACCGCCAATTACATGAGCCACCATGGTATCAAAAAGGGCGATAGAATTGCAATGTGCATGGAGAACAGCGTTGAATATGTGTTCTATCAGTTAGGAGCTTATCTACTAGGAGCTGTACCGGTTTTAATAAATCCAAGCCATATAGGTGAATCGGAAACGTCGAGAATATATTTTTTAGTGAAATATTATTTAGCTGCTGACAAGTTCGAAATTATCGAATGCGCTGCAGCTGTTGTTGATTTTGATAACTACGGTCACATCTTAAGAGTGTGTCAGAAATTAATAAAGGAATGTCAGGTATTATTATATCATAATAATTATGAATAATTGACTATAACTGTTTAGCACGTTTTCGTTCTTGCTGAAGATTTAAGTGTGATCTACATACCACCACATGTCTGGATTTATGATGGATTTGGTTTTCTAGAATTCCCAAAGAATTTTAAGAAATCGATGCCAATGAAAGATGGTCATGTTACCATATTCTCAAGCAGGTGCTGAAAAAAGTTAAAATTTCAAATTTTTAACGATTTTCAAGTTTAGTGGAGCTAATGCCGCAAAGCCCAAATTTGTAGCTCATTCTTCACAAAGCAGTCAATTGATGGTGTATGAATACTTTGATAAATTATTCGACCTGCTCGTCGAAAAAGACCCAGATTATACTTCCATTAATGGCCATCATTTAATCACTAGTGGTCTTCATTGTCATGATGCGTGGTCCTACTTGTACTATGTGCTGATCAAGGGTGAAACTTGTGTACTTGCCGAGTCCACGTTTGATATCTGGAGAGCATCATTCCTTGATCGAGTAGCTGGTTTAATTGAGCAATATAGGGTGAAAAAACATTTCCAAAAAGTTCAAATATTTTATTTAAGATACCGCTTATTCTTGCAAATGCTCAACATCTAAAATGTTTTGTCAAGTATGAAGTTCACAATATCTACGACATAACTTCACTAAAAGTTGACTGTGAACTTTTGTGAATATCAAAACATCGGGTATTTCAGATTGTCGCAAACACTGGAACAACACTTTCAAAAACGATTGCACAAAAAATCAAACAGATGTTGAATGTATCAGTGACCCAAGGTTACATTCTGGCAATGTTTTCAAACTTTCATTCATTTTCAGCCTATTCGGCGACAGAATTCGGTGTTGTCGCCTATGAGCTCTTCGATGAATCACTCGACAGCAATGTTCTTTCTTGTGGTACTCCTTTCACTGGCACTCAAGTGAATGTAATTATTGATTTAAACGTGTTTTCTTCTTGAAAATGAATTGATGCAGATTTTCCAGATTGCGGACCTTAGAACTGAGCGAGAGGTTGAAGTAGGCGAATGGGGACAAGTTTGGGTTAGTGGGAATAGTCTGTTCACGGAATATATTGGAGAAAACGCTGACAATGACTCAAGAATCAAAGCGTGGTATAGAACAGGTATTTTTGGGTTAAATGAGTGAGCTAGAAGCGGAAATAGCGGAATTTAGGAGACTATGGCATGGTGGATCATAAAAATCGCATTCATATTGGAGGACCTGTTAGCCAACTACTAGAAATTCGGGGTAAAAAGGTATTCATTATATAAATGTCCTTAAAAAACTCAAATAACAAATTTTTAGATGTCTCCAGAATTTCTTGAATCAATTATGAGCGAACACAATGGTTTTGAGGACATTGTTACGATGAACAACGGACGTGAATTGTGGTGCGGAGTGCTTATCAAGGATGATGACAGTGCCCCAAGTATTGATGAACTCGACAAAATTCTCAAAAGTAAACTAAAGCTCTTCTTAAAATTGTATTTCTTTTCTTCTAGAGCACAAAGTCTTGGCGAATGTTAGTAAAATAGTGACGCTTGACTTTATTCCACGTTCGGAAAATGGTAAAGTTCTCCGAAATGAGATACCGTATCTCATGAATCTTGAGCACGAGGAGACAGTCGTTGCGGAAAACAGCGAATCTTACATTTAAATCAGAATCTTGTAGTTATCTTGAATTGGTGCTACTTTCATCTTCTCACGGAATAAACAACATTTTAATGAAAATTGAATACTAATAAAAACACCAAGAAATTTCGACATCGCGAGAATTGGCTCACAATTGCATATAGGAGGGGGTATCGTCATTCTCGTTTTGCGGTGATGGCAACATTCTGTGATCTGATTGCATCGGGAACGCGTCAAGAGATGTCGAGGTGTAGATGAAGTTTGGGCGGCGGATGGTGATGATGCGAGATGCTGATGGCTCAGGCCGACGATTAAGTTGAAATTTGCGGTATGTCGATTTCTTGTTGAGACCACAACGACTAGTCTCGAAGATATGTGGAAATAAGACTTCGGCTCCAATAATACATGGCTGCTTGAGGTATTCTTGAAGGCAAGCAATATAGTCAGCAGCCTCTCTGAAATGTGCCATCAATAGCAATAATTATTCGTTGAAATGTTTTACCTTAGAATTTGAACGCGGGACAATTTCACTTGGAAATTGGATGGTGGAAGAAGGAGCAGAAGCGTCTCAAACATATCGTTCAGCTGATTGACCCTTCGTCGCTCGCGGCTGCAACACAGGTTTGCCGCAAAAAATTTTGATTGGGGGAAAAAATTGGCAAACCTGTTGGCCTTCAGACGTCTCTCGAGCTCGGCGACCTCAATTTCCAACTTTCGCGCTTCAGCAGACATTTCGAGCAGATAGTCGAAACGAAAATATGGGGCGATGGTGTGTTACGAAGTGAAAATAAAACGAGAAAAAAATTGTATTTCACAGCCGGCGTGCCGGCTGTGCTGCGCGATCGAGAATGAAACGCAAATTTTTTTTTGATAGCACCACCTCACTCACATACACCCACTATTTTTTTCTTAATTTGTCAACGCAAATTTACCGCATTAGGCGAAGAAAAAGTATGAAGGGATTGAAAAGAGTGTCGGCAACATCTGATAAACATTTGCATTGCCATCTCGGGTTATTTCCCGCATAATTTCATATCTTCAAGGTCGGCCATGATTCAGTTTTCATACTGTGGATTTGAAAGACAATCAAGCATTTTTGTTTCAAACTTCGTGCCACAATTTTGAGGTGATGATAAGACCATGGTCAAAAGTATTGAATTCCGTTCTTTTGCTTTCATATCTATTGCTCTACAAGAAACAATTATTTTTATTATGAAGCTTTTCAAAGTCAATGGATAAAATTTTTAGCATTTTTCTTACTCTAAAAGTGAAAACCCCATGCATTTATTTAGTATTTTTATCAATGCGTTAAACCACTTTATTGAGATTTTCATATCGTTATATGCCTTTTTAGGATCATAATTTCAAATCAAATATTAGAGGTTGTAAATATGTTCGAGATAATTTTGTTTGTTTTTCGCATTAAACAAACATACCATAAATGATAAAGTGTCGCATCGAATTTTCAGTATGTACTCATTCATGCGCCGTTTAAAACTATCCAGTTTGAACGCCTCGCCCATTCGCCATTCAGAGTTAAACAGTTAACGATTGTCAGTGAATTGCCTGCTTCATTTTCTTAAACGATTCGCATCCCAGACCATCTGCCTCCAGCAAAAGAAAGTAGCAACTGGTTTTCTATTATGTATACAGAAGGTGGTGGTCATCACATCATTTCAGCAAGTGATTTCAACAATCGTCGTCGTCCTCCGTGGTTTTTTTTTGGCACGTCCGACACCCAATCATTATCCGTTCTCCCGTATAATTGCCCAATCGTTCCGACCGTTAAACACAAGAAAACACCTTTCGTTTCTTCATTCTATTCAATCGACCGAAGGCAACCATAAATTATGATAATAATGTTTCAAGTTTATCTTGTCGACAGCATATTCATACATATTTTCACAACGTCGGGTTTCAATCTATCAAGGCCGCCGTACGCAGTACCTATTCTCACGCATAAGGTCGTTTATCAAATCAGAAGTTGCCTCCAATGAAGAACTACATTCCATTTCACGTAACAATGCTCAAGTTCCGGTTCTTGACCGCTTGTTTTCACGAGGTGTGCGGCGGCGCAATAATATGTATTGTCGATCGGCAGCTTTTTCAAGAGCCCGACTCGCACTTATCTTGATCGCGATTTTCTGCACAATTTCTGGTGGCATTTCGTTTTTCCTTCTCGCAACGCGATTTGCTTGCGCGCGCACGCGAGCTCGTCACCCGCTAGTTTTTTTTTGTTCTGCTCATTTAATTAATCATTGTGTTTGGTTTGCTCGGTACTACTTTTACCGTAATGTACATGTACAGCGAAATTCGATATCTCTTTCTCTGCGCTCGCCTCGATTCTCTCGACTGGGTGTCTAAGATTTCGTCGCCGAGATATCGTTATATAGTGATAATTTCCATCAATTGACTAATAAACATGTCATTTTGGTTTATACACTTCATTCTCATATTCGCAATTTCGCACTTTATAGTTTCATCAACACGTGTTATTCCCGAATATTACCTAATTTTCCTAATCTCTCAATCCACCGAATTATATTGTAAATTCCTTTCTTAGTGTAATCCAAAAAGCATCGAATCCCATTACACCCGACCTTACACTATTTATTTCGTTTTTGCAGTTTTTTTTTTGAAATTCGCAATAATTTGATTGATAGCCATTACAATCAATCCATAATATCATTTTGCTTTTTGATTCGTTGCTAAAAAGAAACATAACAATCTGTTAATTTTTTGTAGAATACATCAAGCGTAAATCAACTAGTTTCCCCTCCCCCACCGCTTTTATAAACAAAAAATGCATAATTGCTAAAAACATAAACAGAATCATGCATATGTCATCTAAAGACATGATTATTTGCTTCTCAATTTGGTGAGAGCTACGATTCCTGCGCTCCGGTCGTTTTCCCTTTTATTTGCCGACATTTCAAATCGGACTTGCGCATCCCTTCGCTGTCCCTGCTTAACCGTTTCTTCATATCACATCCGATTTGCATGAATGCTTGATTACCAAACTTCTGTCACTTATAATTAAAATTCAATTCAATTGACCAGTCATCAAATTAATGAAAAACCATTTCATCATTTTAAAGTGGATATTATAGTCTTCCTAATAAGGAAACTATTTTTTGGGAACAAAAATATTAAAAATCCTCTATTTGATTATTTTCTAATTTATTGTCATATTTATAACAAATTTTAAACCTATTCGTCCTTTGCCTTATATGGTCCGCGCGGAGCAAAGAGCACACCCCCCACCCTCCCATTTTATAGGCGTGCCTCTACCGTAATCATGTCTAGACGCGTAAAACTGTCAAGTCATCAGCACAATACAAAATTTGTCCCCCCGTTTTCTTTTATTATAATAAATTCGCGTTGAATGTTGTATGGTACTTGAAATCGATCTCGAGAAATTCACTATACAACCCAGACCAGCTTCTTTTCCGCCATGCGTATGTTTCAATTAAAAGCGTCATAAATAATTTGTGATTAGAGCCCATTAGATTATTACACCCAACCATCACCGAAACAAACAAACAAATTGGTTTCTGCCGCAAGGTGCTGCTACTGCTGCCTTCATTCATTGTATGTATAGGTCACCTTGACTTAAGAGGTTCTACAACTTCACCTAATGAGTCGACTATTGTTTACGGTTCGGAATTCGGCACCGCTTTCCTGTGAATCGGCGACAAATTCGACGTCGCGACAACTGTTGGTCATTTATTGAATACCAATTAACCCGTTTCCCTGGTGTTAATGTTTCATCGGATTGCTTATTTATGATCGGGAGTGAGATTGGAATGCGACCCCGTTCGCCCGCTTCATCACACTTTGCGCGTCTTGCCCATTTTTTTCACGTTTCTGTTACTTTCATCTCTGATTTCTGAGTCCGACTTTCTAAGCCATAACCAACTCATAGAGCATGTTGACATAATGCTCTCAAAAAATCTGTGCTCAACAACCCATGCTCGTCTATTTTAAACTTTTTTCATCACTTTGTTCTCACATTGGTCAAGTATCGACAAAATAGTTTGACTTCTTTTTGCAGACACGAATGAATGAACGTTAGTTGAAAAGAAGAAAAATTTCCAAGAAAATGTCGGGACGTAAAATATTGCGACGATTCTCATCGAGCATCTCAGGTAGGTATATTTTGATTCATATTGTGTGTAAATAACTGAACCAATGGGTCATACAACAATTACAAATCCGGCGTTGTTTGTTCATCGGTTGAAGTTTCATTTGAATGTTTGACATGAGATATCGACTTGTACGCCAGCAAACAGGTCTCATCTCTTGACCATGTAAATTTTATTCAAATTGAACAAATACAGACATGAATTCAAGTGCGTTAAAAAAAGTGCTTTTTGACGTTTTGAGAAATAAGGGAGCATTTTCAGATCTTCTCAGCCTCCAGAGAAAAGATGTTATCGATGAAATAGAGAAGTTTGTTGCCTGAAATTACATTAGGTGAACTTTGGGAATTTACAGTACTACACCCCTACATAATGCTGTCCAAATGGGCAATACAATAATGGCAACGAATTTTGTTGAATCAAAATCTGTATGGATTGATGAGGAAGATGGAAAAGGTATTATCTACCATGAATAAATTGTTTCATATTCTGATGATAGGACGAACTGCTTTACATTATGCAATGGAACAATTTAACACTGAAATGGCCTCTATTTTGCTTCAAGGCGGAGCAAATGTGGATTGTGTTGACTTCGAAGGAATCTCAGCCTGCCATATTGCCTGTCGAGATGGGATGATCGATCATGTTTGACAAATTGCACTCAAATGACATCCAAGACTCTTGATTACTTTTTCAGTTCAATCTATTACTTTATTACCACGCTGATGTTTGCGCTATTGACAAATCTGGCAAAACGCCATTTGATTTGGCTTGCGAGTTTGGGCAAGAAAAAGTGAGTGCGGAAATTTAGTTTTTCTCTTGAAATCATAGTCTTTAATCAGATGATGGAGAGATTATTAACCTGTGGGGTTAAGAAGGAATGTCTGTTGAATGCCGGTTTAGCTCATACAGCTTCTGCTCTTCATCTAGCCGCCAAAAACGGGCATGTTCAAGTAAGCTTACCCTCATAATGGAAATGTTCAAAAGTTATTTATTAAAGATTGTGTCACGTTTACTGGAAAATGGATGGCCTATTAACCGCGTCAATGAAACTGGAAGTGCTCTTCATTGTGCTGCAGGATTTGGAAAATCTCAAGTGGTCCGATTCCTTTTACGAGTATCATTTCATATATATTATTCATATTTGGGTATATCAATTATAGGCCGGAATAAACACCAATTTGACCAATGCTCAAGGTCAAACTGCTTTCGAATTCGCCAAAAAGAATTCTTCAAAGAACCCGATCACATATAAGGAAATCCGATTTTTGCTCAAAAGTGAGTCGAACGAAAATAACGAGGGAAAGGGGGGGGATGTGCATATGCGCGCGGTGTGAATTATTAGCCTCATTTTTCATTATTATTTTTCTCATTGCAATTCGATTTCTTGACGGTGAAAAATTGTCGAGACGAATGTATGTACCTTTCGCCAGATTGATGAGCTTTCTTGTTTTTCGCGCGCCATCCCCCCCTTCTCCTCCGCGTGCGCGCGGTGCCAATTGTGTAAATGTCAATTAATCACATTGAAAATGCGGAAATCATAAATCAGTTGGCCACGTTTCTGTCCAACGCCAACTGCATCCGCCCTGTCAGCTGAACATATGTATTGAATATTATCGTTTGGTGTTACCGCAAATTGTAATCTGATACTTGCTGCCAAGGCAAACTTGTTGTTCTTCGTTCACCTTTTTGTTTGCTACAATATTCTGAATCTCGCTGAACAAAAAAATCTTGTGGCGCCATTTCTTTAACATAAATCGTTTTTAGCACCGCGCATCTCAACAGTTAATCGTGCGAAAATCGGCAATTAAATGATATTGTGTTTCTCGTTTTTTTATAGCTTCATAAGGCGCGGTGTCAGATTTTGATCCGCCGACACAATTTTTCCACAGCGCCTTTTATGGGATGGGATTTTTGCGAGGTGTTGTGGCAAAAAGCTACCTATGAAAGATATTCCACCTGTTTATCATTTGTTGTATCAATTTTTTAAATGATAGAAAGAGTTTCGCTAATTCGACGTGTGGTTTTAAAAATTCGTTTTCTTCTTCACTTTCTTCTGCCTTTTGAAATTAAAAAAGTTAGACTTAGAACCACAAGCCTATGAGATTATTCCATATTTAAATAACAATAGAGGCAAATAGTTATAAAATTACGAAATAAATCAAGATTTTCATTCGAGAAATGTTATTGGTAATTTTTAAACAAAATATCGACGCGTTTTATCATTTATAAAAAATAGGTTTAACATTTTTAAAATTTATTATTACTAACATCGGAATATAAAATGTTAAAACGAAATGTAAAAATAGTATAAGATCAATTTAGTTTCAAGGTTTCAAGCTATATTTCGATTAGAATTTTCAATGAAGACTGCATGCAAGCTATTGAGAATATTTCAGTTGAAATCAAAACTTTGACAGAATTGCTAACAAGTTTCTCATAACTAGTAATAGTATGCCAAACGCACACTTTTCCGAATCACTTGAATTCCAAAAAAAAAACGTCATCCCACATTCTATTTATCGATGCGCAAAAATCTGCCGCGTTTATACGCCTAATTTAAAAATGCAACATTGTCAGTCGGGTGGGCACCAACCATATGTCACAACGGATAGATGTCAAAAAATTGAAGTGACATGTCAGAAGCGCACGGTACCTCATTTATTCTACTCCACTTCATAGTCTCGCGATAAGGTGTTATGTTTCCGCGCCTGTTTGCCTCACATCCCTAATTATTCATTAAATCGGGTTCAATCTGATGCGCTCGAGTCGTATTTATCCCCTCCGTGTTGAGGTCGTATATCAGCCTTGATTATAATGCACTACCTCTACTCGCATATCCGTTCGTTCGCGCTGCCTCATTCCGTTTCATTTACTTTACATTACAAAAAAAATCTGTTCCGTTCGTGGTATTCTTGCATACGACACCTACACACCTATAAATATAAAATGAAACGCGACCGAAAAAATTTGCGAGTCGGCTATAAAATAAAATAAATCTATAAAAACGCGTCAGTTTTCTTGTTTCAAATGTCACATAAATTTCATCATCCACGTCAATTTCTGAACCAGTTCGTTCGCATATCGTAATAATTAAATTAATCAATAATTTTGTTGTTGTTTTTTGTCATTACTCATATATATTTTTAAATATTTATTGTAAATTATTCTTAAATTTGAACAAGTTCATTTAGATCAATATTGAATATTTTTTTGATCATAAATCTAATCTTAAAATGTCAAGAACATTTCAGAAATAGTTGAATGAGAAATTGGATGTTCTATGCAACCAAACCTTCCTTCTTTGCCAGGTGTTAGCACCTACAATCATTATCTTTTCGATAATCTAACATTCAAACTTGTCATCTTGTCAACGTTGATCAATCACACGACCATTTCTAGTTTTTTCTCAGAGTTTTGCCCCTACGTTAGCTACTTCTGTTGTTGCTGCTGCTGCATTTTCAATATTTCACCGCGATTTCACTTCAATTATTCCCGTCACATGCCATTAAATCCATCGTTTTTCGCCTTCTACTGCTTTTCGCAATTTTTTTTTTGTGGAAGGAGGATGGAATGGCATTGCTTCTTGGCAGATGAAAATCTTTCATACCCATCGAGGTGTGAATATTCAAATAGGCGAAAAAGGTATACATAAGTGTGTGCGCATTCTTGAAAACTGCCGCTGGGTTTTGTTGGTGCGCAAATATTGTGGCAACTGTGTCTATTGCCATGATGAATACAGTAATTTATTTACGCATATGGTGAATATCGCATCCGCGTTAAAAACAGTAATATATTATGTGGGTGTGTGGTGCGATAAAAGTGCGCTCGCTGACTGACTAAAATAGGATGAATGATGTTCACGGTCACCCGTCGGATATCTTTGATTCCTGTTCATACAATTCTCCTCCCATTATTCGCATATTTATGTATGTAGGTGCCCCTTTACGTTTTAATCTTAGCTATGCACAAACATAACGCAACCAACTACTTTTTTTTTCACCATTGATTACGATCTGAGTCACGCAAGTTTCTTATTCTACTCAGCGCCTTCACCATTCTGAGTTGGTAACTAGCACTGCGCGCACCTGTTATGAGTAATTGGGTTGCTCATATATATTATTGTTGAGCATATTAACAACGGTGAGCAGCTCGTTGACCTCTATTTAGGGTATAGCATTACAATTCTCCCACATTATTCTTACTTATTGTAAATTAAACGTGGGAAATTTTATATCAAACGTTAAGATTTATTTCTTTTTTTCAATAATTTTCTTAGAAGACTTCATGCAAAATTCTATCATAACCTGCTTCTCTTCAGGCTTATTTGTGGTTTTGCATTAAATCTTTGTAATCGAACAAATTATTCTTTTTAAAGTCACGCATATTACAATGCATATTACATCGTGATAAATTATCGAAAATTGATGTACAGTTCAAACGTCGCCGCCGCTGTCGCGTTTCCGTTTATGCATTAACACTTGATGCAACACGTTGTTTTGGACCAACGCAATTAGACATAAGAGCCTTCTTATCGGGTGTTGTGGGGTGGTCTTTTGGCGGGAAAATCGCCATTGTCGGGGCGACTCTTTTATATGGCGGGTTGCACCACGCGTCGGTATATCCGGCAGGGTAGCAAAGCACACCTTCCGGAGTGTCTCACGAAATATTATTTTCCATGTTAGAAAATTGTTTCAATCTTTTAGTATGTTTTGTTTACAAGGAAAAAATACACGTTTAAAATTTTTTGTCAAACAAAAATATTTCGAAACTAGGAATTCTTTTATACATAAAGATACTCTAATTTGAAAAGAAGTGTATTTAATAATTATACCATACGCAAACTCTTTGCGGTTTCATTGGTCTATTAAAATTAATGGGAATCCTTTGCTATGACTAATATTATTATTGTTATTATTATGATTGTTTTAATATGATCGTAGTTTCACCCCCGCGGCTTCGGCATGCAATTTCGAATTTAATGATGATCGGCCCGCTTCCTTCAGTCAGCGTGCCGCAGCATATTATCCGCCGCTTCCGCAAGCAATCGCGCCAATTCTCGGCGAGCGTCAACGCGCGCGCGAAGACGCGAGCATCATTTCTCGTTTTTGTGAATGTTTGCCTTTGACTGCGATCTCGCTTCGTTTTGATATATATCCATTATCCGTTGACGTTGCCGTGCTGTCGGGATTGTTTCACGCTATGCATACACTGATATCTCGCAAAGATTGCTTCAATAGTATTGCCCAATTGTTGTTGCATTTTTGACCCATTTTTTTTTTCTTCGCAACACTCGAACTGTTCGCTTTTCTTCTCACAAACATTGAGCACACAGAGTGGCTGGGTATACAGCCAGACTATTTAACAACATGTTTAATTCCTATTCACATAAATCTTTAATTTGTATTGTTCCTGACAAACAGCTTTAAAAACTCGTTCCGGTAGTTTCCACTAGTTGCAAAACTATGTATTGTATTGCAAGAATTTCGACGAGAATGTTGGATTTGACATTTTGACAAAAAAAATGTGGACATTGTTCTCAGAATTTCAAGATGCTTGACCTTCGTTCTCCTATTACCATATGAATATGAATGTTGTTATTCTTTTGTGGTAATTAATTGTGTTCGAAAAATCTCAAGAATCCTCGATCATTGTTCGGTTCCTGTCTCTCTTCTATCGAAGAGCTTGGTGGCTGGCAGGCAGCGCGACGTCGTAAAACCGACGCCACTTCAATATTCGCCAAAAGGTCACCAGCCCACCCAAGCAGCAGGATTGAAAAAAAAACCAAATGCCGTCGATGAACAGTGTCATCATCATTTACTGCAGTAAAAAATTTTCTAATTTGTTCGTTCCCATTTCTGCTTTTTCAACAATTTGGAAACCGTCTTGTTTGCTTATTTCGAGGCTTGAATTTCCGATGGCCAATATTTCGTTCATCCATTGTTACTTTGCATATTGTGGCATGCGCAATTAGTCATGTTGTGATCATCACATTGCATGTCACCTCGCACATTGTGTTGTGCAATCTGCCCATCATGTACTATTTGTTCTAGGTAGCATATTTGACCTCTTTTTTTATATCACACATTCGCATATTCTGTTTACTAGCTTTCGTTGTTGCGTGTGTAGTTTCTCTTGGAAATTTCTTTGCACAAGTTGTTAGGCAATATTTTAACATTTCGATTTTTTTTCCAACATGTGAAAAGGTATGTGTCTCGCATCCATGATTTTTTACGACTATTGCGCAGTTCGAAAAACGGCCTGAGTTGAAGATGAATACATTGAATTGTTTGAAAAAAAATTGCGCCATTCCTTGTTTTCTGTGATCTTGCCGCTACACGTTGTTTGCAATTTTTTTTTTCTATTTTTTTCCATGAAAGTATTTCGAAAAAATGTAGCACATATTGATTTTTTGAAGAATATTTAATAAAAATTTTTTGGAAAAAGTTTTAAAAAATTATCTTCTTCTCAAATTGCTCGTTTTGTACTCAGAAATTTAAGAGCATTGAAAGAATTCTCATTTTTTATTCAAATAACTCAAATTTGCGTATTCCTTTGTTCGGAGTTGTTTTCCAATTATGAATAGTTTACATTGCCTCCTTCCTTTCTTTCAATGAATTCTTTAGAAATTCACATCTAGGACGTTTTTGTCATAATTGAAAAAGAAGACATTACATATTTTTCTAATAAAACCTGACGATATTAATTCTCACTTTCAGTTTAATCTCAACTTCTATATGTGATGTGAATTCCATTCTAATAAATGCGAGAAAACAAATCTCACCGCCGTTCGGGATTTATGAGATTTGATTTCGCACGCACTCAACATATTGTTGATATGGTTCAACATCCGACCTGTCCGGCATTTTGCCAATTCGCAATATTTCTTAGCCGCCGTGCTGTCCGATTATATTCAACTCCATTTTCCTGCCGAAAATGGGCAGGTGATGCATTAAATGGATGGATAGTGCACATTTTCGGAGGCCGAAGATAGATGAGGTGTTCGATGCCGTACGACTTAATCCTTGTGTGTCTTTCTGTTGTTTTCGAGCCGGATTAGAAGTCGGGAGAGTGGGGGGTCTAGCTATTTTTTGCCCAATTCCCCCAATTCCTAATAATGTTCCATTTAATACCGTCTTTTCGCTGCGCGTTCAAACAGCCGACCATATTCGTCACCCTGTTTTTGTTTGACTTTCCGATTTCAATTTCATCCGTTTTTTTTTCGTCATCTCTGCTCAAAACCGAATCATGGCCTTGCAAGAAAAAAAAGTTGTTGATTGTTTGTTCAACTCATTGCAATTCGACTCAATTCAAAAACAAAATTTGTTCATCTTTCAGATTGCAAGAACTTTGTGAATGCGATAGCCGTTAGCGAGCACGCTGGTATCAAAGCCGACGAACTCTCATTCTCTTTTGGCGACCAAATTTGGGTACGTTCATTCCGACAAATGTTTATTTTTTCGTTATCTCGCCTCAATTTAAATGCTTGGTGTTCATACTTGAACGCGCATGAATAAACAAAATAATGGTTTTTGGGGGCGCTTCGAAATGACAAAAAAATCCATTTATACGATTTGCTCAATAAATTATCGTTTAGGCAATTGAAACCAAATCGGGTTGTGTTCAATTAAACGTATTGACTTGTTCAATTCAACCATTCCATCTTTTTTTTTTCAGTGAAATTGCTTTTCACGAATTAGTTAGATGCGATTAAGCGCCTCCAATCAATGTACTTTTGTCTTGAAAAAAATAATTTCTAAAATAGACTCATAGCGTCCACACATTCCCAAGTAATGTAGTCGACCCGAAATGCGGTTTATGATTGCGTGAAAATGCATTTTCCCGTTTAAAAAACACGCATCTGATGTTGTAGGTCGTTGAACGAAACGGCGAAGGCCACTGGAAAGGCATCGTCTTCGGCCAAAAAGGCAATTCACGAAGCGGATATTTTCGATCCAGTACCGTCGTCATCAAACCAGGCGAGAAGAAGCGACTACAACGCTCTCAAATCAGCTCATCAAGTTAGTTTGCTATTTATTAAAGCTTTCTTTTGTTGGACTGTAGCAATCAGAAAAAAAAATGGGACTGTGTGGCAAAAACGGTGCAAACCAAACAAGGAAATATTGAGAGTTTGCTGGAGAGCGCGCATCACTGCCAAAAAATGTTATCAACTATTTGTCGTCACGCAAAGAAACATTGAGCGTTCCACATCGTTTCCAACTACCCCCAGTTTCTCCCCAAATAATAACTCAATTACAAATCGGCGACCCTCGAAAACATATCCTCATTAGTGCTGGTATTATTATCAAGCACCTGCTGCACTTATTGTTGTATGTATTTACTGTCAAGTTTAATCCTATTTTGGCGTCGGAGGGTGTCGGTTCGGAGTGAAGGCCAGTATGAATTATGAGTGTTCGAGTAATCCTCTTCTACCCATCCCGCCTCCTTTCACCCATTAGCTGTTTGGAAATGTTGAAAGTTCCTTTTGTTTTATTGCCGTTTTTATGGATGTTCTGAGAACGAGTAGGAGAAAAAATAAGAATGTGCGATGTTGCTCGACAACTTTTGCCATATGTACATTTCGACTGACTTCAAAGAATTTTTAGAGAAAAAAAAAAACAAATTTCAACGAAACGTTTGGCTCATTTCGTTTATCTTATCTCTTAATAGCGCCTTTCGGAAATTGCCGCCACTAGGTGATACCGTTCAGCGGAATTTGCTTCTATTTTTGAGACTGCACAGACAAACAAAAATGTTCTCATGTTAAGAAACGTTTTCATATGCAAATAATAGCGTGTGAAATTGGAACCCGACACCCAAAATTGCGTTGACGTTCTCCTGCAGCTTCCCTTACTTTTTGATGTCGCCGTTTTGTCCGCTAAATAATTTAAATTGGGTAATGAAAACTGCATTTGGGCATTGCACAGTTGAACAGATGTCCGACAAGCAGGCTGACCGCGCCAGGACAGCGGGAAAATATGCATTGTTTCGAATTCGTCGCTGGTGGCCTTGGATCATCCAACTCATGTCTCATTTGACTTTCGGTGCTGTTGGCTTTCCCCACCCAACATTTCCTTTTCGCGTTAATTTTGTTTTCGACACATACGTTTTAATATTCGAAAGATAAAAATCAATCTCCGAAATTGTTGGGTAATAGGTGCGAAAACACATTTGTATATTTGTTGACACATTCTACCATCCGAGAACAAGGTGTGCTAAAATAATACGATTTTTGTACCTCTCCACTTTGGTTGATTGTCATTTTTCTAGGTGCAACTCATTCTATTGTTCCATATTTAATTGCAATTTACAAAAATTTCCCATGATTCTCAAGATGTAGCATTTTCAAAATATGAAATTTTTGAAACTTGAGCGTCATTCTAATTAGTGTATACCAGCCTTTTCTTAATCGCGAGGTTGGTTTGGATAGAAATTCTCAACCGTGAGATTTTTGACCTCTTGAATGCATAAATATCCACTTTAAAGGCGCCTAGAGTAGGCGTATTGGTTTCGTGGCGAATTTCACTTTTTCGAGCCAACTTTGTTTTTTTCTCGTTTGTTATCCTCCGAAATGCTTTCACTGATTCATTTCTAAACAAGCGAGTTCGATTTGCGCAAGAAAAAAAAAACGTACGTTCTTCTTGCGCTTTTTTTTCCGGCCGCCTTCCTGTCGCATTATTTTCTTCCACCACCGCCACTCCGCCGCCATCCATCATGTGCCTCATTGAAAAACCCAACAATTATCATATGGTACCATCGTTTTATTAATTGTGGGTTCCAATGAAGACTGCATCTGTTGATTTGCAGTTAGTCACAAAGAAGATTGGTTGGAGGGGGGTGAGGAGGCCTTCGTTTGAAATGGGCCGCCGAACAACCTTTATTCATTTTTTTTGCCTTTCGTCACACTGACTCACAGCTTTTTGGTCATGCTTATAAAACAAAACAGAAATAATAAAAATAATAGTATCGTGAAATACGTTGTTTGGTGGAAATTGCCGTGAAAATTGCCTTAGACTAATCTTACTAAATTTTCGCTAAAGTATTTATGTTTTTTTGGTTTGGCGTTGTTCAGCTTCATCCAACTCAACGCAAAAAATAATAACCAAAAAATTGAGCGTGTGTCATCGCTAGCACTTTTCTTACTAAATATATATACATGTCCGTAAGACCCAAATAATCGTCTTAACGTTTTATCACCTTTTTTTAGTCATTTTTGTGGTCAAGATGGGTGAAAATCGAAGGTTAGCCCAGTTTTATGAGCAACATATTGCACATTGTCGTTTGGGCGGCGAAATCGATTTGATTCCAAATTTCTTTATTCTTTCACTTCGGCTTCTTTCAAAATTCCCCAAGCAGTTTCGCATTATCATTTTTCAAACATTATTGCCCTTTTTTGTGGGGGTTCCCAGAAGAACACACACGTTGAAAAATGATTTTCGCCAATTCCATTCTTGTCCTGCGAGTAGATTTTTTCGACCTCTTTTTTTTTCGCGCAAATTCATATATTTTTCGCCGGTCCGACAGACGCATCAGTCATCACGAACGTTTCCCAAATTCCCGATGGACTGACTGATAGAGAGCCAATTTTTTTTGTCTGTGGTTTGAGTTGAAATTTTGAGGGTTGCCGAAGATGGCAATCAGCAGAAATCATGGCACCGTAGCCTCGAGGCTACTATATGAGTATACCTTATTATTGCTGCGAAAGATTAAACCATAATTTATACTATATAAACATCTAGATCCTTTTGTTTATACTATGCTCTGAATCATAATGTTTGTTTTTCAATCAAGAGAACTTGTCAATCCAATACCAACCACGAATAGTTTCTTGTCAAGGTTTTCAATAAAAAAAAAGCTGTTTGTCATCCTTCGTTTGCCTCTTGAAATTGAATTCATACATTATGATTCAATGCGCGTTTTGCTATTGTTTGAAACTAAGACGAAAGCGTCTAGTGGTATTGGCTACGAACATAACTTTATTTTTGCGCTCTCGCTGGTTTTTATGATCGACTTTAATGTTTGCAATGGTGATGACGAACCATTAAAGCACACAATCGCGAAAATGTTGATGACTTTTTAATATTGCGTGTTGATTGTTGTCATATTCGGGAGGATCCTTTTAAGATTCGCGAAGCCATCTGCCGGCCACTTGACGCCTCTTGGCGAAAATAAATTTGGTATAAAGTTTATATGAATGAATTAATCGGGTCCCATATGTGTTGCCAATGTATTCATATGCGTGGCCACTTCCCACACATTCATAAATTTATCATTTGATTTATTGTTAAAATATTGATGAAACAAACACAATGCAAATATATTGCGCGTGTGAAACGACGTGATTCTTCCTTTTGTTTGAAGAAGACAGTTCGAAGTCCTCGTTCAGTTTGTTTGAGCTTGTTTCGCGCTTCAATTTTTTTGGACCTTTCATGCTTGAGAATGTTTATCACTGAGCGAAATCTGGGTGCGGCAAGCACAAGGTGCACATTTTTGACATTTTTTTCTTGCTGAGCATTTCCTTTTTTTCAATTTCGGAAACTAAGATTGGTTTTTATAATGAGAAAAAAAAAGCACCAAAGAGATTGATGGGTTTATCTTCATTAATGGAAATATAAATGCGTTTCGCATATTTTAGGAGGGCTTTTTTACTTATACGGTAGCCGAATTTGAATTAGTCAAACCTTTACTTTTATGAATTTTTTAAAGTGAATCTTTGAAAAAAATCTCTTGTTGCATTCTTGTTAAATATTTCATATCCTACTTGTCAATGTTTCTACGCACAACGTCAATATGAATCAGATTGACCGTCCGATCATTTTTCATATCCTTTAATCAGTTTCCAATAACAGTGTTTCTCTCTCTCTCTCTCTTCTTCGGACAACTATATTATAGTAGTCAATTGTGGTCGCCCGTATAAATCATCGCCAGTGTGACCTCTTCATCTCATCCAAATCGATGGTCCGGTTATTACATTTGGTGCGGTGGCGACGGCCCGCCCTAACTACCGCATCCTCATTAGCGGAATAGATCCTGAGAACCTGCAGTCGTTTTTTTTTTTATGGCAGGATGCTTCTGCTCGACAAGCGTAGTAATTCAACAACGCTACTAATTCATTTATCTTGCTAGCTTCTCCATTTGTTCAGTGGCTTTATTTATGTATTCATCCCAATATTAGCGAATAGTCTTGTAGAACCTCATGTCTGCTCGATTGCGCAAAAACTCGTTGCGTAATTGCTCTTTTATGCGCCAGACTTGTAAAATGACTAATAACTATGATTCTGGTCCCTCAATTTTCTACAGATTGGATCGGTTTTCTGTACTTATTGAGAAGATACCATCATTTCGCAGTTATCAATAATTTCTTGGGAGTCTTATCATTGATAACTGTTTTCTTAACTAAATTTTGTCTTCCCGTCAATTTCATATTTGTAACTTGGCATTTTCCTTTCAATTCCATATTTTTTTTAGCACAATAGTTGTTCTTTCTATTATTTGTTCAGTGTACAGTGATATTTTATTAAAAAACCACGTTGTCATTTTATCTCGTCTAGCAGGAATATGCCTTCTCTTTCAATTTTTATTTATCTATAAAACTTTAGCCATGGGAAAAGAGAAAGAAGAAACATTTGCTCTTTCATTACCAAGAAAGAAAGGAATAAGCCTTTCGGACTTCTACCGTTCAGCCACACTGCGCCCAAAAAAGCGTCAGACTGCTATTGCTACAATCAACAGACTTAGTGGTGATTAACGCGTTTTTTTTTGCAAAATTCAAAAAAAATTGTATACTAAAATATCGTATTCTAAAACTACTATTTCAGTGTCTTCATTGAGCTCACGATTGGCAATGCCGCCGAATGCACAAAATGCTCCAATGAATAATCGACACTCAGTGAAGGCTGTCCCAATGCCGATGGTCCCCTTGTCAACGTTTCAAAAAGGAAGAAATGGTATGCTTTTGCTAGACCCCAACTGAAAACAAATGGCCCTATTCATCATGTTTTCATTTCAAAAAAAATGTGGACGAATTTTTTCTATAAACACCTGCCGATGCCATAAGAAAACTGCACGTGCTATCTTTGAATGAGTTTGACCCGTCTGCTTTTGGAAATTCAATTGTATTGAATTGGCATATAATGGACAGATGTGCACTTGTTTTCAAATAAAACTAGTGCCAATACCGTAACTCCAGATGTAGAATCCTTCGTCGCAAATGGTAAAAAAAACGATCGTAAATTCATGCTTTTGTTCTTGAATTTGGGCGGTCGGTTAAAGCTCGAACTCTCTAAGAATTGAACATCTCAACGGTTCGTCGGTTCTACTCTGTGTACCATTCATATTCGGCACTTTGGTTATGGACTATTTCCGCGGTGCCCAATTCCGAGACTTCAATATAAGCATTCGAACGATTCGAGAAGCCATGAGAAGCCTTAGCGGATTTTTCTTTCGTCGTCGAGAGAATCAGGACTATCGACGGCGCAACATGGATGCTCGGATTTCCGTCAGTCGATCTAATCGTCGTGAAAATGCGGACGCTCTAGCAATTCTTAAAAGCGAACTCCGAGCACATCAATTGATTTGGCACGACAAATCATATCGTGGACGGAAGTTTAAGAAAGAAATGGATGACATTTTGGAAAAATCTGAAGATGATCAAGATGAGACAAGTGACGCTTCCACTACAATTTCCGCTGAGTCGCTCAAGAACTGTCAATCCCGTCGCGAGACTCAGGTTAGCGTTTCACCTTTTACGTTCAAGACGAAGACAAAGGTCGGAAGCGAGAAGTTGTGCAATATTAAAGCTTCTGTGGAGAAATTTACAGGACAATGGAATCGATCGAAGCATGATTCGCAGTTCACAAATTTGCCTTTCAAGGTTGAAGAGCAAGACGACATATTTGCTGAAAAGAATGCCGACGCAATATTGAAGCTATATGAAGATTATGCAGAGTCGTTGAAAGCGACTCCAATGAATGCGTCTTTTCCACTCAACGATGGAAACGCAATCAAATCTGTTTCGCATTCTGTCAACACCGATACCTGCGATGGTTATAAAAATGTAGCTTTATATGAAGAAGCTCAACCGGCGAAGATGGCGATGAATCGGGCGAGGCGTCAAACGCGGGTTATTGTCTGGAACGATGAAAACAATCAAGACTCTGAGGTCCACACCGACTATGTGTCAAATCTTCCCGAAGTGTCCATGGCAAAATTCGAACTTGAAAGATTGCGAATTGACCACCCCGTTGGGAACATTTACAAGCCGTTAAAGGGATTTGGCGCAGCGCCAATGAAATCATCAACCAGTTCATCACAAGAAGCCGTCGATGCATTATTAGAGAATATCGAGAACAAACGGATTCAATATGCGATGCCATTGTATAACACACCAAAGATTTCCGAGAAGATGTCTCAGCCATCGCCAAAAGGACGTTTGAAGCATAAGGTGCACCGATTCAAGAATGATGAAGTGAGCAGTTACAAGTTGTATGAAATTGAAGATAATGTCAATTCGTCATTGGTTGGTTCAAACGTTTTCCCGACGCCTAAAAAATCTGAAGTCAATCCAACGAGAGAAAGCAAAATTTTTGGACATGCTAATAATACCGAAATTTGCAAATCGAAGCGATTTTCGGAACGAAGGCAGACACAGATTATTGCTCCTCCAGGAGGACGCGTCTATCCAATTGATTGCAAACCACCACTTCCATTCAAAAAAGCTCCACAGATGTCAAAGCAACAATCTTCTGCAAAGGATGCTCGTTCCGTGAATCCACCATCTCGTCGGCAGATTTATGAAAACATTGAGTACTTTCGCCAATTGGTCGTGCCACCAGATGACCATCAAAAGAAAGCTTCTACTTTTACCATGCACGCATATGAGTCCGTTCCTGTGGATGGCCCAATTTCGAAAGCGTCAAGAACCAGCCAGCATGCTACTCAGACATTACCGCAAAAACCGTTGCCACCACTTCGTACTACATCACTGGATATTTACTCACGTAGACGAGCTTCATCCGCTGTATTTCCATCAACAATTCGCGAGAATATACCTATTTCGCAAAGAACCAGATTTTCGGAGATTCCAGCCAAAGTCGTTTCAACAGGGTTTCAACCAAATCGATCAGCGACACCGTCATCAAAATTTCTGGAAAGACAAGAAGCGATCGCGTTGCAAACATTTTCGAGGAATCCGACTGCAGTTGAGTCACATAGTTTTTCAACCCAACCAGCAACGTCACCATCATCAAGATTTGTTTCGACTCAATTTGGGGCCATTCGACAACGATTTCCAACACCACAAACATCGACATTGTCAACACGATATTCCGCGATTCCGGATGCTGCTTTTTCACCACGATTTCGAGCCGAGCTGGAATCAGCTCCAAGGTCGCGATTTTCAAGCAACGAAGATCTTCAGCAAAAATCCCGATCAACATCATCGCCAGCTAGACTTACATCTAATCTACGTACAGCTTCTCTGCCGCCAAGAGCGCCATCGAGACCTTGCAAGGTCATCTTGCCGCCAAAGCTGCCATCCATTCCGCGTTCTGTCAACTTGCATACAAGTTCTCCATCGCCTTCAGAAACAACATTGTCAACAAATGCTGATGTGTTCCCATCATCTAGAGCATCAGCGTCTCCAAACCACGAAGTCCGCAACGGTTCATCCAATGAAAACTCGTCCACTTCTCGAAAATCCTTTCGATTCTTCAAATTGTTTCGCAGATCGCGAAATTAAACCCCGTGGAATATGCATCGGGAACCGAATTGGCTTGCATCAAGCATTTATTTATTATATTCGTTCACTTGTTAGCCCATTAGAAATCTTTGCGGGAACGGAAACGGGTGTAACTAGTTAGTAATAATTGACGATCCACTTAAAATAATTTCATATTTTCAGATATCAACCGCAATTCATCAGGTGCGCTTTCATCATTTGGCCGTGCACCATCGGGACTTAGCGATGCCAGCAGCGACAGTAACAATGGCAACCGGTAGGGACATTCATCAAATTGTTTTTCGTGAATAATTTATTATGTTCAGACGTATGAACTCAATGAGCCAATCAACATTTGTCACTTATGGCACCGATACCGCCTCCATGCTCAATTCTGGCCGATCCAATGCAACACACAATGTCAAAGGTGAGCGATGTTTTAAATTATTTTCAGTGAAAAATTTTTAGTTAATTTAAATGAGATATGGCTCTAATATAATATTCTCTCACTCTCTTTCCGCTTTTCAACCTTCACTTTTATTATTACTATCTTTTTACGCGCTCAATTATTACGACGATATAATAATAATAATAGAGTAACTGAGATGGGTGCGCCGGTCGGGTCCGGTCAATCGGCAACAGATGATAGATCTGTCCGCGCGGCTGTCGGGCCTTTGCGGCAACGTTTTGCCGCAAAATGACAAGGACCACCATGAAGAACGATGGGGGGTCTTCAATTGTTCATTCCCCCAAATAGGAGCATCGTTTGTTTTTTCCGGTATTGTTTCTAGGTCAACCCACTAATTAGGCACGATTTTAACTACTGGAGCGCAATGCTCAAAATCCACTTTAGGGAATTGAAATCCATATGATTTGTCTCGCTGAATGGACATTGTGTCAACGCATTCAGAGTAATAGTACTATTAGTATTCAATTTAAACTATGTGCCATTGAGTATCCCTTTAAACATTGCGAAAAGAGAAAATTCTCCATCTCCTCTTCAAAATGCCATTTTCGCGATCAAAAATGGATTTTCGCGCGCCGTTTTCGGCCATAATTAATTCAATGAGCCTATTGTTTTTTTTTCTGTCGAGGCAAAGTTTGATTTCTCAGAAGTTTCCCATTGTTTCATTCAATTTTCGATTCAAATGTAGGGGATCAAATTTCGTGTTGTTTTTCACATTTTTTTTTGATGGGAATGCGAGTTGTCGTGGAAACGATTAGAATCTCTTGTAAAAATTCCGATGAAAAGCGGTTGGATTTTGAAATATTTGTGCATATATGTGAAAACACCACGTTTTTTTCCACACTATTGTTGAGCACCAAATTTCATAAGCGCGGTTGCGACGAAACCAAAAGCATTTTTCACCTGCGCCGCCAGCTTTCGACTCGACATGGACAAACCTACACATTCCTAATCGATAGGTGTTCTTTTCACGCTTTCGCTTGTAGCATTTTTTGATGGACTCTTCAGAAATAGAAAAATAATAAACAAAAAACTTTGTTTATGCCTTTTTTTAGAGAATGAAGGGCACAAAGGCGGTTTTGTCCCAAATTGCATATGCAAACAGCCTTAGTTCGACCAAATGTGTCGCTGGTTGGATGATAGGCTTAATGACGTGAAGGAGCCGTCATCATTCGCGCTGTCGTTGCTCGTCATCCTCAACCAGGCTCCGCAATTTTTTGCATCCCTCCCATATTGGTACATTTGGCTAGCATTTGGCACAACAAATGCATACGAGATTATTCCATTCTGTGTTCCACATTATGCGCGCTGGTTTTTACACGATTGCTCTACTCCTTCCTTTATGTTTAATTTATTAACTTTACGCGCTTTCAACAGAGAAAAAAAAATTGCGGAAAAAATGAACAGGAAAAGATGGGCATGATTCGTAACGAATCCTAGTCATCATCATCATCATCATGTGGCGTTCTTGTGTCCAGATGTCAAACCCATAACTGAAAACCGATTTGATTTTATTTCTTCGCCGTCGTGCTGCTGCGGCAAACAGCATTCCATTCAATTCCTCTCCTTCCGTTGACTAACAAACAGATTTGTAATGATAAAGCATCGGATTTCGAAAAGCACTTTCGAATCCGGAAAAGGTAGAAATTTGATATTTTTTGGTTGATTTTGCACTGCAACGGGAGCCATTTCCATTTTCTTACATTTTTTTTCTGCCAATTTTTTATTCGTAAATTTCTTCTTCGTTATAGAGCGCGAAAAATAAATTTTCGAAAAATCTAGACTTTTACTATTAACGGCCTGCGCCGCATGGGTTCCGAATTATTCATGTAACTCCTTTGGAGCAGAAGAGCACAGCACAATATCCAACAATTACCCACCTAGTCTGTTCACGAGTTTCTAGTAAGTCGTAACATTAAAAATGAATGTAATTCTCATCCATCATGTCATCAGCTTTCTCTTTCTCCTCTTGCCAACTTGTGGCCAAAAATTGCGAAAAACATTTTTTTGGAACATTCGCCAAAAAATCAAGCATGGATATGGTTGAGCGCGCCTAGGCCAATTTCCGTCAAAAGAGTCTTCACTCAATAATTCAAGCATGAACCGGGGGGAGACAAGCATATCCCACGTCGCACAATTGGAAATTGGGCCTTGAGTAAATTATTGCTCATTACTCGACGCCTTTCGTGTACATTTCCGGAATGGCATTGGCTTTTTGCTATATGCTCTGTGGTTGTTTTTTGTTGTCATCCCACCTCCCTCACCATTCAACCCCCACCGCGAACTCGTCTTCAGTTTTTTTTTTATGAGGCGTTTCCGTAATCGTAATAGCCTCGTCGAATGACGATTTCTTTCTCTCATTATGAGTTTTGGCGTAACGGCGGCGAGAAGAGGGAGAAAAATTAAATTCGCCCCCCATGCCTTGATGTGAATTACCTTTTCGCACACAACGTGTTTTTCGCATTCTAACTACTTCGTATTTTTTTTCTTAAAATGAAAGAAGGCGTTGACATGAGAAATAAATGAAAGAACATAAAAATTCCTTTTGGTCGCCAAACCTGCAATTTTTGAATAGTCGTTGGCTGTCGTTTTTCTAGGAGAGCACCATCGAAAGCAGCATTTTCACAGCGTTGGTTGTTTTCCGGGGAAATTCTGACGATAAATTCAAGAATACGTTTTTTTTTTAATGTTTGGCTTTGCTGAATTCTTTCGTTTCGGCTTATTATGGTAATTGAGCCAATTTTTCCGTCCTCCAACATATTTTCTTAAACTCGACACGTTAATAGAAGTCTAGTCTTTGTTAAAGTCAATGCGTTGGCGCATAATTATGATGTGAATGACAACTTGACAAGAGTAGTATTAAGTTTTATGTTTCTATTGTTTTTTTCGTCTAGTCTCTAGATTTTCATTTAGTTTTTTTTCCGAAAAAAAAAGTTGTCATTCAATGTGCTCTCTCATCTCTTCATTTTTTTCCTCCTTGTTGAATCCTAGCGCATACTTATGTAAAAGCTGATTCAATTTGTCGGCATTCGCCTAAAATGCCGTCAACTATCTCGGTTTTCGTAGTGTTTGAGCCAAAAGCGAACATCGAATCATGAATAATCGTGCAACAATTTTGGTTTTTTTTTGCAGGCCAACAAATGTTTCCATCGACAAGCGGAACTCCGCAAGGATTGTCGCCGAGCTCGGGAGAGTCACATCGTGTCTCGACTGGATCCAACTCAAGCTACGGCTCGTCTGGTTTTGAGAGCTTGAAGGTAGGCCGAGTAATTTGAGAACTATTTTCGGCTACCCCGACCTAATGTCAATTTTTCTCGCCTAAAAATAATAACAAATGAAATATTCAAAATGTAGAAGGGGGGGGCCGAAATTTATTCATCATATAAATAGTATCATTACTAATATTTGAATTGTTCAGTGTTCGGCGTCGACTTCCTCATCATTCCTCCAGACATCAATGCATGTCGCTGAAAGTCCGGCAGATTCGAATCCAAGCAGAAGCAGTGTTCATTCGACGGGAAGCGGTAGCGCTTCATCATCGCTGGCTTCGAGCTCGGTTCACGCGCTCGATGACTCGTTCCATTCGGCCTCCACTGCCGCGCAAACCCCAACTGTGGTTAATGTGACACAGATGGTCTTGAACGGAATGCCACAAGCCGAAATACTTGCCAACTGGCTCGACAGCATTAATCTCAGCGAGTACTTGACAATGTTCCTCAAGCAAGGATACGACCTTCACACAATTGGTAAGGAGATTTTTTCTATTGCAAAATTTAAATGAGATCAAGAATCACGCCTTGAGATCTTCACTATTATTCCATTGAAAAGTCATAAGAAGTATTCCCCCACCAATTTTCGACTTCATTTTCAATAACAGAATTCGATTCCCACAATTTTCAATTCTTTTTGAATAGCATTACTTATTAATTACATAAGGAGCGTAGAAAACCAACTCGCAATTTTCCCTAGTGTCTCTAAATTCATTTTGTCAGCATCGAAAAAAATAATTATTTTTGACATGAAATCTTGATGATTTGAAAGTACATCATGAGTAACAGCTCAAATATGAATCCAATTAGTCTGTCTGTGAAGAATCATTAATTACCCAAATTTGCGTCATGATAAATTAGTTACAGTAATCTCAAACGAAAAACTGCAACCGTAATATTACAGCTCGCATCGCACCGGAAGATCTCATTCCATTGGGCATCAAGAGTCCTGAGCATCGTCGTAAACTCATGGCCGATATTCACAGCTGGCAGATTGAGGATGTCTTGCCGAATGTCATTCCTCTCGGCGGATTGAGGTAATTTTGTTTTAATGCGGCTTGTTATCATTCATGGCATTTTCAGAGAGTGGCTTCATCAAATTGCATTGGTTGAGTATATCGGTGTTCTTGAATCGCAAGGGTACAACACCGTCGAGGAAGTGTTGAACTTGACATGGGAGGATTTCGAGGACATTGGAATCAAACGCCTTGGCCACTTGAAACGTCTTGGATTGGCGATCAAAAAAATTAAGGTTGGATTCGCGATATAGGCCAGAAAATTTAGAAAAATGTTTAGGACCATCGTCGTACAATGGCGTGCCGTGATCCGGTGTCGTCGCCACATTCGCCATCAATCGCACAGTTGTCTTCTCCAATGATGCCACGTGGATTGGATCGTCCAATTTTGAGTTCCAGCCGCTTCAACGATCCACCACCACCAGCGCCATCGTCGGGCCATTTCCAGCCGAAAATGAGTGCTCATGACAAAATTGACTACATCAGTTATAGCCGCGGCGGAAAAACGGCGCCGACTCCCCCAGTCCGCTATCCATCTGCTTCCGATGCGAGCAAAATAAGCGGCAAATTCGACGATCCACTTTTCGTTGAGGTTCGAATCAAATATTCTTAGTCATTGTATGAAATTGTGAAATAAATTCCAGCCAACCCCAATTCGACTCAATCTTGTTCCGGCGGGAAAAATTCTCAGCGACATTAGCAAAATGAACAAGGAGAAGGAAGCTGAGCGCGAGTTCGGATTCTATGATTCCGACTGCCCGCCGCCACCAGCTCCACTCTACTGCGAAGCCAATCCATTAAGACTTCTTCCGTTGAGAAATTCAATGTGCAGCAACGGATCGGCATCGAGCTCCGAGCAAATCCCATTCGCTAATGAAAATGTTGGAACAATCAAGTAATAGCCGAAACACCTAGAATCTTGGTTAAACAATGTGCAAATTTGCAGACCTGCTCGCGATTCGACAAGGGAAGCGTTGAAATTCGATATTCCGATGAGTTTGCCGCCAATGGTCGCCGTCGAAACAAATCGGTAAGCTTTTAACTTTTGCGCCACAAATTTTGAAACAAACCTTGACAAGTTGAACGTTAATCCGTGAGCAGTCTCCATTTATTTTGTACGATTTTGATCTTGTGAAGAGACCAAATTTAACGTTCATTCACCCGATTTTGATGAAAAAAAACAATGTTAACAATCTCTTATCAACTCGCCATTTTCGATAAGAATGCGTGCACATCATTCGTAATTTTTTCACTACATCTCTGATATGAGAAAGTTGTGCTCAAAACGTGAATTTTCGAAACTATTCTTAAAAGTTGCAACGAACAACCGATAGAAATTTGTCGGGGGGTCAGACGTCTAGTGTAAAGCCTGTCACTTCTTTTATTTCCAATTTCTGTGTGTGCGTCCATGATATTTTATACTTTGCACTTTACAAAGTTGCCCATTGATTATGATTGTGATTTGGTTTGCAGCGATCGCCCGGAGAGCGACACCGCCAAAGCATATCGTGAGATCGACACAATGATGCAGGTGTTGGTGAACGATCTTGACAGCGTCATCCTCAGCAGCAAATCGTCAAAAGAATCTGCCAAGAAATAGGCGTCCTAAGAATATCCCGCCCTCTCGATCGCCTCCCCCCACTTCCCCTATTCACAACCCAATAAAAAATGCACACAGTAGTATTAAGCAAAAAAAATATTCCATTGTTCTTTTCTATATACGTACACCAAAACCTTCTTCGTTCCCCACCCCAGTCTGTCCGAAAAATCATGACCACTACCAATACCCTTTTGGTCTCGTTCTTTGTCAATATTTTTCCCACGTTCAATTCCTTCATTCATTTCATTTTCTTTAAAATGTCCATAATTCTATTAAGTTGTAGTTGTTAGGGTTATAACCCGAAACCGGTCGTCCTACTCTGTGTGCTTTTTTTTCTATTTTTCTCTCGTTCTTATTTTTATTATTACATAATTTGGATTATTAAGTGAACTCGAAACAGAAAAAATTCTCCAACATTCATTATAATTCTAGGCAAACCGATTTTGTGTATTATTCGTTTCGATAAAGTGTTTATTGTCTCATTCTGCTTTTGACCTACAGGAATAGTGCGATGAGAAACAGGCATAAAAGACCCATACACATGAACACACACACACACACACACACTAGCATTACGATTTGTCACTCAGAAAGTGCATCATTTTTTCCCGTCTGGTCAGTAGTCAGTACATTGTATGTTCGAGTTTTCGAATAATGTTCGCAATTGATCGTTTATGCTTCCTCGACGAGGTAAAATCATCCAACACCCTCATATTTTTTTTTGTGCCGGCCACTTTTTTTTTGTCGTTTCTTTTCACAACTCGGCCTCCAAGTCCTTCAAGATTTGTCTCCCCCTATATCAAATGCGTTCACAAAAATTCGATGAGAGTCTCGTCGCGGTGGTTTCTTTTCTGATATTTCTCCACCCCCCCCCTTTTTTTCCAACTCCTCCCATCCATATTATGCTCTCGATTTATTATTTATGTAGTGAGCGAAAAAAAACGCGTGTGCGTTAATTCGAAGCTCTTTTGAACAGAACTTTACACTTTGACATAATATGTCAAAGCCTGTCCGGAAAGCCAATGTGATTTATTTTAAGATTCTGTTCAAGATGGCCCCAAATCTTCGGATGATCGATGGCTCAATGTCAGCAACGCTCAAGCAGTTCGGATTTGACGCTTTTGTAAGTTATATTACCAAGCTTTGGCTTCTCCTTGCGACGAGGAACTGATCAAATTACAAATTGGGTTTCTCAAAAACATCCTATCGATTTTTTCGCGACACCTTTCCAACTGCACATTTCGATATTTGCGATGTTAAATTGTCAAAAATTTCCCACATCACGTTTCTGAGTGAATTCGCAACGGAAATTGTGCTCGATTTTGTTGTTTTTGTTCAAAATTTCACAATGAAATATTTAAAATTTTGAAACAAATCGGAAATCAGCTTTGAATTTGAAACATATGATAGTAAAATATTTGATGATTAATGTTTTCCGCAACCCCTCACAAATGACAAAAATTTGTGAAGAATGGAGGCAAAGGCGGTTTGTCAACTTTAGACATTCAAAAGTGAACATCCCAAAAAGGCAACCTCATTATTTAATTGGGAAACAATAAAAAAAAACCTTGACGATTTTAGATGGTATCTCGACGATTTTAGATGGTATTTTCGCAACACTTTTCAAGATAATGCATCACGGTAGCCTAAATGAGCTCGTTTTCTTTAACATTTTCCTAATGTGAGTAGAATATTTTTATGACGTCAAAAATTTTCGATTCCGTCAATTCTCTAATTAAATAATCGACTGTGTCAGATAAAAAAGATCCGTGATGCGAAAGTTTGTTCTGTGACGTTTTTTCTAGAACAGTGTTCGGCGAATAGAGTGCGGGTCGTGACAGATCAAACGCTGGACCCGTGAATTGTCATCTATCAAATCTAGTTCAATCAACGTTTATCTGATTTGTAGTAGAGTTTAAACATTTACTATAGCTAAAAGACTGGTTTTAATAGAAAATGTACTTTCAATTATTGAATACAGCAAATTATCTCTAGAATTCACTTTAAGATATCACCAAGATATCCACTACTTCATAGCAATCTATTAACTAGTGCTTAAAAACTATATAATTCTTCTTCCAAACGACTTCTATAATCTAAGAATATTCGATTTCTTCAATATTTAGATAAGGGAAATACCGTATGAAATTATTAAACAGCTGTTCCAACAAACTTTTTGTAATAAAAATGTTCCTACACAAATTAGGAATTGTTAAAAACAAAAATAATCATCATTTATTAAAACTTAATAAATAAAAAAGCATACCTCTTTTTTGTTATTTTAGAACACTTGCTTAATATCTCCAAATGAATTATTCATTTCCGATTTATAAGCTACATTACAAAATTATGGACATTATATTATACAATGAGTAAAATGTAAAATCACAGAAATCAAATTCATATGAATAATAAAGTATTATTATGCGTTTTTAGTACGTGTAGCATTTAATTAAATCTGAAACATTAGCAAAGTTTGGGTTTATTCCTTGAAGACGCGGACAAAACTAATCTATGAGAAGTAAAGGACCACGTATAATATGATTATAGTGAATTATACAGACAGCCATGCCAATTACAAATAATGCCCCCTCGATATACATTCTAATAATCGGCCCATCGGATATCAAATAATTGATCAACGACTCGCAACCGCTATAGATAGTAGGGTTCGTTGTGCAGAAAGATCCTATGCCATTGACAAACTTCATTGTCAGAAATTTGTTCAAATACATGACTGCAAATTGTAATGATTTTCACAATATATTAAAATCAAAACTCACAATAATCGGAAAAGATGTAGCATAGTGTATTGGTGATGACGAAGAAAAAAAATAATAATAGCATATTTTGAGCTGAAATTGTTGTTTAAAAAATTAGAAACGTTTTAGTCTTTTGGCTTATTCGATATTTTAAGAACACGATTTGGGATTTCAGAAAAAGAAACCGCATTGGACGTTTGCCGCAAATTCGGACAAGGAGCTCATGCGCAAAGTATATCAATCGTTAGTTGATTATGCCGTTTTTGGGTATTGTGTTGTCTTTAGATTTGCCGATATGAATTTGGATTATATTACCACAAATACATATCATTACGGCAGCACATTTGATCCGGAACTTCCACCGCCCCTTAAAGATCGTTGGGTGTACGATCAATACTTTAAGGTGAGCAAATTGTAGCAGTATTTATAAAAGAATGGGTTTTAGGACACTTGTGATCTCCTAGAAGATATTATTGAAAAACACAACAAAACGGGAAAACATAAAATCAAAATTTTGGGATCAGTTGGATCATTGGCTACCAGATTCCACGATTGCTCAGAATATCATGGGAGATATGTTGAGCAAGCAAGCTCAATGGTAAAGTACAAATTTGTAAACAATTTTCTGTGAATTTGAAAGATTTAGACTCTTGCCAGAGAACACTTTGCAAGCATATTTGAGTCCTTTATGAGCTTGACAAATATTCGCACCTTGATCATTGAAACACTGCCTACCGGATTGGAAGGAGAAGTCGTCTTAGAGCTTCTCGAGAAATTTCCAGAGCTTCAAGTGGTGGTCAGCTTCACATTCAAGGTAATCAATAATAGTTTTTGAAAAAAAAATACGATTTTTAGGAACGAGGTCAACTTCGCCATGGGGAAACTATTCGCGAATTGATGTCGAAACTCAGCAACCATAACCAGGTGACTTTAATTATTGTTTTAAACAGCGGAAAAGTCCTAATTATCCGGTCTACTAATAATTATTGAATTTATTTTAATAATCGCGCCACACTTGTGAAATGGACAAACTTGTGAAAATTGAAAGGAACATAATGAAAAAATGAAATTGAAATGTTTCGGGGAATTTTGATGAGAATGAATTTGCTAATTGAAATTTTTAATAAGGATGAGTCATATTTAGAAAAAAAACATCGAACATCTCGAAAATATGCTTGTTTTGATTTTGAGTTAAAAGTGAAATGAAATGAAAGGTGCAGCACCAAACAATGCGCATTGAGGCCTTTTCGAAATATATAATCATCGGACTATGCGCATACGAATGAGCTTAATTTTCCTGCTCAACAACGATGTCCTTTCTTATTCACCATAGTGATTACGTGTGATAAAGTACAATGCTCCATTATCACGTGAGGCTCGCATTTTCGCTATATGGCATATATCATTTGGCTCATTGTGTGATATTTGAGTCTAGACGGTTAATTATTTAATGCAAACTTGTGATATTCGAATTAGTTTGGGGAAAAATTATTTTATTTTTTATAGTGACGAAATTCTCGTCCAAAAGAATATCTGGAAAAAATTTGAAAATTGGAGAGTCGGCCGGGGAGTCTGCATAAAAATTCTTGAAGGAAACATTATGCAGCACTCTAAAATTTTTTAATGCATATCCCTATGATAGTACTAAAATACCAAAATCCGTCACTGTGAGATTCAGCAGGAAAACGATTCGTACTTTCAATCATCGTTTCAAAAAATTAGCTCGAAAATTCGAAAATTTATTCGATCCCAAAAAAAATCCCTGATTTTGTATGTTATTTTTTTCAATTTTTCAATTTTTTAATATAAAGAAATTTTGATGAAAATTGTAAGAAAACGCAATTCAATCGTATGTTTAAAATAGACAGAATAACTAAGTTAGTAACCTTAATGTTGGGTAATCAAACATTTATATTTGTTACACAAGCCAAGAATAAATTCATAAGTAAACTATAAATATCCAAATTGAAAAACCAAGGGCTAACAACGAGCCACAATATGGATAATAATTGACAACCGTTTTATCTATTGCAAATATTATATCCATATGTGTCTGAGCAGTGCTAGCGAGCAAAGTGGGTCTTGTGGAAACTGATGAAGCAAACTATAATCGTTATAAATTTCTTCTAATTTGGAAGACCAAATGTTTTGATAATTTTCCAATTATGCCATTTAGGGCACAATTCGAAAATTGTATAATTCAATACTCCTAAAATATTAAGCTTTATCATATTTTTAGTTATTCATTTTTTTAATCGAAGTATGTACATTTTTAATCGGATTTTCAGGTAATTGGCTTTGGCATCAACTGCACCGACCCTCAAAACGTAGTTTTTGCATTGGAGCAGGCTAGTGAAAATCGTTTCCGCGATATTTTTGTGTATCCAAATGTCTCAGACGCCTTCTTTGTTGAGGAGTACGCTTAAATACTATTACATATAATTTTATTCAATCTCATATTTTTTCAGCGAAGACAATCTTCCGCCGCCATTCAGCGAGGCCTTGGTGAAGTCCTGGGCGGAAAAGGGTGCAACAGTATTTGGAGGATGCTGTGGCGTCGACACTGACTATCTCCGCATTCTCAAGAACATCATCGATAAGTTTAATGAAAAAGCGTGAATAAAATTAAACTTTATTTATTTCGGTTAATTATGCGAAAATGATCTATATAAAATATATAACAAAAGATTTATTCTATTTACATATCGAATAAATGTATCATGCGATTAGATTTCTCATTTTTTTCAAGAAAGGAATGGGTCCAAATAAATGTAAATTGCAAAATATATAGATGGAATAGAATAAAAAATTAACAGCAGAATTTCAATAATGAAAGAGATCGATAAGCTCTTTTCGTGACAACAACACGATGTGAAATAATATTGGCTCATACACAAAACTAGCACATTTTTCTTGTTGACAATTACCACAGTTTGACCCTATAGAGAAGAAGAATAAGAATACGAACAATTTTGAAAGTAAAGTTATTTGAAGCTTGTGTTACCGGTCGACGATGAACAACAGAAAAATTGAAGCTAGAGAATAGAAAGTCCAATTTGAGAATTGTTGAGTGCTGAAAAATTATATTAGATTTTAGGTCGACCATAGACTGCAAATAAATTAAACATTTTGCTCAGAGAAAATTATTTGAATAGAAGGTACCGTCAAGTGAATATAGGTTTAAAAAGAAAAAGCTCATACGAGCATGTGGTTAGCTTGCAATTTATTCTTAAATGATCGTGTCCTGGAATTTGTAAAATTATGTCGAAATGATCTCTATTATCTAAATGGTTTAAAACAATTTCTATAAACATTTTAAAGATAGGCTGAAATTCTAATTATTTCATAACAGTTTCGATTTTAAAATCTCTCAACACCAACGTCTCAATTTACCTCCGATTGATTGCCACAGATGGATAATCATTACACAATTGTCCAACACACCAGCACAGCTCCACCGTTCTATTGCTGCTTCGTCCCGCTAACCTCGGCGGCAACAGCTTGTGAGCGGGCATTCGCATACAAGAGGTATCTGGAACAAAAAACGCGCTCGGCTCACATACATACAACCCATCACGAAATTGATGATATGTGTCTCCAAACCAATGAACATAAATCGTTTCAAAAGCGAAACGACCCCTTGCTGTCTAAACACACTATATAAAATGTCGTTTGGCGAATGTGATTAAAGCTCTTCATCAATAAATCGCGGTTTTTATGAGTGTGGTCGTCGGCGAGATGCTGAGCTCCACGAACCGTTACACTTAAGCAAGACCTTGTGCTGCCATGCGATCATCACAGCAGTTGCTTTATTTATTGGGGATTATTGCAATAGTCATGCGGGGAGGGAAAAGCTCGTTTTGATTTGATGGATTGTTGCATTTCGGCGCCACTTTTCAAAATGAGGCGCGCCCCCCATAAAAATCGGTTGACATGTGGAATTCGGTAACTATAAATATTTAATAGGCGCCGCTCGATTTCCGTTTCGAATACTATGCCGCCATCACTACAATCACGCGACTTTTGAGCGTTGCGCCGACAACACAAATCGGTTTCCATTAATAATTGACGAATCGAAAAGAAATCCACTCGAATTTTGCTAATTGTTGACGGCGTGTCGGCAAGTATTTTTTTGAAGCGTCGACCGAATTTCTCCGAAGAACATCATACCTAAAACATTTTGAGTTGCAGTCCTTGGTGTCGCGCCATGCTTGAAAACTCCCGAAAAGCATCCCCGAATGATATTGTTGCCAATATGTTGTCCTGAAAATTAAAAAATCTAAAAAATGAAAGAAAAAATAATTAAAATATTTTCTAGCTAAAATATTGTATATTTTTCAATGTTCGAATCGGCAAGACCGATTTTTTTTTAGAATAAAACATGGTTTTTCATCTCTTTTCTTTCAAATTTTATTTATCGCGCCGCTCTCTGATGTCAGCGCAAGTGAAACAAAAAAACCTTCATGACAAAATTTGATTACAGGGCACTCGTTCCTTGAGGCAGTTTCCATTGCCCTTCTTGCTCTTTTAAGCCGATTCGAGGCGGCAAAAAATTGCTGAGTTGATCGGGAAAGCAAAAAGTTTTTGCTCACGACACGCGACCTTCCCTTCTTTTTTTTTAGCATTTTTTCGACAAAAATTGAGCCGTGAAGAGGTGCTTGGAATGGAATTGTCCGGACCCACTTTGTGCTCACAAAATATATTTCGAGAGGTGCTTAGGGTATTTTATCAAAACGTACTTCTCATTCGCTACTCAATACCCATTAACCACTTATAATCCGCCAATAAAACAAATGTTTCCTAAAATGGTGCATTTATAGAGCCCACCCCCCCACTTCTCCCCACTTGCGGTGCTTGTCGTAATGAATTGCAGGAAATTGTCGGCTGATACCCATACATTCAAAACATTCATTCGGCGCCTCATGGAATACGCGGAGCCAATCATAATAAATACGCAAATGGAGCAGACGTATGCTGCTGCTGCCGCCGAAATAGCTATTACGGATGTACTCAAATCTGCGCAGAAAAGTATTCAATCAAATGGATATCTTAACGAGATAGGACCGATTTGTTTTTTTCGCTTGTGGATTGTTGTAATCCACTACTACACATTCAAATGATCCCAAGAAATGAAATGGGTAAACATATATGGATTTGGAAGGATACGGTATTCAAATGCAGAATCTCAATGAAATTTTGTGAAAATCGGAAATAAAGAATTGAATAAAAGACAGGGCTAGGCTGAAATCTCGAAATACCAAAAATTTTCTTGCTAAAGGATTCTTGAAAAATTCCACTATATCCAGTAAATTCGGAGGAAAATGAAATTTTTTGTTCCTTGAAACCTCTCTTTGATGTTTCAGATCCCGCCAATGTTTACTCAATTACATTTGCCTCCGATTATTCATCTTTTGCATTTGGACGCGCCAAAGAGAATTTTGTATTGTAATAATTCATCAATCAAATGATATTGCAGTAAACCTACACTTACCCGCCAGTATTCTCGGTTCAATAACGGTGACGCACATTGAATGACTGCACGGCATCATACCAATGTTTGCCTGAAATTTGAAAAAAATAAGTTTGAGTCAAGTCCCAATTGAAAATAATCACCCTCGCCGGTATTTTGAAGCAGTGGTCCGTGAAATTGATGGGTCGATAGTAAACCTGCAATCACAAATCATTCACTTGTCAGTTCCTATTTTTCGAATGTTTGTCGCCGCAATGTTTTTTTTTGTCAGGCCTCGTCATATGTTCATTGAAGTGTCACAACACGTGAGTTAACCATGTGCGTTTCATATTATTAAAAAAAAATTGAGCCAACGATCTTATGGCGTCGTATAGATTTGCTGTTTCATCAAACGATGTCATCATCAATCAATCCGCCATGGTTCTCTTGATATCGAGTGCATTTTTCAGGACTGCGTGCTATCATGATTGATATGAGGCTATGAATCTGCGAGGAATTGAAAACGATTGAATTTTTCGTACCAGCGTTCTTTAACTCGAAGTCCCTCTCTTGAATAACGTTTTACAAATTATTATTCAAGTTTATACGAGATGTTCCCTGGTCACCGATGCATACTATTTAATTCAATGTACTCGTTCAAATATGTATGTTAATTAAATCAACATTTACGCACTAATTCCTGCTCTTGGAAGAATACCTTGCAAGTTTTTTTTTGAAATAAAAAAAGTTCCCCCTCACAACACGGTTGAGGATAAAATGAATGAGAAATCTTATTTTTGGTCAAATCTTCGTCGGCGAGAAGAAAAAACTGAATGCGCGGCCTACAAATTTGAAAAATGGGTTCCATAACAGATTGTGCTCCTTGGAGAGTATGACAACGAAACCAGGGCGCTTCTTTTCGTAAGGGTCGGCGCGTGCGCACACAAATTTCAAACATTTCGTTTCAAAAAAAAAAAGGGTGTTATGCTCCACCATGGCTCACAATTTTTGAGGGGTGTGGCTATCCATGCCTCCAAAATCAGAAGCGATATGCAGCTAGTGGTGGCTGTCGTGCTCCGCGACGCCGACGCTGATATATCGGCACGATGGTCTCGAAGGAATTGCAACCCTCACTTTTTTCTTCTTCGATGCTTCTCGCGACTACGACGACAACGATGGTGGCCACCACTCATACATACGCGTTTAAACCGGCAGCGCGCTGAAGGCCCAGCACATAACTATATCATCATCATCAAAATGACGCCACGTTTTGGGTAGTCGCGAAAAAGGGAAACGAGCATTGAAATTTGTGCGCGAAAATTTTGGTGGCAGCCGCTCATAATTTCGGCGATTCGACACATTGAAACCCGTTTTTGCGCATACATTGAGTATCGAGATCAAATTCAGCAATTCTCATGTTACTGCGCGATTTTTTGCTCAAATTTCAAGTGGCATGCTATATAATTAAGTCCTAGGCAATCCGATGAGCTCGCGCTTCTAATTAAGTTGTTCTTGATTGCGCACCTAATCAAATCTGATATTCGAGACGCCCACTACCCTCACGCCGCTTCTGCCGAGTTCACCAGCAACAACAACAACAACAACAGCACGGGCATAACAATCATTTCGGGGTGTGAGGAGGGCCCCCAATATTTTTGAGAAGTGCACACACTAGGATATGCAAATTTGTTTGACCATTTTTCACATGGATTTTCCGACTTTATTTGTCTAGTTTGTGCAACACAATGTTATGTTTTTTTTGAATAGAGAGATAAACAAGAAGAATTGCAATTTCGGCGCACAATATTGAGAAATTCCAGGTGTTTTATTTTGCGTGCTGTCGAGCCACTTCAAAAATCCGTAATAGTAGTTATAATAGTAATAGCAAAAAATTAAATACGATGAATTGTGTGCAAGGTTTGAGTGTTTACGCGCGTGCCAAGGTATTTTTGTTTCCCGCGTTCAGAAAAAAAGTAACGTTTACTTCATCCTTTCAAAAACTTCAGGCTCAATGAAACAAACTCAAAACAATAGAAGATTGCTGGTAGTGGTCCACTGCGGGCAGTTTTCGATTATTTTTTCATATTTTCAATTCTATATAAAATTCGGTGTAAACGAATACGCTTAGCAGTTTTGAAAACGCTTCCCATCGAGTCCACGGGGCCAGGAAATTCAACACCTACCGACTAACAGTTGCGTAAAGCAGTGAAGTCACACTATGATCTACATTTTAAAAAGTTGTTTTTTTTATGGCCGCTTAATCGGCATCGAAAAGACGCGAGGAACAAAAATTAGCGAAGAATGGAACGAACAAATTACGAGATTCGCTTGTCCGACAACAAATACACCATGGGGGATTTGGATATAATCAAATTTGAACAAATTTTCCGTTTTTGGTTTTGTGAATTTTTGGGAAACTATAAAACAGCGAAGCTCACCTCATCGAGATACGGCCAATGCAGTAAGAAATCTTCTGACATGCAACTATAGCAGTATTTGGTTGTCGCACTGCAATTAGCAATGGTCAATTTTTTCGGGAGGGGGCACGGCATTTCTTAGCTGTGAGTTTCGAAATAAATTTGTCTTGAAAAAAAAAACAATGCTTGTGAAACAATAGTTCGCGGAGTGTTTGATTTTGTAAAATTGGTGGGGCTGTGAAAAATGTTGTAATATTTGACCTACCCGAAGTCCGAGTATTGTGCTTCAACGTAACGAGGTAGATCAAGCAGTTGGAGAAGCGCAAGAACGATGGTTACTGTTGTTCTGGTGTGCAGCATTAAAGCGACAGCAGTTGGTATTCGAACCGCGGAGCCGATGGCCGGACCATTCGGAACCACCGAATTGCAGCTCACTGCGAAAACCGTCACTGCCACGTCTCTCACCTGGCCAGTAGGATTTTAAAACACACCTCAGCGCAATCAATAATGCTTTTTGGGAATGCCTGTAAATGAAAATTGATCTCAGAAGGCAAAGAAGATTGATAAGCCTTGAGGTTAATTAGAAAAAAATAAGATGATAATGAAAGAGATTATTGGAATTCGGTAAGGTGCGATTATTATTTTGTGCACAACAATTTTGTGACAAGCTAAAATAGCAAGCTGGAGGCCTCAACGATAGAGGGCGTGCCGAAAAGACCAGCTAACTCCGCCCCATCATCGAGGAGCAGCTTCTTCTCCTCCTTCCTTCATCTTTTTTGCTCGCCACGAAACCGAGCGACTGACTGACTGACTGCATTTTTTCGTTCGCCTTCGCCTCTTCATCGGCCTGTTCTCACACAGCTGGTCGTTTAACGCATCAACTCTATGCCGACAAGGACAACACGTAGTAGGAAATCTTATCCAATGAAACAAAAAAGGCCTGAAAGATGCTGCGCCCAGGACGCCAAACAAGAGAAACATACACAACAAAAAATGGACCCTTGGGCCAATCACGAAATGCAAAACATGCAAGATATGGGCACGTTGAATATATGGCATATTAAAGAAATTTTACGTGATAAAATTCGGAGAAATGCACGAGAAATAAAAGGAAGGAATTGGTTGGAGGATAAAGAAAAATTGCTATTGACTAGTGATGTGTAATAATCACGTCCATGGACAAGTATAATTTTTAATTCTCCAGTAAAACAATTTGATTTGCTCTGATTTAATTTGTTTTCTCAAAATTGTCTCTTTTCGTTTGACCATTGCCGAAAAAATTCAGACGCACTTTTTTTTTAGATATTTCTTCAATTCAATTTCAAACGGTTTTAGATCAAAATCCGCTTTGTGAATAGATGATGTCGAGTAATCAAATTTTCACTCTCCAATGTTTCGTCGAGATGCTGAAGATGAAGAAGAAAATGATGAAGAAGAAGAACGTTTATTCGAGAGCCCGTGAACTTTCTGTTTGGGCTTCATTGGATGAGGTGAAAGGATCAATGAACTGATGTATTTCTTCAGCATGCCGAGAAACCCATAAAAATAATTAATATGTTGTACAGATTATCTCACATCCCACCAACAACGCTAAACGTTTGCTAATTGATACGAAGAGGATCAAAAATTATTCCGAACCTTCTTTTCTATTCGAAAAATAGTAAAACAAGATTTGGTACAATAATTTTTTTTAAAATAGTAATTTATCCTTATATCCTAAATAATTTTGCATGGTTTCTGAATGCTCAGATATTGACAGGATTTTGTAATATAATATCGCGTTTTCAAAATAATTAATTGGTTTTATTTTGATTTTGCAAAATTTAGTAAAATATAATCTATTTGATATAAAAAAAAACGCAGTTTCAAGGAAAAAATGATCAAATAAGATAACCTAATAAATATTTGAAGAGATTTAGAGCTCAAACACAATATATAAATGGACATATTTTATTTCGAGTTAAATCATATTGATTTTACGATAGTTTTATTGTTTTGCAAAATAAATCATCTTCTTTTTTATGTGCGAGATTTTGTTTTTATTTTATTTCATTACAAATGAAATTGAATGAAATTCCACTAGACGAATAATGTGTTTTGAAGAACACATTTGTCCATTGAAAACGAAGAAATAATAATAATAGTAATAATAATATTGCAGCAAAAGAAAAGAAAATCGTATGATTTCGAATAAGAAAAATGTGAGGCGAAAATTTGGCTTTTTGGTTTTTCGGATTTTTTCCACCTGTTATCGACGAATAAAAATGAAATGTTTAGATACGACTTATGAATTTCCAAAAAGCCATTGGCATTTCAAAAGCACTGAATCGAGTATACTTTATTTGCCACATTTCAATAAAGGACATAGACAAAAAATTGTGGAGCATCTCTCCTATCGCGCCGTGCTCAAAAAAAAATGATGACATGAGGAATGCGATTGGAACATCACTCCACTGAATATTTTTAAACGTTTTTTGGAGGAGCGTGTATTCCAAATTATTTGCTGGGATCAAATTGAAATCATTTTTTCCCGCAAAAGTTCGAGAAGCTGAGCGAAAGAATAATGAATCTGCATTCGTGATATTTGATAAAAAATGATTTGTTAATGTTGTTCTCAAAGTGACGAAGGTACTACAATTTCTAATATACAATTTCTGCCAAAGAAATATACGATGTTAATAAAGGGGGAAACAAGAAATATTCCAGCGTTGATGTAAATACTTGAAAACTAGGCAGAGTGTTTTGGAAAGTGAATCGCCCGCAAAAAATGCTTAGAATCTCACGGTTTTGCAGAGAAATTCTCGCCAAGCTACTAAATTTTACTTATTGGCGATCATGTTATCAAATGCGTTCACTAGCTAACATCAAATTGGCATATTCTATGAAATGATGAATATTCGCAATTACTATTGAAACCTTTCAATGGCAATCTTTGAAGCTAATCTAAATCATATTCATGCTTTTTTGATTAGTCGCACACCAATCGCATGTTCAAAAAGCCTTCAAACAACTTTCAATTGTGGCCATATTGCAGAAATGAATGCAGGTGTGGTTGGATGAATATGAAATGCAGTTGTTTGAATATGCCGTCGTTCGTCTTATATGAAAAAGCCTTAACTTTTCTAGCTTTATTCAAATGGAAGTGGATAATCAAATAAATGCTCAATTCTTTTTTCGTTTCTCTTCTGAAAAAAAAAAACTGCTTAAAGGCAAATATGAGAGAATTATGGCTCGCAAAGTCAATAAGAAGTAGTCAGTGAAATTCAAATTTTGTAAAAAAAAATATATTTCAAATATAAAAATAACGATAATTCTTTTATCCCTCAACCGAAAAAAATTTTATTATAGAAATTCACAACAGGGCAAATATGTACATTATGATACAATGTAGATTTTTAAAAACTTGTTTTTTTTTTTTGTTTTTTTCGAAATCTGCATAGCACCGTTAAAATCCGGAAAAAATATGTACAATGTTTTACAGTGGTCCCAATACCCTATCAATCGCCTTATACACCTATTAACATATAACATTTCACGACTTTTTTCGCTTCGAAACTTCGCGAAAACAATCCAACATGAAATTGAGGACTACTCCATACGTGCTGCACTCTCTTGCTGATGGCTTGCACACATTCAGATGGGCCTGGAATAATAATTATAGCTTTTCATTGTTGGCATTTCAGACCTCTTCAATATGATATACAGCGCCTTGATCGAAGACTGCCGATTTAGTGGGAACGACAATTCCTTTGGCATTTCCTGAAAATTCAGCAACGCGTATTTGAATTATTAATATGAATTGGGTTGCGCAAACCAATTAGATTTGATTCTTTGGTTTCGACCATGCTCACAATCACCGGGATCTTCTTGCTTATCGCCGAGAAATCTTCATTTAACTGCAAAATTTCAAATAAAAGTATTTCTTTGCTATAAAATTCCACCTTTTTATTTACAGGATTGCTTTCATTGAGAAGAAGAACGTCGTCAGTAGGCAAGAGAAATGAATATCCCCAACTAGCCACCGGACTTCCCTTATGAGGAGTTGCAATGAACAAGATTCCGACCTGAAATTACCATAATAATCTCAGATGAATTTCTTCAAATCATCAAACCGTGCTTTCCATCAATTCTGGACAATCCAAAATTAGTCGTTTCGCCAAAAGACCTCCCATGGAATGACAAATGAAAACAGTTGGCCGTTTTCCGATGCCTGCATCGCGCAACTGATTCTTGAATCGATCCGCTCGGCTCTGCAAAAAAAAGCCACTCGATTGAATGTAATAAATAAATTAATTAATTTTTGTAAGATAGTTCTTATAGATGTATTATATACAATTTTCACTGCTTCTAAGCAACATTGCGTAAAAGCAGAAACAAAAAAAACCAGTAAGATTTTCCTTTCATTTTCAAATCGTTGATATATAAGCGTCTTGTTAGTTAAGATATGGCGAGTATCAACCGCAGCACCTACCAATGTTTTGAGAAACCAGTAAAAACTTACTCAAAAATATAAATAAGAGAATTCCAGAAAAAAAGTGGATCAGGTGGAAAAAAAATTTTAAAAAATTCCTATAGAAATGCCATACACGGTCGTTGATGAGTTATGTTCTTGAAAAATTGACAAGACATATCATTAGAATTTGTGCTTCGCTTTCAAATTCTTGATAATATTAAAATAAAATCGTCTATCGAATCCAAATAGATTTTTGCAAAAAAAAAACAATAAAGAAAGAAAATGATTTTGGATGCCAATCCCTCTATTTGTTATTCTCTTGTAAATATGAGCAATTTTTTTCGTTTCATACCAACCTGTATGCTGTGTTTAGCCCCGCTAAATTGAAAAATATATGAAGGATAGTCGAGACCAATGATGCGAAATGGTCTTTTTATGTCCAATGGAAGCCAATCCTATGCGATGTTGAATGAAATTACTCAGAATATTGAAACAATCTTACTTTTGGCCAACATGTTGTCAAAATATTTTCATCGGAATCTTTTTGACGCCATGTGTACGCCACATTTCCCCGTAATCCATGAATCAAAATAATGTCGAGCTGAAAAAAAAGTCAGTTTGGAAGACTGCGTATCATTTACCTCGGGTTCACTTTCCGATGTATGAACTTCATAGATGTCAGATCGCAGTCGATAATTGTTCGTACCTAATGCACTCAAAGCATTCTGGCAAATCTAAAAGAATAACACCATGATGAAACCGGTTCTTTGCCAATAGAAAACCTTGTGAGATATCAATTTCTCCATCAGGTTTTTGCCTTTTGTCACCATATTTGCCAATAATTGCACCCATTCCGAGCAAAGCATTGCTTTCGCGTATTTCTCGTCAGAAGCAACCATATTTGACATGATCTTCAGGGTAAGCAAAGCAATATCCTCGTTGGTCGTGATGAATTCGTTGTATATATTGAAAAGAAAATGAACAATATCGATGTCAATCAGATCTGCGTTGAACGATTGCTGTAAAATATCAGATTATAATATTAAATTAAGTTAAATATAGAAACCTCAGTGGTAAGGAAGAGAAGCTGAAGCATTCTTCTAAGACGTTCAACTTGACTCGGCATTCTCACTAACCATTCGTCATTACAGGAAAGATCCTCTTCGGAGCAAGCTACCCTGGAACACAACATTTTAATGAACGAAATATAAACATACTATTTCTATGAGTAATAACAATTTTTTCATGAAATTTGACACTTTTTGTTAAAAGAATCTTGCATTTTATCAAAAATTGTGTATATTTGAATTCACCTAAAAACTATTCGTTTTCATTGCGTAGAATTTACCTATTTATCCATTCCAAACTGCTATTCCATTTGTCTCCAAGATTATATTTTCTCAAAGCTTCTGTGACATCAATATTTTCTTGACTGGTTGGTTTCACTGGTACATAATTGCATAAATCTGAGCCCGATCTTGCTAAAATCGCTACTGCTGAAGGAGACAATGAAGTCAGAAAGGTTTTATCTAAAAAAAATGTTGTCAGTGTCACAACTTTCTATTAAAAATGTTACCTTGTAATTGGAGAACATACTTCAGCGCTTCATTTGTGTTTTGGTTTAAATTGAGCGAATTCACAGCTTCGTCGAGAGAAAGAATTGGTTTCGATTTTAACGATGAGTCCCACCATGACTTGTACGCTCCATAAATTGCTCTATAAACAACCATATTTGTTGAATGGTTTTTGCGAAGAAAAAGTAAAACTCACGAAATTGTTATGGAAGGAATAATATAGCGTGCCATCAACTGAACATTGAGAATTATCAATGCGGTAAAACAAAGGAGAAAGTGCACTCGGTCAAAATCTACGAAACGCGATCACGCCACTGACACGCGAATCGTGAAGAAACGGAAAAGAAAAAGAGGACGTGGCCTGCGATTACTCGGTCAATGCCAGGGGTCACCCGATAAAGTTTGATTGCAATTTTTGGCGAGACATTATGCAGTGGAGCATTTCGAGGCAAATTATGAAACAAAAGCTTCGCGAAAATCCATAGTAAGAGAATTAAAGGTGATTTGTACATAGAAATCTAGATACAAGTTTTTGATCGGGACAAGAAAGATAATGAAAATGTCATATCCTGCAAAAAAAGATATCAATCAATCGTCTGACAGGTTGTTAAAAATTTAAAAAAAGACATGAAATGTTTCTGATATTTATTCGGCAAGAAAATATTTGGTTCATCATAAAAGATTGAAAGACGATAAAAAAAGAACTGCAATTTTTTCTCCACCCCTTTTATGAATTGAATATAAAACATTTGTATCAAATCACACAAAAATAGAATGCACGGATTTGGGCAATTGCTTTTTCATTTTATAAGATACCTTCACGGCAACCCAAGAAGATTCGCAAGACTCCACTTTGCCTCGTTTCAGAAAATTTTAATAAAATCGTTCCGTAATCATGGTCGTTTTCCGATTTTTGCTTAGTTTAAAATTCATTCAAATTGATGAGCTAGACTCATAACTTGTTTAAAATTCTGGAAAAGGAACGTAATAAAACCAATAAGCTGAAAATGTAACTCTTCTGCTATTTGAATTTGAAACATTTTTCATTTATTCCAGCTTTTAAGTTTCTTTACACTGGTATCGTTAATATTTATGTCTTCAAATCTAATATATTTTATTTAATCATTCTTCCTCTTTCGTATTCGTGATATTTAGAAAAAATTTAATACTATGAATATTTTAACTGTATTTGAAACGATTCCTACGTCTATATTCATCGACAGACATATTACTACTTCTTGTTTGCTCATCGCCTACTTGTTTCGCTTAGAATCTTATTAAACCCACTCATGTTTTTTGCAGAAAACAGCTCATTTTGAAAATGAAACATCAAAAATAGATTTAATTAGGTTTCGTGTCGTCACAAAATCTTTTTTTTATGACGGTGTCATCCATCCAATTTTGGTCCATTAATAAACTTTCAGTTGCTTTAACCATAGAATTTTTTCAAAACTACACGTCATTAATTTTTTGAGCTCTTATAGAACAATTCTCATGTCGTTAAATTACAGTAAAATTGAGTTTTTCAAACTTTTTGAAATAAACAGAGTTTTAAAAAGTGTTTTTTTTTTTTCAAAATATCAAATTTATATTATTCGAGTCTACAGCTGAAAATTGTAGATTTTTTAATCTTTGTGTATTGATGCCAAGATCTCAAATGGTAATTAACGGAATTTGCAGAATATGCGACATTTGATTCACCGGCTCTCATACATATTTAAAATCATTTAGAAACAACCCAAGCAGATGTTAGTGGTGTTGTTTTTACAAAATACAGCCAACACCCACCAAAACGTCATTTTCTTTCAGTTTTTTTTTCATGTGATAGTTATTCTCTTTCCCTTCTTCATTTTCATTAGTCGTGATGTTGCACTCAACCAACAAACCTTCCAAAAACATCCTACGCAATTTCACTCAATTGAAATAGGCGCCAGCCGTTGATTTGATTTTGCAACAAAAAGATGACTTCAAAAATTAGAATATGTGGTTGTGGTGTTGCTCAAATTCCAGTCTCTGCAAGCTCTCCCCAAAAAAAAAAAACTCAAGATGAATTCGACGATTTTCACATTCAAATTCCGATTTCCATGGGTAAGCGTTTCATCGTATGGTGATCCAAAAACTACTTAGAAGGGGTTAAAACAAACATCATTTAACATCCATCCCGATTCGTCATTCAAATATTCAAATTTCAAATTGTTGGCGCCGGCCCACCATCCAATAAATGCCCCTAAACGATATATTCCCTCTTTGTCTTAAACATCGAACGTGTGTGTCAACAAAGCCAGCCTAGAAGCACAATATACGAAAGTGTCCTTTTGGCGACAAGTACCATTCTTGATGACGTCGCCGGATGGGGGGATGACCGTTGACGGCGTCTTGAGCTTAACTATTTATTTCCACTAATTTTTTTCGGGTGTTTGCCCCGTTTCAATTACAATGTTGCCGTTTTTTTCCTCATTCGTTTTGCTTTTCAAGGTCTACTCAAGTCATTTGCATGACTCGACTTTTAAGTGGTCTATTTTAGTGCATATATCGAATTATATGCGCATATCAAATTGCTGGTAGGCATTAAAAAAACAAAAAAATTGTCTGTGTCTCAAGTGGCATCTTCCCAATGTTTCCTGCGATGAATGCTACATAGTATAAATACTAATTTTCACAACTTATTTCTCATATCAAAACTTCTTTTCTAAGAAAATAGGTGTTTTATTGAATTTAAATACAATATAAATTATTTGAAAAATATTCGAAAGGTTCTATTTTTAGCTTAATCGAAAACCAAATCTGATTTCGTCATTATTGAGCCAATCCAAATAATGCAATATACTCTAACCCTTCCGAGTAACCGTGCGACGTAAAAATTGGAATTTGTGATCAAAAATATTTCAAAATGGGAAACCCGTTCGAATGAAATAAATACCCCTAAAAAAACAAGAATGATTTCACGTTGGCCACTGGCTTTGCGGAAATTGGCACGAGTTGAATGAAAAATGACTTTACCGAAAGCGGTACTAATTTTTGGTGCATTCGAATTCGGAAGCTTTTCGTTTTTTTTTTGGTTCTACCCTTCTTTTGGTTCTTTTTTTTGAGCGTCAATAAACACGTCAAAAAAAGGCACATCCAAAAAAACCACCTAGATCCTCGTGATGAAACACAAGTGGGTTTCATTTGACATCCAATTTCCTGGCATTCCAATGACCCTTTTGCATGCAGACAAAGCTTTATTATATTCGCTTCCAGCCATTGATGGTGTCGGATGGAGCAGTCTGTCTCATTTATTGCTGGATTAATAAATCGAAAGGAAGAACTTGAAGCGAAGCTTTTTTTTGAGGCTGCTGCAAAATTAACCCCCGTGGGCGTTTACGTCATCACCATCTCTCCAATCTTACATATGGTTTTAATCCCGCATATGTCTTTTGGAAACTTTTGTTCTTCTCCGGATTTTATGATTTTTTCTTCTTCTTCTTCTTCTTTTTCAACTTCTTCGAGATTATTGATACTCGGGCGTTTGCACGAATGACAGAACTGCTGGTAATAAATTGTGAAAGATTAACTTTCAAAAAGGGTCCCGCCATCGGTGTTCTTTGTGAAACCACTTCATCTCGTGCTGTTTTTTGAATGTCAAAGCTCTGCAAAATAGATAACAATTTTGTTTTTTGAAAGAATTAATATTAGATATTTCATTTAGGTGCACGTTCTATTTAATATGGAAGCGTTTTGCAACTCGGGAATTAATGCAACACTTGATCCGCAAAGTGATGAGGAGCTTGCAAAGATCAAAGGCTACATTTCCTATGCGCAGGTTTGCCAATTCTATCAAAAATCTACTGCTTAAAAAATGCAATAATTCTTAACTGCATGTTATATTATAGAAAACTAATTGCAGGTAATATTCTGCCTTGTGGGAGTTGTTGGCAATATTTTGAATCTGCGGACACTTCAAAGTCCATCTCTTCAAACTGTACCTTTTATGTACATTCGCTCGATGGCAGTTTTTGATTTGGTAAAAGGCGAAAACAAAAAATGTTTTTAATATTCGTGAAACATTTTAGATTGCGCTATCTTTAATTATGATACATTTTGCAATTTATGACAAAAAAACAGTTGCGATTTTAATGGCATACACTGCTTATGTTGAAGCTCCGGTGATCAACACATTTTTGATAGCAGGCCTTTACTGTGCATTTTTCCTTACTGTTGAAAGGTAAAATATATGCGTCCAATTTTCTAAACAGCCCGCATTTGTAGGTTCATGCTGATAACGAGGCCTTATATGAAAGCTTCATGCAACCCAAAAGGTCTTGCACGAAAGAAGATCGCCCTTCTTCTTTTCTGCTCAGCATGCCTTCATACCCCAATGATGCTTCAACGAACTTTAGTCCAAGATAAAGATGGTAATTACCAAATGGTTAACAATGTTGCACTTCTTTGCGCGTATGATCATGAGGTGATATTCAAAAAACCATTATACACTATTCTAGGGATCCCATCAAATGGACATTATTCAATTATTATAAGCTTGGACGCGAATGTTTGCGTTTTTTCATTGTTATCTTAATGACCGTTCTGAATTTATTCATCGCGCGTCAGCATCAGATCACTAAGGTTCTCATTTTTTCGACTTAAAAAAGCTAATCAGTATTACTAGGATCGACGACGTCGCCTAGTAAAGAGGGTTGGGAATAACCGAGACCACTCAAGTCTCTCTAGTCTTGCGCCTGGTGAGAATAGGTACGAATCTCAATGTGTCGATAAATATTTTAATTCGTTCATAATCTAGAGCTGAACATAACAATTTAATGAAAAGCTTCACTGAGAAGAAGCTCACAGTTCTTATGATCTCGATTTGCTTCATATTCATATTTGGAAATCTTCCGCAAATGATTGTGATGGTTATTCAAAACGAAGCATTGGAGAATGTTTTTGGATTCCAGGTAGCTGAGCATCTGAATATGCTCAAATTGACACCTCTAATTATATTAGGTGTACCGCTACTGTTCGAATTTGTTGGAGGTCGTTAACCATTGTTTGAACTTCTACGTATTCTGTATGGCGAGCAAAGAATACACGCGAGCATTTCTTCTCAACTGCATTTGCTTGCGAAATATTCTTCTCAGATTCCCAAGAGTTGCTAATTATCTGGCCACACGTAGATCTAGCAGGTTAGTATCAATCACTAACACTTTGACTCTTTTGAAACAGTTATAGCATGGTTGCCACCAGCTCAGCAGGGTTTGGCATGGCTAACAAAGACTATATGAGTATGGATTCACTTCGAGAAGATGTTCAGCAGTGGACTGTTGAGCCAGGAGCCAGTCAATCGGGCACATCAAGTTTGAAAAGCATTCTTGTTACTGGAGCTCGTCCAGATTGCCCAAAGAAGAAAAGCCTAACCATTGTGAATCATCTTCAGATCCCTCCAGAAGACTGCATTCCCGAAGAAGAATTGGAGGAATTGTAAATAATTGTATATATTCGCTTAAAACGACAACACGGTTACTATTTATGTCTGTATCGTTGCAATTACAATTTGTATAATAATTATAATAAACGTATGTTAACAGTTAATAGTTATAAAAATTCGAGAGAAAAAAACGATTTCCAAATAACAAATGAGTAATATGTTTAGAACATTTGAAACACTTGTAAATCACATTATCAAACACGTTGAAAAAAATTTCCAAAATTTGTTTCTTGCTTTTGATACCGTTGACCTGCATGGACAGGAAGCAACTTAGCTCCTACTCGTTTGAAAAAATAACTGCCTAAAATTGGTAGGGTAAAGAAATACAGAGTAGAAAATACAAGTGAATACATGAGTGGAAAGATGATACAGAGAAAGGTATCGATTGGAATTTGCTTTTTTTACCCTACTTATTTCATTTTGACTATGTGGAATCACCATTCGAGTTACAGATTAGATGTTACAATTGTTGGATTTGATACGGATTACTTTGATTTGCTGAACCAATTCGAGTAAAAGCGCTTCTTCTTCTTTTTCTTCTCAACGGCTTCGTGCTCTTCTTTCGGTGAGCTCGCGGAGTTTTGAACTCCGCTCACATCCATTGCAGAGGTACCACTGGCTGATGTCACACCAATGGAGCCCGATAAAACGGTATGCACGCTTTTTCCGCTACCCGATCTCCGAAGTTTGCTTCCCGGACGAATCGATGGTCTGAAAATGGTAGAACAAATCATTTTTAAGATCTCAAATCCATTCTCACTCATATGGACGCTCCTGCGAAACATCGGTAGCAACCATATACTTCATGTTGTCGAGCCAAGATCTGATTTTGCACAAATCAATTGGAGCTTCCGCTGAGCCACGTGCTGGAGGCTGATGAATAGCAGTCCCTTCATCGAGAAGGACAACATTTTCATCGCGCATATCTGAAATGAAGTAAATTCAACAAAAAACATTATAGCCAATGTTTTTTTTTTTTAATTTGAAGAAAGTGACTAAAAGGTATAGACGGAAAAAAATATTTTAGAGGTAAACATTTATATGGTTCGAAAAATATGACGCCTACTCACTAGGTACACGATATTCTCCAAATGGTTCAAACTAAAATAATTCTTACCGATAACACATGAGAAGCGAGCGCCGGAAGACGTCGACGGTTTTTTCTTTATTCCCAAAGCGGAAGCAGATGAGCATGGTTCATCATCATCGTGACCATCTTCTTCACCGGCCTCATCTGAATTAAAATATGATATCATGATATATTGAGCCATAATATAATGAATACCAATTTCATCTTTCTTGCTGTCTAATTGCCTTCCGAGAACCGATCGAAAAATGCTCTCCGACATACTTTTTGTTTCGGAGTTCATCGCTTTGTCCTCATTGATCGAAGTAACCTCATGACCGGAGCCAAGAGTATGAAGACTCTGAAATTCTCAACTAATCGATGACGCTTTAAAACTTGTTAAAACCTTATCATCATTGTAATGTGAGCCAGCCATTGCTCGAACGCTTGCCTCCTCATAGTTGGTGCGTTCAGCAGAATCAAGGCTAGCTCGTCTTCTTGGAGTATCAATAATTTTGCCTTTGGCATCTGTTGGGGCTGAGAGCCCGCTGTTTATCGAAGGCTCAACGGATGTTCCGTCTTCCTTCTTCAACTCCTTTTGTAGTCTAGCCATATCGATTAAACCTTCTGAAAATGCGATATGAATTCAAATTTCATTTTAAAGGCAGACTCTCACCAATTCCATAAAGCTGCTCCTCGTCCAAATCATTAAATGCTGGGTCCGAGTTGCTCGATGAGATTCCACAGCCACCATTTCGGCATAACGAAAGTGGAACGACTCCGTAAACATAGGCAAGAAGAATTGGGACTCCGACACCTTAAAACATATTATGGAATACTTTTTGATTACTAATTTCATTACCGACTGCCATAACAGCCATAACTGGGCTAACCACAAGGGATCCCATAACACATACAGCGGTGAGGAATCTTCTTTTCCATTTGGTTTGATAATGGAAACGATTGTGGACTTTTCTTCCAACAAACACCGGAACTCCGAATATGATTCCGGGAATTGAAAGTCCCGCAATCAATGCGATTCCCACGGGTGCGCCAATAAGAGTACCCAATTGCCACAAAAGCTTCTTTTTTCGTGTCCACGGCTTCTTTCCCCAGAATGTGCATCCCGTCGGGCTGAGATAATGCAAATCGGAGATCTCTTTGAGGCACAGCCAGCAGAATTCCGCCGTACACATGGTGCACACCATATGGTTGCACGATCCATCATCCATTTTAACGATATATGTGTGACAACGCGGACAAGCTTTGACATCGCCTGCTGCAAAGTGAAAAACGTTGATGATCGAACAGCGAAAGCGGAACATAATGGGAAGGTTTTTTTTTCTCTTCACACCTGTTCTTCCCAGTACATAATCAAGAAGGAATGCTATTATTTTTCAAATGAAAACGAACTTGATGATGTGTTTTGAAAAGTGTGTGGTTGTGCAGTATACGTGTTAACTATTCGTTTCAAAATCATTCACATTTTAAGCAGAAGCAAAAATTACACAAACTTTTCATACTTAACTAATTTTTCATAATTTTCGGCTCATAGAAAAATCAAGGTTTAAAGACACTTTTCATAGTTAAACTGATTAACGCAAAAGCTGGAAATACAAAACTTCAGAATTTTTTGAAGAGAAAAATAAGCCTCGCCCCTAATTTTGATTCACTTTCAATCTACTCACGCTTCAGAAGTGTGTCAGTTCCGCCGATGAAGCCGCCATTGCGGAAAACCTCCTCAAATGCGATCGCCTTGCTTTTTCGGCGCTCGCTTCGACGTGCTTCATCGCATGTCTGATTATTATGCCATTCCCTTTTGCAATGATAGCAAAAGTACGTTCCGCACTCGGGACGACCGCATTTAATCTTCGGGCACGCCGCACAGCGTGTCGCGATGACGGCGTAGTTGCAATCCGGCGCTGGGCACCATCTCGCGTCAGCTTCACTCAGCAGATATTTTCGTATACTGAATTGCTCATACTTTTCAAGTACGGCGACGTTATCCGCGAGGATTTTGCTGAAAAAAAAAACAAAAATGTTCATCATTTCCATAATCCAATGTTTTAAGCACACTCTTAAACTTCATACATATAAATTCTTTTGTTGGCACATTGGCACAGTTGAAAACCAAAATTGAATGAATGATAAAAGGAGTCTTAAAATTTTTTAGCATTTAGTACCGTAAAGGAAATTGTAAACATGATTTTTATTAAACGGCCCATAAAAATTTTAATTGCATTGTAAAAATCAGAATATTTGAGAATGGTTATTAAACGATAATTACTTTTCGTTGGATCAAAGTACATATTGAACCCGGAAACTGCATTTCCCATATTTAAACAAAATTTTGTTTTTCGTGTTCGACTATTAATTTCCCTGACATTTTTTTAAATATTCTAATAACTTACTAAATATCAGCTGGAGTGAAAAACGAAGAACATTCTGGACATGACACTTCAACGCGATTCTCTCTGATTGACAATTCCACGTAGTGGCGGAGGCACATTATACAGCTTCGATGTTGGCATCCCTTGATCTTCGGGAACGCTTCGATTGGAAGTTTCGCAGCGCAAAGAGGACATTCCTTGAGCTTACCACCTTTTAGAACCTGAAATCCGGTTCTTTTGCAAAACAGTATATGCAGCAAAAGTTCGGTTGATAACGCATTCGGATGACTGGTTTCTTGAATCAACCACGCCATCAATCATTTCGAAACAAAAAAAGTTCTCACCTCTTCACCGGACATAAATCTGATACAATGATTTCGGAGTTCCATGATTTCCCGATAGCTGTCGACTTCCTCTTGAAGAAGAAGATCGGCTGATGGATCCTTGGCGCCATCCGCAAGTGAACTTGCATCGCTTTCGCGATTCCTGAATATCAACATTGAACGAATGATTCGAATTGGAACTTGCCTTTTCGATGACACCGAGCTTGGCGAGCGAGCATCAGTGTTGGAAACGGTGGTCATTGTGTTAGATGAATCGTCAATATCACCTTGACGCCACCCGAGTGCTCGAGCTCTGAAACGAACAACAAATTATCAAAATGAACACAAACTAATAAGTGGGTTGGAGGTGGAGTTGAGTTGCCGATGGTGTCACGGTAGAAGTCATGAGGAATACAATTGCATTATCTAATAATTTCACTGATAACCGACTGATAAACCGGCATGTTTTCAACAGTCACTCCAAAAATCGACTCGCGTGTTTGCCAAACCTATGCTTCACAATTGTGTGTTGACAAGTCGATTTTGAGTAACAGGCGAAAAAAAAAAAGACGGCGAACCGCACAAAAAAAATGAACGACAGGTGAACAATGTACAGAGCGCGTCGGGGCAAAATATTAATGTGTCTGTGTGTGCGAAAATAGCGCTACATCGAAGTGGGGAGGCGCGACTCTCAACAAAAAAATTTCTCTATTGCATTACAGTTCAACCGACCTAACCAGTTCTATATTGAAACCGTTTATTTGATTGAATATTTCGGAGGATGGATGGCGGGAAGACACAGCTTAATGTATATAAGCAATATTAGCTTGGAAGTGGAGCAATGAGAGCGTTCAATAGATATGCAACAGTCAACCTAAAAAAAAAGGAACAGAAATTTTACCGCAAATACGAATCATTTTTGAGAGTGAGCGACGCAGGAAAGAAACAAGGTGAATAGTGAAGGGTGTGAAAGTATACCGTACATATGGTGTACACAACACAGCAGTCGTCAACACGTTTAGGTTTGAAAAGTTCAGCAGTGAATAGAAGAAAAAAAAAGATGCGCTGCATAGCATATGTAATCTTGAACGAAACAAAAAATGAGGCGAGACGAGCCGCATCCGACTGAACGAACGGATAGACGCCTGCTCGTTTGTTGTCTCTAATTTATGACGTTAAAATCCGCACTCCGCTCGGGGCGAGAAGAAAAATGCGCCCCAATTAAAGTAGGCAAACGCTCATCATACTTAGGAAAACGGCGAAAAGCGTTGCGAAAATAAAGGCAAGACAGAAAGAAGAAGAAAAAACTGGAATGTTTCATCTCAATATCTCTCTGAATGCTGCTGACAATCGTAAAGCGGCTTCTTTTCACTCCACAACAATCATGGAATTCGACAAACTTGAAATTTTTGCTGAACGGTAAACCCCGGAAAAAGAAATCGAAAACTGGCAATGTCGAAAAGAACTAAAATGTTTGTTGTAACAACAATTCACCAATAGCAAAAAAAACAACATTGTAGATACAAAAATAAACTATGCCTGTAATTTTCACATATTGTTGTTCGGTTAAAAAGAAATTGAATTGGACCAATCGACATAGACTGTGGAGTGATCGAAAAAAAAAAATCATTATGTCAATAGAAACTATTTCAAAATCAAATACCAAATGTGATTACTCAAGTGCGAGAGTGTTTGTGATGTATTCTTTTCTAGCCATGATTATGTTTTATTTGCTTAAAATGTCGCCTGCGGGCAACATTCTCATATAAAATGGATTTTTTTTTGATTTCTTGGGGAAGAGTGTTTCAGGGGGAGAATCAAAACGCCAAGACTCTCTAATTAGTCCTTGTTCTCAATTAGCGTTGACCTAACAATCTGAATGCGGCGGATGACGGGAATTCAAAAAAAAAAACACACACACACACTCCCACGAAAACCGCAATTTTAACGGGAAATCGAATTAAATGCGGAACAAAATTGCAATATGACTAATATCGTGGTTACGAAACAAAAGTCATTTTCCTAATATTGGTTGCTAACCACAGGAGTGAGAGAAAGAGAAAGCGCGTGAGGCCAACACAACAAAAAATATAGCCATTCCAATTGTTTCAGAAAGCTTCTCGGCGAATTTGAAATGAAGCGGCGTGCAAAACGCATTTATTATTCAGTTACAATTGTAGCCTGTGCCAACCATTTTATAACAATACAATGATGCCACAATCTATATGTATGAATTCTATATGAATGGTTGTTGATTTTTTTTCCGGCCAAAAAATGAATATGCATATTAGAGAACATTCGTGAATGGTTTGATTCGTTTCTTCAATTCTTTTTTAATGGAAATATTGGAGATTCAATGACAAGCGAATTCATTTGTATCATTTGCAACAAGCGGTTTTCGATACTCTTAACATTCACAAGAAAATTTTTAGAGATTGTTTTTGTATCACTCATTAGATTAGTTCAAATAGATAAGAAATAAGGGCCGCTATATTTGGGAGTTCCGGATACGAAAATTTGGCCAAAATTTCATAAACTACACATTTTTTTTAAACTACACAAAACTTTAAGAAACGAAGGTTAGCAACCCTGTCATTACAAAATAGCAATTAGTTGTGTTGCTTGGCTACCACTGTACACATCACAGCCAAAATGAAAACTACGAAAGAAGCGTTTGCCCTCAAATTTCAGGAGAAGTGAATTGTGGCATTCAAGAAAAATGAAAAGCGATTGAGGATGGTAGAGCGAAAAAAAATTCAAAAACTTATGAGTCATTAAAACGAAATGATTTGATTGTTCACCTTTTTTGTGTTTTGTTTTTAATGACAAAACACTGCCTACAAAATGCGAAATTTTTAAATGACGACATGTGATCGCATGAGCGTTTCTTGATCAGCTCTCACTAAGAAATCACTTATAAAATTGCTAGCTGACCAACATCAATTTGTCAGTTTTCACGCAACATTTTTTTTTCGAGCGAGAGAAAATTTGAAGAATCAAAAACGGGTACTCATTTCGTTGTGTTGACACTTGACGTGGCACCCAACGCACCCTTTCCCCTTTCAATTATTGTCGTTCTTATCAATCTGTTCTGGAACAGATTGCAATGATAAGGGGATGTTTACTATTGAATAAGCTGGTTATAATGTAAAATGATGGCTGAAGAAGCCTTCTAAATAGAATAATACACATATATTTTTTTTTGTTATCGCGAACGGATTAGTCGCCTCAATATAATTTCCGATTTGCATGTATATATAGTGTATTGATTCTGAATGAAAAATATTATTCATAAGCTGAATGGGACAATTCATCCTATACTCTGAGCGTATAATATACACATAATTTGAATGAATTGCGGAGGGGATGGGTGGGTTGGGTCAAGAAAGCAAGTAAACGTAGTAGTTGAGCTGCTGGCAGAACAGCTGTGGAATAGTGGCCCGAATGAACCGAAATGTTCATTTTCTTTTTTTCAAACTGACACCATCTCTTTTATGACATGGGAGTCCGACAGGAGGCCATGCTTTTAAACTAATAGTATGTTTGCGGAATGCACTTCGATATCCGTTAGGAGAAAAGAACGCTAATGAAACACTTCCTGTGCACATTCGGCGAAATTTCTCTCCACTTTTTTTTTCTCCACGCGCTCTATTTGATTATACGAATAATGCACAAAATTCCTCACCTTTCACGTATCGCCGAAAAACTGAATAGATTCCCGATGGTGGCACGAGGGCATGATCTTGCTCGTAGGACTTCCACCGATCTTGAATGACTCCTCGCAACCATTTGGCGTGGATTGCTCTTTCGAATCACCGCTGAAATAAAATGTAAATTTAAAAAATATGGGGAGGAAAAAAATAATGTCACGTTTTTCGGGTTCCGCGTCCTCCTCGGAACACTCGACCAAAGGATCCAGCCCGCTCTTATTGACCGCCATGATCCTGAAATTTCTAAAAATTGAATGCTTCAAAAAATAGTTGAATTAAAATTGGCTCAATAATGTACCAATGAAAATTATCGTTTCAATGTCTACCAAACAAAAATGCAATCATTGTGAAGCGTGTTACTATTCGCGCGTCTTGGATAATGTTGCCGCACAAAAAAAACCTATTGATTCAAAAATGTGCGCAGCGGAGCGCGGTTGTCTCATTTAGCCGATGAAAATCTCAATGATGACTAATTCAAGTGACGTTTCTCAATGTTAATTCTTCTTCAATTCTTCTATTTTTGTGCTTATATTCTGCATACACCAAGCAAAAAAAAACATCCACAATTGTGTTGATTGGAAAATGAATTATAATTTTTTTTTTTCATTCGAATTAGGCAGGTGCGGTGGCATACGACAATTTCCGATACGAAGGAAATTAGTAATCGCAACGAGCCAGCGATGTGTTCAATGAACTCTTGGGAAAAAGAGAAGAAAAAAAACGCACACATATATAATCTGAATATAATGTGCGAAAGAGAGCTTGGTAACAAATAAAAATGTGTGACTAGGAATTTTATACAAGTGTCTCTTCGGCGAGATATTGAAACGGGGGGGGGGGGGCAAAGGCACTTGAAAAGTTTAGGAAAGGCGAACAAAAAAAGTGAACGTCGGGTTGGCTGGACTTCCAGAGCAATTATTTTCTAAAGCATGTCGGACATTTTGGAAACACAGTCCAGCTGGTGTCTCAACGAATTTGGCTCGCATAATTACATGCAGTTTTCGACGCATTTCTCAGCAATATGCGCAATTGCGTGACCACATGAACTTGTCTGATCAATAATCATTTTGATATGAATAAATTTTAAAATAAAATGTGAAACAGAAACGTTTTAGCCCTAAAACCTAATTTGTATTTAGCGAAACAAAACACTCTGATATTTATTTGTTTCTGAATAAACAAACGTCATGTGACATTTTTTGTCTCGCCGAGGGTTTGCTTCTCAGCAAAATAAACCGCTCGCCTAATTTTTGGTCCCATAAAAAAAACGAAAAATGAAAAAAAAAAAGTTTAGTTGCCTGCTGAGAACTTCTTCGAGTTTCCATTCATGCAGATTCAAAAAAAACATTTTTTGTAACACCGATATCTGGAAATAATTAGGTCGCCTAATTATCCCGGCATTTCTTCTAGGAACCTAGTTTTCTGCATTTTTCCTAATTAGTTATGAGCATGGAATGAATGAACTTACACTCGGCGCTCGATTCGGAAAGGGATCTCGTGAAACGGCGAAGTCATTGGAACAACGATGAATATAATGACTCAATTTGTCGCCTCAGCTATGATCATAGCATTCATGTTACCACGGCTACGAATCTCATGGGAACCGTTTTTATGTTCTTGATTCATAGATGCGTATTTGATGCTTCATATGTTCAAAACATTTAAAATATCGTGTTCAATAGGTTTCTCTGGCGACGTTGTAAAATTATTGATTATTAGGGAAATGAGTTGAGTGAAGAGAATGAGAAAAGAGAAATGTGCACTCATTTAATCGGATGAACTTTTGACGAATTTCAGGGAGTTTATTATTTATAAATTCGCCCTGAATTAATCACAAAAATCTTAATATAAGCAAGGTTAAGGAAGTGGACATCCTCTTAGTATAAGTTTTTCCTAAGTATCAATAAATAACAATGGTATATAGAAAAAGAAAAAATTGATATAATCCAAAAGTAGATAAGAAATGTCATATAGAACACTTTTCTTTGCGAATGGACAAAATATAGCATTTTTTTTTAAATAAGAACAAGAAATTTCGCAATTCCATGAACGGCTGGCCGAAGTTTGAACGCAAGCAATCACAGTCAATCAAAAACCGAATTTTCGATTCACCAAATATGAACCGCCTTTTTTCTGATTTCAAATAATTTCTATTCAATCATTTCATTTTCAAAAAATTTTGGGTAATAATCTATTAAAATTTATTTAATATTCTCACGCCCCATGGATATGCAAATATCAGAAATTCACGATTTCGTCACGTATCAAGGTTTCGAAAAAAAAAACAGCTATATATGAAAGAATTGCCAAGAAAAAACCGCCGATGAGAATTATTCGTGAAACGCGGTATCTATATTTCAGTGAGGATTTGAAAAATTTCATAATTCCTCTCAAGCTCACAAATAGGGCTTCTTATTCTTTTTCTTCTTTTAATCCAAGCATTTTCTCCAAATTCTAAGAAAATTCGATAAAAGATAATTGAATAGAGGGATTGAAAATGTATTACCGGAGGTGGATCAGAATACGCGTTGTGTTGTTTACCAGAAAAAAATGAACAATTTATTATAGGTAATAGACAATTACAAATTTTGGGCTTGGCTTATTTTTCTCTCTAACGCCTCCTTCTCGTGATCGTCGAGTGATTTTGGCGTGAACGCATATGGTAAAAGGCCATAAGTGCTGGTGAGAATGATATTGTCAGTTGTGGAGGATCCGAGAATAACCTTGAAAAATGTCGTTAAATCGCTTGAATATTCATGTCCGTTTCGCGGCTAATTTACCTTGTAATCCCCAAATTCGATCAGGAATTGTCGGCAAACTCCGCATGGGGAACATGGATCAGCAAGCTCCGTAGCTGTAATTAACAATCATTTTCGAATTATCAATTAATAAAAAAATGTTTTGAGTAGTTTTATCTTGTACATTTCTATGAAAAGCGTTCGTCAAAAACAAATCTCACCCTAATCAATTTCAAGACCACTACATTACATATATATCTTCTCGACCCACCACGTGTTTCTCATATCAAACTTGCAAGATCGAATTTAAAAACGAGAACCGATCTATCTTTCACTTCAGACACGTGCCACTGATCTCTTCGTATTACTTACAAATGGCAATCGCCTTGAACTTCCTGTGTCCCTTCGACAACGCTGCAACGATCGCGCTGCGCTCGGCACAAATCGTGGCTCCATATGAAGCGTTCTCGTGGTTGGCTATAAATTTTTAATGTGATTTATTGGCCTACAAATTTGTGTGCAAACCTCCTTGGATTATCTCGCCGTTATCGCAAAGCAATGCAGCGCCCACCTGGAACTTGCTGTACGGTCTGGAAACTCAACAAGTGAGATCGGCTTTTTTCGCGGATATTTTGATGAACATACGAATATGCAAATTGCATTGCGTTTATTGCATTCCGTAGAAGATTCACGTCGTCTTGAGACAAGTTTTGCTTCTGTGTAGCCATTATGCTGCAAAAAATTATTGGGGTGGGGGCCGACAATCGATATTGTATAAAAGTCATTATTGCTCGAAAAAACCACGTGAGTGGCGATTTATGATATGGTTTATTGGAATCGCGGCTAAAACAAACATTTGGTACACCATAGAAACGGGCCACGTGTACGCAAAAAAAATTTATCGATTCTCGTTTCTGCTTATTTCATGCGTTTCCCAGGTTTCCACCAGAATTTTATTCGTGCGTAAAGTAGCCGCCACACTCGCTTCAAAATTCTCGGCGAATGGGAAATATTGATGATAGGACGAGGTTATTTATACGACTCGCAGAAAAAAAGGTCGCTGGAGTGATAAGACGCACGAGAGAACACGATGATGAAGATTAAAAAAAAAACCAAAGATATGGTGATATGTTTCTCTGATCCTTTGATTCATGTTGGAGAAGACTTGATGAACATTTGAGAACGATGCTTTGAAGTCCCGGAATACAATGAAGTGCTTCTGTAAATATGAGAAGGAAACAATTTTAATTTGAGAGAAAATTAAACAAAACTAATTTCTTAATTTTTTAAATCCTGAATTCCTGAATTGAAAATTCCATTGATTATTACTCATTTTCAATAATGATTATTGCCCAGTTGACCTTGAAAAGATTGCTTTTCAATCGAATAACCTTGATCATAAAAATTGTGTTCACAACAACCTAATAAATAGAATATTTTTTCTCAACCAGTGTGCTTACGGAACTGTGACCGGATGGTGACTAATAAGGAATTTGTTTCATTTTTTTGCTAGCCAATGACAATTGGAAACAATATAAATGTGTCAAACTTTCAAAACCCCCGCATTTATTTATTAATTTTCACAATTTTCTTAACGAGCGGTAAGTTTTTTTTATTTGTTGAAGATTCGAAAAAATTTCAAGAAAATGCGTAATGAAGTGAGCACGATGTCCAAGATTTTTAGTGGGGATGCTTAAAATGTTATGCTCGATTGATAAACTTTGAACATCTTTTCTTCAAATTGATGAGTCATTGCGATTTCACACGTATATTTAAAAGTTGAACAGAAATGCAAATTATAAACTGAATTGAAAAAGTTCAATTCCTTTTTAATTCAAATCTCTACTTTGGATATGACGTGTTTGAATTTTTTTGCTCATTTTAAGTTTTTAAGTCACTTTATTTTCTAAAAAACGAAATTATGGGGAATAATAAAATTGAAATTTTTAATTAGAGTCATTAATTTGGCCTCCAATAATTTATTTTATTATATCAGTAGCTTTAAAAACAAAGATTGGCTCGCTGAAAACATTTTTTTCGCGTCATGCTTCACGTAGCTCATTTTTATGGTTTTTTGCAGAGATTTTTACGAATGACATTTCGAGTAACCCAAATTTAGAAAATTCTCATAAAAATGTTAAATCTGTTCAATTAACGAAATCTAATTGACAGATTTATGAGAGTTTTGTCTATTTTTGGATTTTTGTTGCCTTTGGAACGAGTCTCGCATCAACCGTCTAGCAAATTTCTAAAATCTTTTTAAAGGCGAGTTTCAAGAAGCGCAAAATTCATTTTTTTTTACTATCATTGCTGTTGACATCAGAAAATGTTTTAATCAAATAAGATTGCTTTTAGAAATTAAAAAAATATTTACCGACATTCAAGCTGCTTAAACGTTCCAACAAAAAATAAGCATTTTTCTGAAATGGAGATATGTGTAAAAAAACACCAAGTTTTACAAAAATTATACTTATAAAACGCGAATCAGTTCAGTAATAATTTTGAAATTAATTGATTCAAAATTGTGCCGTCTTTTGACATAATTTGCAATGTTGAGTAATTAATATGCGAAGAAGTACTCCATTTGTCTGCTGGTGGCTTTTACATATGTTACGAGCAATTTTGACTAGACACAGCTGTCTGCCCGCCCCATTATATTTCACATCCGATCGCCACTGAAAATTGTAATCTACTTAAAACTATATTTTTCCCTTTACCAATAACGCCGATAGGCAAGGCTAGATTTCCGGAAAATTTCCAGGACAAATTTTTGGTATTACAAGAAGCCAGACTATCAAAACAATTCAACATTTCTACAGCGTCACGTGATTAAAAAAAAAAACCTCCCCATTTATTACAAAATAACAACAGGAAATTTTCAATTTTGCGATATTTTTCATAATGTAAAAATTTTCCCATATTTCGATACATGATGTAAAAAAATTTTCAATCCTGTCTTCATTTTTCATCTGTAGTATACGATCCTTTAATCGGTCGTGGTGAAAACATGATAAAAGGCGTAAATCGTAGGAGCAGTCCGTTTTTTTTTCAACACTCTCAAGTTCATTTTCCAGTTTCACGCTCTTAACTTTTTGAGTTCCTTCTTCAAACATGTGAATTACTTCTGTTTCATCGCACAATCATCATCATTCATCATTTCGAAAATTTTTCTCCAACAGCACGGTTTGACGTCATTCGATTTTATGAAAAACTTCGATCCATTTATTTGAGATTCCTTGCGCCAAATTTAAAATTAGGATTGTATATTTTTTTATTGAAGAGGAACAGAAAATTAGACATAATTTGGAGGGTTCTCGACGCCATAAATAAAAGAAGCCGCCGATAGCTATTTTTGTTCGCAATATTTGTCGTCCATCGAATAATTTTTGGGTCATATAGCATTTTATTTATGAAATCGTCTAGGTCTCGAGGTAATTTGATCAAAGCTCAACGATATGAGATATTGTTTTTGGTTCAAGTACCGTAACCTTTTTATTGAGAAATTTGCCAGCAAAAACCTGTATGCTTAAAAATGGTCCCCAACTATTGTTATGAATTTGGCATAATTTTTTATTTGGTAATTCTACATAATATTTCAGAAGTATCTTATTTTTAACATTTATCTTGTCATTGTCTGAATTGTAATCTTTAACAGCAATGAAATTAGTTCCATAAAACCTCGATCGTATTCAAAATGGAATTCACTACGGTAAAGAACCTCAATATCATAGAAAATTCATCCCTTTCGGCTTTATTTCTAGGAAGAAATCTTTTCATCTAATTACAACGATCTAACTACCCCTCATTTAAGAATAACTAAAATATGAAATATAATATGCAAATATAGTCGGCGTCCGGCGACTGCTGTACGCGGGTAGATTTACGCGCATGCGCCTTGAAAAGGTCTCGCCACGCGTGAATGCTTATTTTACTGTTTTCACGTGAACTGCTTCATTTTTCTTGATGAGTTTCGCATTTCCTTGAATTTCCAACGTCATTCGATTAAAAAATTATTGAACCGGTCCATAAAATTTGAAATATCCTGTTAGTCCTTGCGAGACCATTTCGAAAGACGCATTTCCGTAAATCTACCCGCGTACAGTAGTCGCCGGACGCCGACTATACATTATGTTTAAAATCAGTCAAACTGCCAGTCAAACTATTCTACCAGTCAACCCATTGAATTAACTGTTCAATTTCCAATCTTCCTCACAGATTAGAACATTCCTTTTTGAATATCAGCTCCGCGAAACGTCATAGCTTTGTCAAATATACACAACGAAAAGATTATTCATCAGTAGCTAATTAGAGTTTGCTCGTTAACACCCAGTTGGATAAGCCTAACATCTACGGTAATCATATATTAGCTTATATAACTCGGTTATTTGCATTTCTCGTTAGCAGCGCGTTACGTTTTGTTCATCTTCATGCACGTTTTAATTAAATTTCTGTGAAAGAAATTAAAAATTTTTTTTTTTGGAACCGAGCCCAAAATAAACGTAACGCTGGGAGAAAACCATTTTCCTGCAAAAAAATGACTATAAATTTTAGAAATCAAACAGGGAAATTAATGTTTTTTTGGGTTTCGTGATTTATATTGTAGAGAAAATGGGTGGTTCTTTGGATTCGACGTCACGTTTCCAAAACTTTGCCCTTTTTGCTTCCAAAATTGTTATGGTAATTTTTAAAGAAATAATAATCTCAGCTCAATTATATCTTTTTTGACAAGAAATTTATTTTTGAGAATGCTTCCATCCCAATTCCAAATTGCGGGGTCCTCGATGGTGGAGTCCTTAAGGATAGTCACAATTATCCTCGCAAGCCACTCATTAAATTCCATCGCCTTCTGAAATACCCATACTGGTTCATTCAAGAGTCTTTTTTCAGAAATGAAATCATTCTTGGCTATGCTTTTCATCATCTCTGTGTGCTCCGCCACTCTTTACGAGTTCTCACAGGTCAGATAACACTAATATTGTAATCACTAATCAATCAATTTGCAGCAAACTCGAAGTGGGTACCCAATCAGTTATTCACCTCATTTCAGTCAATCGATCATTGACAAAAAAGACGACATCGAGCCAAAAAGGTTCAACTCCTAGCTATACCATCATTGCTGAACTAACTATGTCATATTGCAGAACTCATCAAGTTCTTGAGAAGCGTCCAAAATCGCCTTGGAACCGAAACTGTTATCTATCGCCAATGCAATGCCTACTTCCCGTCGAGCAACACCAATTCAGCAAATTTCAAAAGCGGCTCTTTTATTGATGAAGTCCCCCGATTCCCAATCGTTTAACGTTTAATAAATATCTTTGTTAAGTCTCTAGATACAAATTCAATGTGAATGTGAATGTTGCGAATCATGGAAGGAATGATGTTTTCATTGTGAATTTTGAATATTGGAGAATAAATCTGCTTCAATCATTGGTAAATTCGATGCTAATTTCAAATTTTGTGACAGCAAATTTTCGTTACCCAGAAGAAATGAAATACACACATGGTTTCGTCATTTATCATAGAAAAAAATATGGCAAAATGCAAGTGACCACGCGAATAACAATAAATATATGTTTTTCTGGTTTTTGTTTGTTCGAAAGAAAATTTTCAGTCATTACAAAATAACCAAATGTTGTTAGCAAGAAATAAAAAAAAATTGATTATTATTACAATTGCAGATTTCGAAAATTTCAAAATGTCCTTCTGGAATAAAAGTAACATCAAAAAAAGAAAACTGAAAACTGAACTTTCGAAAATTATAGTTAAATTGTCTCCATAAAATTTTCTTCAACAACTACTTTTCGCGTTACTTTTACTGTTTTTTTTTTAAATTCCGTATAAGATTTTAAAATTGCTAAAAATAACTAGTTGAACCTTGTGCAAAGAGATCACCAATTTTACGCCTTTATTCGCTTAAACGTAAATCATTAAATGTTGAAATCAAAATTCCCAGTATTCATTTTTTGATTAGTGATTTTATGACCACCGTCCCTGCATTTTAGAAAGTTCAATTCGGCTTTATTGTTTTGGCGATGATTAAACCTTATTTTTTTTCAACCAGATTATTATAATCTTTGTGGTCGTTCAACTGTTAAGAGGCATTATTATGCAACAATAGGGGCAAAATATTGTGAGTAAGTGTAAATATTGAAAAGATTAGGAAAATATGCGAACGTGTCACGTATATTGCTTCAAACTATAAACAACATATATGAAATAAATAAATCTGAATATGTAATGCACAAGCATGAATTTTGCAATAAAAGAATAAAGTTCATTTTGTGGAATTGGGTCAAATCTGGATTCGGTATTGACTGTTTTTTTTTTAATTTCCGAAGAGATACATATACTATCACTATTCTAAAATAATTTTTTCTTACAAATTTTTAAAGAAATATTACAAAGCAAATATGTGATATTAGCAGTTATGAAATCAATTATGATAAAATGCCCATATATGGTTTATATGCTCTTCATTTATAGAAAAATGGTTCAGCACAAAATACTTGAAGTTCGATAAATAAAAAGTCAAGAAAAAGAGGGTCAATAAATTTTAGAATACAAATGTAATTTTCAACTTCTTTCGAAAAAAAAATAACTTTGGTAATCTGTGATATTTTTATTCAAATTCCATAATTTGTGAAAAATTTGAAAATTATGGTGCAATTCGAAAAATTTTTCTTGTTCAACCTTTTATATAATATAATGAAATGTTATAAATATAAATTATATTTCTTTAATATTTTTAAACTCTTTATACTGGCTGAATCCATTCCCAAAAAAATATTATATTCATTTTGGTTTGTGTAATTATCATTATGATCGTTCGAACAATTCAGTAAATAAGTTCTAGTACAACATTTCTCAATGTTCATTGATGTTTTAACAACCAATAAATATCAGATATGCAGAAAAACAATCAAATGGGGTGTAGTTGGTTACTTGGACAATAAAGCATCAGATTTATTCACTTCTCTGATAGCTATTTATATTTGTAAAAGAGTTGAGTCAAGTTGAGTTTACAATAGGCATCTCGTTGATGTTTGAGTTACTACGAAGTAAGAAAATTTTTTCAATAGTCTAATCTAGTGACGCAAAAATCCTTGAAGAGGATTCCGCCCTCAACACAAGCGGGTTATAAAAGGAACGACACCAACTATGTTATCTCAGTCTTGATATTATGCTGCGCAGATACTCAATTGTCGTGTATTGCTGTATTTCAGTATCGACAGCTTACTTGATTCCACACCATCATCGGCAACACGTCAGTCCAATCAAGTACAGTCTCTTCATTATTCAAATTTTTACACAAAAGTTGAATTTTCAGTGGAAATTATGATCGAAACTGCTTTTTCACTCCAGCTCAATGCCGCCTTTCAAATTTTCCGCAGTCTGATAAACTTCAAACCATGATCAATGTTTTTGATCAGAAGTCGTTGAACAAAATCTACAAGAACCTTGATTATCAGAGGACTCTGGCATATTATGGTTCCAACAATTTCTAGCACTTTGTTAACTATTTTTTAAAACATAAAATTCACATGTTATATAATGTACAAATGTATACATTTTTTTTAATACGGATTCGATGTTTTTTCTTGCTACATTTCTCAATAAAATATTCAAGTGATCAGTTTTATTAGTCATGTGGTGATAATAAAACGGATTTGTTAATAACGAAATAATGTGAGCCGTAAACTCACGGCGGTTTAAAGAAATATATATGACATTAAAAATTATTTTATTAAGAAATGAAAGATTATATGCATAATTATTATCAATTTCCTCAAGTTTTTAATTATTCTTAACTAATAATCAACAGTTAGACTTTCATTTCTGTACATTTGTCAATTTGAGGCCTGAGTGAGTGAGTTTGTATTTTTTAACGGTTCTGGTGTAAGCGAAATAAAAAATATTAAAACAAGGACTAAAATACAAAATTATAATTAGTCCAACAGGTTTCAATTTACATCACTCGCTGGAAGTCAAATAAAAAATTGAATGATTCTGAATTTGAAATTATATTTAAGCAATATGTCATTTAAATTCCATTTTCTTCGATCCAGTCTGACGGAGAAGTTTATAATGTACAATCCTAGGAAATTTGTGCATCTGTTTGGAAACAAAATTCTAATTTTAATAATCTTTTGTGTTTGGGTTAATTCATTCAGTTACCAGACCTTTTTAGTTTTCAGTCTATTACCATATATTTTTGCATATTATTAAATAATTGATTTTTGTCTTTTGCGCGAAGATAATAAGTGCATTGCGTATGCAATTGTTTTGTTTGACATATTTGGATTTGGACGCAAATTTATTTGATCTATGATAATAAAGTTCTTAATGAAAATTGAATTAATATTTAAACTGAAAACATCATTTTTTTTTATTATACTAAGGGCAGGAACTGATAAGGTCAGGTTATGACGATTAAACGTTGAATATTAGTGGGTGGGTCTTTTATGGAATCATTTTTTTTTCAAACAATTACCCACTTCCTGCTCCTCTTGCACAGACTTCAATCAACCTATTAAAATTCAAACTAAACACGTCAAATTCCTTGTTGATAGTTTGGCGTCATTATTTATCAATTGAAATGCGAACTTATTCGGGAAAATTCCATCAACATTGCCATCCATTAGCGAACTTCGATTTTCTGATTTCTAATTTTTTGATATCACCGCTCAATTTGAGAAATGCAGCTTAAAACTATTATGATTCTATAAATATGCGAAATTCCCATCAAACATCGGATTCGACAAAAGAATCCCCCCCACGCGATCCCAATAATCTCGAAGGGAAAAATCAAGAAAATGACATGTGCGGAGGGGGGGGGTGGCAAGTGTGATAAATAATAGCAAAATAATAGCTGTTTAGAATTCAAGCATTAACGTTGATTAATCAATAATCTTCAAATGCATAGAACAATACTGTGAACGCAGAATTCAGAAATCAACTCAATATTATCAGAGATCGTATATTTGTAAATTTACGTAAGGTCTTTGTACTTTCCCTTCGGCATTTTAGTATATAGTAATGAATTTTGATGGAAATATTTATTAGAAAAATTCAATGAACTCAACTTCGTTTTTGTTTATACTTCATCTAAAACAGGTGAAAATTGAACTGGTTTTGTAATTCTGATTCTACTAACAAATACTGAAACTGCATCGAGTAACATTTGAAAAGTTCATATTAATTAAGTATGCAAAAAATAGTACATTATTACGGAAATACAGTTGGCGTCCGGCGACTGCTGTACGCGGGTAGATTTAAGCGCATGCGCCTTGAAAAGGTCTCGCCACGCGTGATTGCTTATTTTGCTGTTTTCACGTGAACTGCTTCATTTTTCTTGATGAGTTTCGCATTTCCTTGAATTTCTAACGTCATTCGATTAAAAAATTATCGAACCGGACCATAAAATTTGACAGAACCTGTTAATCCTTGCGAGACCATTTCAAAAGACGCATTCCCGTAAATCTACCCGCGTCGCCGGACGCTGACTATACGTTGTTTATAAATAAAAAAAATTACTTTATTATTAATGCTATCTGATTTAAACTAGTATGCTTTCAATTTGAAAAAAGAAGTCAAACAAATGTATTAGGGAGAAATCCGCGTCTTAACTTTTTTGGTCTCGTCAACGAAATTGTTTTTGGAATTTTTAATGGATTAGCATGAGTAGTAAAATTCGGGGAATCTGAAATACATGCGGAGTATTGAGATCGGGAAAGAACTTTGAAATAAACTTTGAACGAAGGCAGCACAAGTTTGGAATTCCAGAGAAACATGTGTTCAAGAAATTATGCATATCAATTGATTGTACATAAATGGCCAGATGTGATGCGAAACAAGCAAAGTCACAAAATAAACTTGGAACTTGACGTTTAGTCGTTGCAATTTTCGACATTTTTTCGCTCTGATGCGAAATCCGATACACCGTTTCATTTTTCCAACAAAATTGGCTCTTCGATATCAACTTTAGGCTAATAGTAAAGCAAAAAAGGAGATGGCAAGTGCCTTGAAAAAAAAATGATAGGCAAGGAAAACAGACAAGAATAAATAATAATTAAAAACGACAACGAAAACCGAAGAGCAGTGTTTACCATGCCAAATAGGGTTCTTTTTTTTTTCAATAACCAATTCAGATTAATATTTCAACAGACATCATGTAGAATAACAATAACATAAATTGAAATGTCAATTTTGAATTTCGAGTTTTCGCAGAAACGATTTAGTTGAATAGCATTGTTTGAGAAAATAGCCGACGACTTTCATTGTTCTCACTTGGTCTTTTTTTCCAGAATATTTCTGACCTTGAGGTCATATTAGCAAAGGAACTTTTAGGATTAAGACTTGAAATCTCAAAACAAGCTTGGAAAAATTTTTTTATGTTAATAATATGCTTTTATGTCAAAATCGATTTATACATTCTGTCCTCTAGAACGGTCCATGAATTCTCAGTGAGATTTTGGATTTCATTGATCAAGACGTCTCGATTCTTGGAGATTTGTTTGAGCCAATCAAAGTCAATGTCAAACTCTCGAAGGTCGCGACGACACCAGCATACCTAAAAGACATGGTCATTAATGAGAGCTACTTAAAAAGGAGTACCCTCTTAAGCATGGCATTTTTCCTGATAATAAGCTTGAAATTGTTTCTCTTTGAATAAACGCCGAGAATCAATGCAGTCCCATGGGAAAGGTGCTCGCGGAATGTGAGAACTTCTAAATTGCGGCATCTGAATAAATAATTTCACTATTATAGTAATTTTCCATGATTTTTTAAGATGTGGTATTAATTTCTGATGCTAATGTAACACGTTATGTTTAAATTATTTTTATTTTGAAAAAATTAAAGCGAATTTATGAAATTGGAAAGTTTGAATATTGAAATCACAATTTTTGAATCCTAGTTAAAAAAAAATATTCAGTCAACCTGCTCGCGATTCGAACGATCGCCGAATCAGCTCTTTCGCTCATTTTGTTTCCTCGTTTCATTCTCTCCAAACCGCATTGCACGAATTGGCACAACGTCTCAGAATAGAAATTGACAATCTGAAAATAGTCGTCATTACTCAATTCCAGCATATTCTCGAAGAGTGGAATTGTCTCACGTCATCGGCGACTTCATGCGTTAATTGTCCGGAACTCATTTCCATTTTTATTCCATAAACCGGCGCGAATGGCTGGATAATCAGCGGGATTTTCGGTTTGCCTTTAAGGATAAGCCACACTTTTGTTCTCCCACAATTTTGAGCTTTGAACTGTTTCCATGCTTCCTTGTTACAGCACGGCGCTGCAACACTCTTCTCATCCTGAATGAATACTATGCTAGTCGGCTTATGGCTACGCCCACCTGAATAATACAAAATGTTGTTAGATGCCGTAAACACGATATCAATGACAATGAATCGATTTGAAGCATCTGTGGCGAGATTAGAAGTTTTTCAAGGTTCAGGAATAATCCGATTTGTAAAAATGATTTTGCATGTAAAGTAACATTCAATAGGCTGAGATACCGTAATTGAGTAGAGAATTTTTCGAGTAGCTGAAAAAATAGATTGCAAAGTCGAACTAATACCGACAAAATCTCTTTCAAGTCAGATTCGAGCTGACTCAAGTGTAATAGTCTTATTCTAAAATATTATCATTATTTGAATTATGTCTGAGCTGGATATTCGTAAATCTGCTATTTGTAGAGAATTGTGCTATTATAAAAATTAGGTCTTTCAAAAATTAAAAAAATATATTACAACACCACTCGAGCTCGATTGTATGAAATTTCAAAATATAATGTATTAAGCCTTTTCTTGGAGAATTTTAAAACTAATTCGTGGATCAAAATTATAAAGAATTTGTTTCAAAATCCCATAAGACACATGAGCTTAAAGGGATGTCAACTTCAAGTCCAATAAACCGACAACTAGACGCTCTCTGGAAAAGTTTGGGGAAATTTTGAAATTCTAATTCATAGTTTTAGCATTCTATATACTTCAATAATGAACTGTTCAGCTTCCCACGCAGTTAGCTGTAAATCAATAAGAGATATTGATTGTAAGCCGTGAAGATGCTTCACCACATTGGTCAAAGTGTGAAGCATTTCTCCTCCTGTACCGATATCCTAATAAAATATTGTTACTCTCAATTATCATTGTTCACTATATGTATTACTTTATCATGAAGAATACCCCCAACTTCATCTTCTTCAACATGCAACCTCCATTGAAAATGGAATGTGCGAATCATTGCCAATGGTTTGTCGTCAGGCGAATGTCTGAAATACCATAATTACCGCGAAAATTGTTTCGCTGCCATTTTACTTCTCATAGTATTCAGAGAAGTTGGTTAATACTCTAAAGAATTCATAGAGGTTGAAGAGATTCGTGACAGGGCGAATGATGAGGATCCTCCAACGACGAGCTGCGTTTGTGATAAGAAATCTAAATTTATAATATTTCGGACATAACTCAAAGGTTTTGCGAAGCAATAACTTTTGATTAATGTTGCGGAAATTTTGATGGGGTCCGGTTTTGAGAAAACTATATTATTGTACCTCAATTTCCAATGATCAATGTGGTATTGCCATCCGGAGTGTTGGGTGAACTTGCGGCGCACAAAAATACCATCTTTGAAGATGAATGTTCTCCAAGGATAATCGGTATTGAACACCAAATACCATTGTTTGCAAACCTTGATTGAAATAAACATAACGAAAATACTTCATTATTTCAGTTTTATTGTTTCAATTCCTGTCCTCGTACAATTTTAAAAAATCAATTATGTTTTTACCTATACTGAAACTAGTTTAATTTTTTTCGTCGAATTTCGATTTGTATTGGTTTTCATGTCTATTCTCTCGCAAATTTTGGGCGCAATTTAGGAATGTGATTTTAGATCTTTTAAAAATAAATACAGTATTGATGGTGCGTTTTTTTTATATTTTTGTATATAAGAAATCTATCACAAAAACTATTTTGACTAATAATTAGGCAAAACTAAATTCGCATATGGAATCATTTCATATATTTTAATTGCCGTGACACTGGTATGGATTGAAAATCTGGTGGTATAATAATTTCATTTTGTTGCGAGGAGCAAGAAAATATGAAGAATGATATTAGCAATTTAAATCCTGCGGTTACGGTGAATATCACGGTGTTTACACACACACCAGAGTTGGCGCGCAAATACACGAAGTTGAGTTGTTGGATTGTTTTAGGCCCGGACCCGAGTTACTTGATTGGTTTTCGCTGTTGTTTATATTTTCCTACCGTGCTGCTTCATTATTATTTGTATTCACATACTATCCATTCCCCCGACTAGCCATTATTGTTATTATTATCCGTTAACTAATTAAATTGCGCTTCGTTCGTTATTGTTGTCTAACGCTTACTTTAGATAATGTTTAAATTGTAATTCGAGTTTTCCGACTTACAACACATTTAACTACCATTACTCTATTTAGATAAAAATTTTTGTAATAAACATTACGCAGACATTTTCAGTTTTCTAAATTTGAAGCAAAATTTTCTAAATATTTGAAATTAATACTTCCTTTAGCAATTCATTATTTCTTGAGTAAAACCTAAACATACCTGCGAGCATCTCCCCAAATTTTTAATAGGCAATTGTGAGAAGATTTCTTGCAACGTTTCAATGGGTAACCTGTCCCAAGATGAATTGGGACAGGACAACATGCTCAGCTTAACAAAATATCTTGTGTATGGGTCACTACTGAGGCAACAGTTGAACAAATCGATATTTCCACTTTTCTATCTGTCAACATGTTTGCATTTATCTCAACTCGTGCAATTCCACTCCACCGCTGTTCCTCAGATGATTGCCGGATATTATTGCAGGCGAGCGCTGGAAAATAAACGGCGATGCCGGAGGCGGCCGGCTAGGGTCGAAACTTGAAATTTTTCTGAGAAAACAACACCGGAAACCCCGATGAGTCACAGTGTCCTTGTTTTTTTTTTCAAAATAAAAACATTGCGAAATTGTTAGACGGCCGCAACCACACTCAAGTAAAAAAAATTGCCAGCGAAAATGGAAAAAAAAAATGAAAACATATTCTGTAACTTGGCATATTATTTTCTGGAATAAGAAAGAAAACGTTTTGGGTCTCTGCCTTGTGTAATTTTTGAAAAAAAAATCTCAATAAACACTAGAAAATGTGTATTTGAAAAAAATTACAGTGGCATTGAAAGAAGAGCAAATCATCCAAAAATAAAAATTTCTACTATACTTGGACAACAAAAATTCAAAAGATTTATTAATTTATAGTTGTCCAGCTTTATTAATCTCGCTATTCTCGAAACCCACCATATTACAATAGTAAAGAAATCATCTTTTAGGCCATCAATCACTTTTTCAAACTGTTTCAACCTATATTTATCATCCATCAAACTTTCTTTTTAGATTTTTTGTTTTCAGATGATTATTCTGGCGACGAGAAATGTCTTGTTTAATGAAGACTCATCGTTGTGACACAAAACATCAATGGCATTTTGAGGTGCCATCAATTTAGCGATGATGTAATTTTAAAAAAGCATTTCGGAGTTCTCGTTTTAATTTTCAATAAAAAGTTAGTCCCATTGTTTTAATTGGGTGAATTTAAATAAAATTGCTTTTGAAGGGAATAAAAAGCGACATGTCACTTTTCATAGCTCTTTGTTGATGTGTCGATAAACAAATATTATTTTCGACCATTCCATGTGACGTTTCCCATGTTCAGAACAAGTTTATGTGTACTCCCGATTCGTTTTCGTTTCAGTGATTTATTATTGATTATGCAATGAATATACTGTGAATGCATACAAATTCGTATAAAACATGTCAATAATGGAAATGCGATTAATTATACATATTTAGTTGGAAGCTTCTCCTTGAAGAATCTTGAGGTCCCACAAGAACAAAAAGAACTGGACGAGCATGAGAGCCGCGCTGGCGATGAGCCATCCCTTCGACGAGTTGATCTCCCAGATAAACCAGGCCACCAAGATGGCGGCGATCAGGAACAGGATGGTGCACACGGCTGAGTAAATTCTCTCCTGAAATTGTTTAACATAAAATCGTTCGCAAGAAATCATTGTTCTTACCAATCCCCAGGCGCGGATGTTCAAGAAGTTGAGAACGAAAAGCACGATGTTGATGATGACACAGACAAAGTTAAGTCCCGATGCGAAGCCAAGGCGTCCTTCTCCGAAGCAGGAGCGTCCACCATACCTGAAATATCAATATGGAATTAAAAATTATTCAGATAGTACTACTACCATTGGGAGCAGAGAAGGGAGCAGATGATGAATCCGCATACAATCTGAAGAATCTTGATGATTCCACGGTTCGCCGAAAGGTAACGAGTGTTGAGCGAAATTTCAGCCATTCTGTAAATAAAACAATCACTAGAAAGTCAAGCTGGAAAAGCTCAAGGAAAATGAAAGCAAATGACTTTGAAGAGAAGGATGGGAAATGGGGTGGCCGGTCTCGCAATATATCGCTCGTAGTAAACAATTGCCATTGGTATTAGATTGATGGATATCACGTGGTGGCGATGTTGGTGGTGGCAGCTCTGGCGAAGCAAAAGCATCAAAGACCAACGAAGACGCGATAGACTTATATATAGGCATCGGTCGGAATATGAAAAGGGTGTCGACGATCGTGCCCACTGGTGAGGCAACGAATTGACCGCCCCCCAATTCGCGTCGCAACGTGATTGGGGCCGACCTTCAGGCGGAAAAATGAAGATGTTTTGTGTCTACCGCGCCACGCCTCCAACAACGCGCCTAAACATACACACCCTCTCCTACACCTCCGTCGTCAGCAAAAGTTTTCAACTCAACCGCCCACTAAAAACATCCAAATTACTCATGTTGAAAAGAGAGACGCACACACGTAAAATGAGACGGGAGGACGGCAAAAACAAGCCCGGGAGGGCCCTCCCCTCAGCAATTCTTCATAGGCAGAAAAAAAAAACAAAAAATAAACAGCGTATTTATATTGTAAAATACATTGTCGGCGTATATTTACAAGTTAAAAGCCTAGGTGTTGACTTTCTCTCCCTAGTCCCGAAATATTCGATTCCCATAAAACAACAACAGCAGAACCAAAAATAACAACATGGCTGTCAAAAATAAATTGGTGGAGGGAGAAAAAAAATTGCTGGGTTTTCACCACAAAAGGACTCGCATAATTGTGGTGGGGGTCCGTCAAAAACCTTTCAAACGACATAGATGGATATACGCGTCTTTGCCGAAAGTAAGTGCATGTATCCCTTTCTATTCGATTGTTATTATTATTATTATTATTGGTATTGGATTTGGCGGAGGTCATGTGAAGCGACTGGGAAACCACTCAGTTGATGCATAAAGTGTCAAGGAGAATCAGAGTTGAGAGGCGGTTTTCAAGAAAGCGTGAAATTGTTCCACAAAAAATCATACGACAAAATGTGATCAGAAAACTCGTATGAGCATGCTCAAAGAGCACTATTAAATCATAACAGCCTGGATTGAAATTTCGAGACAACAAATAGATCAAAATTTATGAGTTATACTTGTATACATTTTTAATGAATCTCCAAATATTTGAAACATAGTAAAATGGTTTGGAAAGGCTTATTTCTCTTCTTAACATTATATATATGTATATATATATATATATATATTTTTTTTTATAACCCCTTTTATCTGATCCATTTTACACATGTGCACTATAATCCCGAGAACCAGATTTTGAACTTTTGTCAACAATTAAATATGTATTCACTTTTTGGTGATTCAATTATTTATTATTTCATTTTTGAACAATTTCGCACTCATTACTATTTTATCGTTGTTCGTTTGGGTGTTGTCGTCAATAGAAGAAGAACAATGATATGTTCATAGTCTTGTTTACTCCTCAATGTGTTCATTGGAGAAAATGAAATGGTTAAAAAAAAAGAGAATCGTTGTAAATTTTTGAAATTGATTCCAGGCGGTTGGATGCCAGATGAAGCCATTAAAAACACATGTCGACGGATGCGATTTTTAAGAAGTCACGAACAATCTACGATTGAACACCAGCCATTGTGTATGGTTACTTGACGGGGATTTTTGGGTAAACACTCTGCTCATGAATCGAAATTCACATAAAAGAATGAAAAAAATAGACATCATTTAGTATCTACATTTCTATTTCCGGGTTTTCCATTTTATTGAAAAGGCAAATGAGGGATTGATGGTCCTTTAGATAAAAAGAGTGGAGTCCCAAAGTCCCCGAGCAATAGTATGATTTAAATAGTGAAGGTATCAATGGCCAGAGATGACACTTGCCACTGATTTCAAAATTTTCTGCTTTCAAACTAACCAAAGTAACATATAAGCTTATACAGTGCTCCACATAATTATACGGTCAATTGATTTTTTCTCAAAATTTCGAAAATTTTGAAAGTTTCGGGAAATCTTCCCATTGAATAATTATCCACATTTAGCAGCATTTCATCTGTTTATAACAAAAAATTACAAAAATAATTGTACATAATCTTATCATAAAATTAACAAAAAAATTGAAAATTTTCTTCCACATAATTATACGGTCAGTAATGAGATATGATGCAAAACGATTCAAAAACGTAAAAATAAACAAAGAACAATTCTTAATAATCAACTGGACCACCATTGCATCTGACTATATCAAAAATACGGTTATCCATTGATATATATAGATTATCAAGAAGTGTTTCATCAACAAGTTTCCATGAAGCGATAATCGCTTTTTTGAGGTCCGAAACATTGTCATAACACTTGTTTCCCTCATAAATTTTTCGTACCATAAATCCCCACACATTTTCGATTATGTTCAAATCAGGAGAACAAGCGGGCCAATTCAAAATTGGGATCTTTCTGTCATTTAACCATTTGATTGTTCGACGAGCACGGTGACACGGCGCTCCATCTTGCATAAAAATAAGCTGGCGGTTGCGATACGAAATTAACATGACCAACGAATTTTTTTTCATTTTTTTCGAAAAAGTGCGAAAAAAAAATCCACATAATTATACGGTCACTTTTATTTTTTGACCTTTTTTCAATTTTTTTTTCAATTTTCAAGTACTCGAAAATTTTTTAAATAAACGTTTATTGTTTTCTAGGTATGAGTAGAGGAAAAAAGCTCACAGAGTATGAAAAAGGTCAAATTGACGCTAAATTAGCCCAAGGGCTCTCTCATCGTCAAATTTCGAGAGATATGGGCCGTTCGCAAGACGTAATTTCTCGATATGCGGCCAATCCAGCAGAATATGGCACGAAAAAGTCTACTGGCCGCCCATCTCTCCTTTCGAACCGAGAAAAGCGTAGAATTCTACGCAGAGCATCAAACTCAGTCATCTCCTGTTCAAAAATCAGAAGCGAACTCAAACTTCCCGTCTCCAATGAAACCGTCCGACGGGTTTTAAGCAAGAGCATGTTTATTAAAAACAGGAAAATGAGGAAAGGACCAATGCTGACCCGAATCCACAGAGAAAATCGATTGCAATTCGCCAAAATGAATCAGCATACTGATTGGACTCAGGTTAGGATTGCAGCTGCACTCTTTAAATTTGGTTTCATATGTCAGGTTATTTTTTCCGATGAAAAAAAGTTTAACTGCGATGGACCAGATGGATTCCGCAATTACTGGCACGATCTTCGTAAACAGAAACTGCGTTATTCCCGCCGAAACTGAAAATGTCTGCGTAATGTTTATTACAAAAATTTTTATCTAAATAGAGTAATGGTAGTTAAATGTGTTGTAAGTCGGAAAACTCGAATTACAATTTAAACATTATCTAAAGTAAGCGTTAGACAACAATAACGAACGAAGCGCAATTTAATTAGTTAACGGATAATAATAACAATAATGGCTAGTCGGGGGAATGGATAGTATGTGAATACAAATAATAATGAAGCAGCACGGTAGGAAAATATAAACAACAGCGAAAACCAATCAAGTAACTCGGGTCCGGGCCTAAAACAATCCAACAACTCAACTTCGTGTATTTGCGCGCCAACTCTGGTGTGTGTGTAAACACCGTGATATTCACCGTAACCGCAGGATTTAAATTGCTAATATCTTTCTTCATATTTTCTTGCTCCTCGCAACAAAATGAAATTATTATACCACCAGATTTTCAATCCATACCAGTGTCACGGCAATTAAAATATATGAAATGATTCCATATGCGAATTTAGTTTTGCCTAATTATTAGTCAAAATAGTTTTTGTGATAGATTTCTTATATACAGAAATAAAAAAAAAGCGCACCATCAATACTGTATTTATTTTTAAAAGATCTAAAATCACATTCCTAAATTGCGCCCAAAATTTGCGAGAGAATAGACATGAAAACCAATACAAATCGAAATTCGACGAAAAAAATTAAACTAGTTTCAGTATAGGTAAAAACATAATTGATTTTTTAAAATTGTACGAGGACAGGAATTGAAACAATAAAACTGAAATAATGAAGTATTTTCGTTATGTTTATTTCAATCAAGGTTTGCAAACAATGGTATTTGGTGTTCAATACCGATTATCCTTGGAGAACATTCATCTTCAAAGATGGTATTTTTGTGCGCCGCAAGTTCACCCAACACTCCGGATGGCAATACCACATTGATCATTGGAAATTGAGGTACAATAATATAGTTTTCTCAAAACCGGACCCCATCAAAATTTCCGCAACATTAATCAAAAGTTATTGCTTCGCAAAACCTTTGAGTTATGTCCGAAATATTATAAATTTAGATTTCTTATCACAAACGCAGCTCGTCGTTGGAGGATCCTCATCATTCGCCCTGTCACGAATCTCTTCAACCTCTATGAATTCTTTAGAGTATTAACCAACTTCTCTGAATACTATGAGAAGTAAAATGGCAGCGAAACAATTTTCGCGGTAATTATGGTATTTCAGACATTCGCCTGACGACAAACCATTGGCAATGATTCGCACATTCCATTTTCAATGGAGGTTGCATGTTGAAGAAGATGAAGTTGGGGGTATTCTTCATGATAAAGTAATACATATAGTGAACAATGATAATTGAGAGTAACAATATTTTATTAGGATATCGGTACAGGAGGAGAAATGCTTCACACTTTGACCAATGTGGTGAAGCATCTTCACGGCTTACAATCAATATCTCTTATTGATTTACAGCTAACTGCGTGGGAAGCTGAACAGTTCATTATTGAAGTATATAGAATGCTAAAACTATGAATTAGAATTTCAAAATTTCCCCAAACTTTTCCAGAGAGCGTCTAGTTGTCGGTTTATTGGACTTGAAGTTGACATCCCTTTAAGCTCATGTGTCTTATGGGATTTTGAAACAAATTCTTTATAATTTTGATCCACGAATTAGTTTTAAAATTCTCCAAGAAAAGGCTTAATACATTATATTTTGAAATTTCATACAATCGAGCTCGAGTGGTGTTGTAATATATTTTTTTAATTTTTGAAAGACCTAATTTTTATAATAGCACAATTCTCTACAAATAGCAGATTTACGAATATCCAGCTCAGACATAATTCAAATAATGATAATATTTTAGAATAAGACTATTACACTTGAGTCAGCTCGAATCTGGCTTGAAAGAGATTTTGTCGGTATTAGTTCGACTTTGCAATCTATTTTTTCAGCTACTCGAAAAATTCTCTACTCAATTACGGTATCTCAGCCTATTGAATGTTACTTTACATGCAAAATCATTTTTACAAATCGGATTATTCCTGAACCTTGAAAAACTTCTAATCTCGCCACAGATGCTTCAAATCGATTCATTGTCATTGATATCGTGTTTACGGCATCTAACAACATTTTGTATTATTCAGGTGGGCGTAGCCATAAGCCGACTAGCATAGTATTCATTCAGGATGAGAAGAGTGTTGCAGCGCCGTGCTGTAACAAGGAAGCATGGAAACAGTTCAAAGCTCAAAATTGTGGGAGAACAAAAGTGTGGCTTATCCTTAAAGGCAAACCGAAAATCCCGCTGATTATCCAGCCATTCGCGCCGGTTTATGGAATAAAAATGGAAATGAGTTCCGGACAATTAACGCATGAAGTCGCCGATGACGTGAGACAATTCCACTCTTCGAGAATATGCTGGAATTGAGTAATGACGACTATTTTCAGATTGTCAATTTCTATTCTGAGACGTTGTGCCAATTCGTGCAATGCGGTTTGGAGAGAATGAAACGAGGAAACAAAATGAGCGAAAGAGCTGATTCGGCGATCGTTCGAATCGCGAGCAGGTTGACTGAATATTTTTTTTTAACTAGGATTCAAAAATTGTGATTTCAATATTCAAACTTTCCAATTTCATAAATTCGCTTTAATTTTTTCAAAATAAAAATAATTTAAACATAACGTGTTACATTAGCATCAGAAATTAATACCACATCTTAAAAAATCATGGAAAATTACTATAATAGTGAAATTATTTATTCAGATGCCGCAATTTAGAAGTTCTCACATTCCGCGAGCACCTTTCCCATGGGACTGCATTGATTCTCGGCGTTTATTCAAAGAGAAACAATTTCAAGCTTATTATCAGGAAAAATGCCATGCTTAAGAGGGTACTCCTTTTTAAGTAGCTCTCATTAATGACCATGTCTTTTAGGTATGCTGGTGTCGTCGCGACCTTCGAGAGTTTGACATTGACTTTGATTGGCTCAAACAAATCTCCAAGAATCGAGACGTCTTGATCAATGAAATCCAAAATCTCACTGAGAATTCATGGACCGTTCTAGAGGACAGAATGTATAAATCGATTTTGACATAAAAGCATATTATTAACATAAAAAAATTTTTCCAAGCTTGTTTTGAGATTTCAAGTCTTAATCCTAAAAGTTCCTTTGCTAATATGACCTCAAGGTCAGAAATATTCTGGAAAAAAAGACCAAGTGAGAACAATGAAAGTCGTCGGCTATTTTCTCAAACAATGCTATTCAACTAAATCGTTTCTGCGAAAACTCGAAATTCAAAATTGACATTTCAATTTATGTTATTGTTATTCTACATGATGTCTGTTGAAATATTAATCTGAATTGGTTATTGAAAAAAAAAAAGAACCCTATTTGGCATGGTAAACACTGCTCTTCGGTTTTCGTTGTCGTTTTTAATTATTATTTATTCTTGTCTGTTTTCCTTGCCTATCATTTTTTTTTCAAGGCACTTGCCATCTCCTTTTTTGCTTTACTATTAGCCTAAAGTTGATATCGAAGAGCCAATTTTGTTGGAAAAATGAAACGGTGTATCGGATTTCGCATCAGAGCGAAAAAATGTCGAAAATTGCAACGACTAAACGTCAAGTTCCAAGTTTATTTTGTGACTTTGCTTGTTTCGCATCACATCTGGCCATTTATGTACAATCAATTGATATGCATAATTTCTTGAACACATGTTTCTCTGGAATTCCAAACTTGTGCTGCCTTCGTTCAAAGTTTATTTCAAAGTTCTTTCCCGATCTCAATACTCCGCATGTATTTCAGATTCCCCGAATTTTACTACTCATGCTAATCCATTAAAAATTCCAAAAACAATTTCGTTGACGAGACCAAAAAAGTTAAGACGCGGATTTCTCCCTAATACATTTGTTTGACTTCTTTTTTCAAATTGAAAGCATACTAGTTTAAATCAGATAGCATTAATAATAAAGTAATTTTTTTTATTTATAAACAACGTATAGTCAGCGTCCGGCGACGCGGGTAGATTTACGGGAATGCGTCTTTTGAAATGGTCTCGCAAGGATTAACAGGTTCTGTCAAATTTTATGGTCCGGTTCGATAATTTTTTAATCGAATGACGTTAGAAATTCAAGGAAATGCGAAACTCATCAAGAAAAATGAAGCAGTTCACGTGAAAACAGCAAAATAAGCAATCACGCGTGGCGAGACCTTTTCAAGGCGCATGCGCTTAAATCTACCCGCGTACAGCAGTCGCCGGACGCCAACTGTATTTCCGTAATAATGTACTATTTTTTGCATACTTAATTAATATGAACTTTTCAAATGTTACTCGATGCAGTTTCAGTATTTGTTAGTAGAATCAGAATTACAAAACCAGTTCAATTTTCACCTGTTTTAGATGAAGTATAAACAAAAACGAAGTTGAGTTCATTGAATTTTTCTAATAAATATTTCCATCAAAATTCTTTACTATAAGCTATAAAATTTTTGTTTTATTAGAATCACAAGGCCGCAATTTTATTATCATTGAGGATAATCGAAATCACGGCAGCCTTCAGAGTTTCATAAGATTATAAATAAGACCATTCAGATTTTTAGACACAAACTGTTAGGACAAAACCACCACCTTGGACTTATTCAACTCCAATGTAAAAATGTTCTCAAAACGTTTAGAAAACCAGTTGAGCGCGTTTTAGACAAAATGAATAATCAAAATGTCTTGATTCACATTTTCTTTTTAACTGTGATAATAATGGGAGATTTTCTGGAGAAGGACTGCGGGGTCAAATTCCCTTGTAAGCTTGTATTATCCCGTTTTAATTTTATTTTTAACATAATACAAAATCCTTGTAGGAATACAATCGGAATTAGAACAATAAGCAAGATTTTTTATTTGGATATTCAAAAATTGAAGATATTCGTTCATTAAGTTCTTAAAACATTGTCTTATTTTGTAGGACAAATAATACGTTTGTTATAATAATAATGATGTATAGGACATTTTTAGGAACAATATCTAAATCACTATTCTTAAATGATTACTCATTCCTCATCATAGTCTCTATGTTTGACCATAATTCACTTCGGCTTATCCTACCTCGTTCACACTGCGTTTGGTTAGTTTTTTTTGCAGCGTTATTATCATTGCGCTCATAAAAGGCACCGCCTCCAATTTCGATTCATTCTGTCGCTCGACGCCGTCTTGCGCATACGACTCCGTCTTCAGTTCGACATGAGTCTTCAACTTGGTTTCATTATCTCATTACTTGTTAGTTCAACCACGGCCAGCATTCTATTCTCCAGTAATTTATTCAACAAACCGCCTGGTGTTGGCGACTCTGAAGATGCGCTCATCCAACAAGCACAACCAGTTGACCCGGTTCCCATTGATGATATCAACGATTTCAAAACGTAAGATTCAAATCGTTGAATTTTTCTAATTTTTTCTTGTTCAGTGAGCACGCACGAAACTGTTTTTTCACGCCGGTTCAATGTTTCCTGCCGCAAACAGAAGCTCACAAGGATATGCAATCCGTTCATAGTGTCTACTATCCAACCCATACGCGTAGAAGTGTCAAAGCTCCATGGTCGTACGCAGAAATGATAAAACGAAGTGGTGATAACCGTTTCTACCATTGGTTGGCACAATTTTAAACAATTGAATAAAATTAATTTAATATGTTGAATCTTGCTGTACTGTATTGTTGAGTTATTGGAGACAAATAAATGCAACCGGGTTAATTGCTTGTATTATTTGTTTTTTAAGAACTATGAATAATTGGTTCCAGAAATTTATAAAATATACTATACACATTTTAGAGTTCCAGAATAAGATTTTAAAGATGAGAAAGTGTTACCTTCTTGGAGCATCATATATATATATGAATTTTTCGTTGTTGAGAATGTGTGACCCTATTATAAATTGATTCAACCGCTCCTCAAATCAAATTACGAGTAATTTCCAAATGTTGCACACAGCAACAAAGAATGCTTTGTTCTTCGTTCCCAAAGACTAAAAATTGTAAAAGTAGATGCTAAACTCCACACAAATAGCGAGTATAGATATAGTTGAGAATATGATTGGAATTTCTTTTAACGTTTGTTGGCTTTTCTGAAGCACAAATCAGCGTAATGTTGTCCCGGAAATAATAAAAGAATGTGTTAAAATATACTTCCTGCTTCTTTTCTTGAAACCTGCTATTTAAAATGTTCGATCTCGTGAATACTAAAATGCCGAAGGGAAAGTACAAAGACCTTACGTAAATTTACAAATATACGATCTCTGATAATATTGAGTTGATTTCTGAATTCTGCGTTCACAGTATTGTTCTATGCATTTGAAGATTATTGATTAATCAACGTTAATGCTTGAATTCTAAACAGCTATTATTTTGCTATTATTTATCACACTTGCCACCCCCCCCCCCTCCGCACATGTCATTTTCTTGATTTTTCCCTTCGAGATTATTGGGATCGCGTGGGGGGGATTCTTTTGTCGAATCCGATGTTTGATGGGAATTTCGCATATTTATAGAATCATAATAGTTTTAAGCTGCATTTCTCAAATTGAGCGGTGATATCAAAAAATTAGAAATCAGAAAATCGAAGTTCGCTAATGGATGGCAATGTTGATGGAATTTTCCCGAATAAGTTCGCATTTCAATTGATAAATAATGACGCCAAACTATCAACAAGGAATTTGACGTGTTTAGTTTGAATTTTAATAGGTTGATTGAAGTCTGTGCAAGAGGAGCAGGAAGTGGGTAATTGTTTGAAAAAAAAATGATTCCATAAAAGACCCACCCACTAATATTCAACGTTTAATCGTCATAACCTGACCTTATCAGTTCCTGCCCTTAGTATAATAAAAAAAAATGATGTTTTCAGTTTAAATATTAATTCAATTTTCATTAAGAACTTTATTATCATAGATCAAATAAATTTGCGTCCAAATCCAAATATGTCAAACAAAACAATTGCATACGCAATGCACTTATTATCTTCGCGCAAAAGACAAAAATCAATTATTTAATAATATGCAAAAATATATGCGACCTACAAGTACTTTATTTTCGCACAAATTTAAAACTAATTGAGAGTTGAATGTCAGAAACTTGTTGACACTATGTGGAACGAGGATAAAGATAAGCCAACGGCAGCTGAAGTTCAAATGGACTGGGGAACTCATATTAGTGGAAAAACTGGAACCAAGAACAAACCGTATAACTGAAACATATTTAGTTTAATTGCATCGCTGGCAATTGGCTTTCTGGTTGTTGCAGATCCACTGTGCTTTGTTGTTCCTTTATGGGTTCCGGCAAAGCTGATAGTGACAGTGTCGATCTACGGAATTATTATTGAACTATACTAATAATATTTTACACATACCGATTGTTTTCCACTCTGGGTGACAGTGGGGGCATTGATAACAATTTCATCTCCGTTATAAATGTATGTACCTTCACCTCCGGCAAGAGCAACAACTGTGTAAGCAGCAAACTCGAATTCCGGTGATGTGTTCAGCAAAAAGCTCTTCTCCAATGCAAGATCATTGTTAAGCAGAAACTGCAGATCAATGGCGATTCCCTGAAAACAGGACAATGTCAATGACGACAATTGATTATGCATATAAGGACGCGCGTCAACCGTTTCTGTCCTTATCATCAAATTACAATTTTTAGCTTGTTATATTCAAATGTCGTTAAAAATGCACCACGCGTTGGACATTAATGACGATGATGAGTCATTTGCAGCCGTTTCCGAAAAGATTCGTCGTAGATCAACGATAAATCTCGGAAATACGCGACAAAGGTATTTATAAAAATTGCGATTTCGTTATAGTTTTCCGAAATGAAGCAAAAGGCAACATTTTCAGAACTTTGCGACTATTCAGATTGAAAGTCTACAATTTTCTAGAAAAGCCTTTAAATGCAGCATCAGCACCGTATCACTCATTAATATTCACCTTAGTCATTATCAATATAATATTGGGAGCAGCAGCTTCTGCTAATGATGATTTAGTGTCATGTAGGTTATAGTTAAGGTGTCAAAGATTTATTGTAGAAAATTATAGGGTCCCATTTCTACCTCGAAGTTGTTCTCGTTTTATTTTTTATTCTTGAATTCATTGTTCGCCTCTGGTCAGTTAAAGCAGATGCAAAATATCGAAGTCGATGGGGTATTATAGTACTCTAATTTCAATATTAATATAAATTTAATTTAATTTTAGGCCGCATATACTATTTATTTCATACGGTAACCCTCATTGATCTATGTATTATACCAGCAACGATATTACTCCTTGTTTTCGAAAGCCGATATGTTGACGGAATAACTTTAGACAGCTTGCGTTTCATACAAGTTATCAGTAATCGAGGTTCCGGCTGATAATTTGTTTGTTTTTAGATCTTACGCCTTTTTCATGTTGATCGACAGATGGCCACGTGGAAGTTGTTGAAAAAAATGATAATGTTAAGCAAGTTTGTGGAATTTCATAGAGAAATTTTTGCGAAAATTCAATTTTCAGATGGCATTTATTTGCTGCATACTATATCACAATATTTTTACTCATCACTATGGCCACCATTATCTATTCCACAGAAGCTTACGCGCAAGGATTAGAAGATCAAGGATATGGACTAAATGGTCCAAATGAGACAGTTCCAACGTTCCCAACAATGGCTCATTCCTGGTGGTTCACAGTAGTTACCGTACTCACAATTGGTTATGGAGACATTGTGCCGAAAGGGGCATTCACAAAAGTTGTTGTATGCATTCTCGGATTTTTGGCGTTTTGCACATTTCAGGCGGCAAACACTCAAATCTCCGTGGGTGTGTTTTTCAACTATATTATTAGCGTTATTTAACTAGCAAAAAATGCATTTAGCTGATGATTGATCCCTACATAGAACATTTGAAATTAATTATGGTCTTATATGCCATAAATATGCGTTCTCGAGTTTATATTCAAATGAATATTTTTGTTTCTCAGGTATGACTTTGATGATGGAGGAAGAGAATAAGGAAAAGTGTCAGTCTCGTCTTCGAAATATCGCGGCTTCTACTATTCAAGTATGGTGGAGATACCATTTGGCTACCAATTGGAAGCCACATATTCGTTACGTTTACTTTACTCATGTTTGTTATAAGTTATACGTGACTGAAGAACGAATCAACCAAAATCGAGCACTCGCCAAAAAAATTCGGGAAAAGTTGGAAAGGTATTAGATATTATAATGGTCCAATTAGCTAACATTTTTCAGAAAAAAATCGCAGAAAAAGAAGTCGATTGTTAATCAAGGCTCGGTTACAGCAGAATTACTGAAGTTGGGAATCAAAGGAGCTGTGAAACCAGTTATTGAGGTACATATCATTTTTTTTAATTACAGTAATTTTTGCTTTAATCTACATATTTCAGGCAGATAGAAATGATAAAGTCGCCGCGTTCCAAAGAAGAACAGTGAGTATATCATCGTTTCAAGAAAACATTTTTTTTTTTCAGCAAAGCGAAGAACAAACCACTATGACTGAAGGCTATAGCTCATCAGTAAGATTTGTAAACGATGCTTATATAATAATAATCGTATTACAGAAAAAGCGTGTACTCTTTGCTGAGCGTCGAAATCATACTGTAGAAACTTCAATGTCCTCATCGTTAGATATTTCTGATGTTGACGCTCATATTGAAATGCGGAATATTCTCGCAGAAAATGTTGATGATTTTACGCCCGAGGGTAATTCGATTAATTATTAGCAATTAATTCATAATTCTGATTAAGAAGTTGATATAAGCTTGCTGATGAAATATCGACCGTTATTGCGTTTCTACAACTTTATTCTATTCCGATTTTTAATGAAGAAATTCAGAGTAATTTGATTCAAACTATTTTAAGTGCTATATTTTCTTCTTAGAATCAACGAAAAGCCGGCGAGCTTTTGACGATTGAAGAAGAAATCTCAGAAAGGGAAAATGCGAGAAATATTAAGATGAAAGAGGCAGCATCAATATTTTATATATCCTCGTAATTGATTTAATTACAGCTCGAAGCTACTATTATTTCTCTTATCGGAAAACCAACAATTTCTCCATTCGACTATTCGGGAAGAAAAATCTCACTTCTTGAAAGAATTGACTATTGTGAAAGAAAAATGGACGAAATGGAGATGAAAGTTGAACGTATTCAAGAAATCACCCTTCGAATAGTGGATCTCGTAGAGTAATCGTTATTTTTATAATTCCTTCTAATGTTTCCATTTAGGGGAAAAATTGGCCACGGACGACCACCTAAACATCCTGGGAAAAAAGTTCGCCGTCATGCGCCAATTCCCGAGCTCGACAATGTCGATGATGAAGAAGACGATGAGGACGACACAACGGAATGAATCTTTGTCATTTTTTTACAAGCCGCTAGTCATAAAATATATGTATCCACGTGCTTCTTATCAGAATTTTGGTGTTTTCACACTTACGTTGATTTTGGTGAACCATCCGTGATAGTTAATATCGCCTGACGCCTCTTGCAAATAGAATCCGTACCAATTGGAGAAGCTGGTTACGGTCTTTTCAGTGATTTCACCAACAAAAACTGATTTGAATCCGCAACTTCCTGTGACAGATTTTCTCGCGTATGGCAAAAACCACAAGTTATAAAGTTGAGTCTTAAAACTGGCTTTGTCATTGGTCGCCAAACCTGAAATTTCTGAATTTTCATCGGTATGAATTTTGGCTATACCGAGAGATTGAAGGAATGTCCATGCGGCGGTCATTGGTGTAGTTTCGACAATCGTATCAATGAAGTTGGCAATTGCAGTAGAGAAATCAGAATCAATGGGAATTTCACTGTCATGTTGATAGAATTTCTAAACATTTTTCGAGTTTTAACCACTTAACAAGAGTTGCCTACCGAAAGGGTGGCAATTTGTGTGTAAATTGGTCCGGCGTTGACAGATCCATCAACCTGGGTGAATAAGGGATCCTTAGCGTTGTCATGATCTGGTGATTTCTTAGAAGCCATGTTCTAGAAAGCTTGAAGTAGTTCAAATTTTTTTTCTCTTCTACCTGATAGTTGAGAGTCACGAGTGAATCGGTTCTTGTGTCCTGACTTGCTATCGTAGTAAGGAAGTTGGTCACAGCAGCAGCATCCCGATTAATTGGAACACCTTAATACCCTTTGTTTCATGTTGTTTCAAAATCAGATCTTACTGTATGTGTAGTGGAAGAGTATGGCGGCGAGAAGAACGTTGGTGAAATTCCAAGTCTGCATAGTTCTGCAATAAACGAATATGGAAATGTCACTGATTTTTAAACTATCGCTAGCATACCTAAATGGCTCTTATCACACATTTCAAACCCGCTTTTATCTGTTTCCCCAGCTCCTGTATCTGCATGATTCGTGATGACGCCTATTCGATTTTACTACCGATGAAACGACATCAAAGAATTTTATGTCATGGACAGAGCATTCAGACAAAGTGCAACAGATCATTGCTGCCGTTTTCCAAGAAATTTGATTATAATACCGGGTCATGAAGCGAACAGAAAATTCAAATACCTCCGCAATTGAATCCATTGAAAGTTCAAACGGTTTTCATAATATTTTCTAGTATTTATGCATCGAGTCTTCATTATGTATAAGGAAATATGTGAATTGATTATTTTCTCATATCGATCCCTGAAAAAAGTAAAGTCTCTTTTGAATTTTTTAGTTTCTCCTCAAACATCTGGAAGCCTCAATGCAAAATTTATCATGTTTGCCGTTGAGAAAATCTCTTTATGTCGACAACATCTGGCGTTGTGTTAAACAACCTAAGCATTATATCATTGTGATGTGGCCCACGGAAAGGTTCTATAGAAGCATATGTAAGTATGTACATGTCATATTACAAATGAGAAAGAAGCCAAAAAAGCTTCCTCAGCAGGCGCCTTGTTTCCTCTAACATATTGAAGTCTTACCAAAGTGTCAACAGTAATACATTTTCTTCGTGACGTGAAAACTTAGACATGTGCACATGTGTTCGAAATCATATTGCCTCACGGTATTGGTGATCATTAACATAAATCTCGACGATCATTTCATCCGAGCATCTGAGCAGATATAAATATTAACATAATTAGCTACAGACATTCAGTCTTGACAGATTATACTGTTTCAGTTTCGAATTTAAAAAAAAACTCACAAACCCAGACAGTAAAAGTTAATACAGGGATTTTTGCCCTTCTCATGAATTATTCATAACGTTCGTTATAAGACCACCATTTCAAATATTGCACTGAAACTATCTACCGACATTTTCATGAATCGGCAAGAATTCTACACTCTCCTGTTTTTATTTTCGCTGATAACGTGCAGTGTAAAATGCGTCACGCTCATCTGGCATTAGTACTTATCGGTATCTCAAATTACTCGGATTTCATTTCACTTTATTAACGTTTTTGTTTTCTCGCTATATCGAACAACATTTTTTTCATATACTATGCCGTCGTTGATCATTTAAACATAGATTTTGTTCTATGCGCTCCACATTTACCGATAAAACGTGTTGTTTGAATCCGGGAACAACGTGAGACCATCGATAAAAATGCAAAAGTTATCAGTAATAAAATGCGAGAAATTTGAAAGTAGTTCGTACCTTGAATTTAATTTCAATTCCTAACAGATTTATTTTTGAATGAATGGAACTATTGGAATATTTTTTTAAATATTCAAATCCCTTTACTTATTTAGTATATTTTGAGTACGGAATTTCAACTATCAAAGAGTGTGATCTATTATACTACGATCAAATATTCATCGTAGTTTAGTTCATTCGGTTTTTTTTTTTTTCGGTTGTTTATATGTAGTTTTGAAAAAAGCCAAGAGATTCTTTTGAAAGGAATTAAAAGTTTATTGTAAAGGTTCAATGCTGAAAATCTCACTGGTCATGGTCTCTTCGACACGACTACATATTTTAAAAATGTTCTGGTCTCGAACTTGTTGAACTGAAAATTTGACGTAGCTGTGATAAATAAATTCTTGTCTCAAGCAGAGTTTCTGATAACAACTTCCGATTGCACCCAAATGTTACGAAATAGGTCATAAGTAATACGAATGACTGCATTTTGGAAAATATTTGGAAAGCACTGACAAGGGTCATCGTTTTTAAACATATTCACGGTTTTTTTTTCAAAATTGACTTCTATAATCAACGGAAAATTCTCAATTAACTGTGAATGTTACTACCTACAACACCTGGGTTTTGAAAATTTGAATCTGAAATTAATGTGAAATTTTCTACAAACATTTCAGTCACTTATGTATTACAGTAATTGATAATAAATATATGAGCCAATTAAATTTTCAGGAAACTTCTTGGCACATTCCGTTCCCGAAACCCTCAAACACATAAAGAATTTATGCCAACGACAAATTCTTACATCTATTTAATAATGAATGCCATTTTTAAATTTTCAACAAATTTGTTGATATTCGTCACCAATTTATGACGAAAATATTTGTTTCCTTGAGCAAACACCTTAAAAAAACCACAAGCAATCAACAAAATTTTAAACGGATAAGAAAAGAAAATTTCAAAAACTACAGGCATATAAAATGAAAACGGAATATTGTGTAGTAGTTAGATTAAGAAAGAAATTCAGAATTAGTCTAGATTGACACGTTGAGAAATTTTGCTACCTTTTTACAATTGCTTAAAGACTAAAAAAGTGAGCTGCAGAAGATCTGTTAATCATTGTCGGTAAATGGTGACAATTTCTTAGCACACCTAAAGACTTGTCGTGAATTAATAGTAATCCTTCTACAACGTTTCAGCATGTCTATAAGAAATTACCAGAATTTTGTTATAAAATAAAAAATTCGAAGCGAAAGAATGAAAAGCAAGAAATTGCATTTTCGTTGCAGAAAATGTGGTAATACAATACACATCAGTACCCAACTTTCCCATTTTTTTTCAAATAAAACTACACATGACCTTCTAAAAAACAATTTTCACTTTTCCTCACTTCATTTCACCTTCACTATCATACCATATTTGCCTTTCCAGGAACGGCAAACACTGGTGACTCATAACATTCACTCTATCTTTCGCCCCCGTTGCAAAATTTTTTTTTATAAAACAATAATTTCGCCATTCCGCTACAATATTCTACATTTTCTTTTTGTCGTTTTAATTATTTTTTTGTGTTGTTTTAGTCAGAAAGAAAGAAAAACGATACTATATAAAACCGGTGTTGTATTCAAATTTTGCAGCTTTTCCCCGAAAATGCCGATCATCACAACGACTACCACAAGAACCACGAGGACGTACACCAGCGCGCACGGAACTAATGGGTAAGTCTTTTTGTGCCGTTCTTTTGCCTTCATCAAACATCTTCTCATCTTGTGATCAAATTCCATGAGTGTTATTGACAATTGTCGAAATGTTTTTCGGTTGGACCCCTTTTTTCCTTCCTTCCTCTCACCTCCAATCGACTGTCTCTCCGTATTATGTATCGTTTAGTGCCAAATCATTTGATCGTGTCAAATTCAAGGTTCCGTTTTTGTTATTTTTGTTGTTGACCGTATAATTATGTGGAGCACTGTAGAAGATGGCTCTACTATGTATTTGTTTTATTTTTTTTTTCGTTAGGGCATCATTCTGGACGCACATTGAAAATGTGTCAGTTGTCGCGAAAAAAAAGGAATTTGATTTCAAATTGATTTTCTAATTAGTAGCACAAGATGTTTGGTCCCTATTGCTCGGCTTTTTAGAGCTTGGCACATCTAGTATCCAGCTATTCAAATGGGGAATATTTTTAGAACGGGGAAATCGATTACGGTATTTTGAGGATTAAACAATCTGTGTACATTTCAAGGTTTTATTCGTTTTCTGTTTCTTGTTCTTGGCAAATAGTGTTCCTTGTTAACGATTGTTTCCCATAGTATAAATGTTCTTAATGTTTTCAACGCATTTTGTGTTCTTTTATCAACTAAACCCAAATTCTGACAACGTTGGGAAGGGAAGGGGATGTAAAAACGCAGATTAAAGAAAGCTGTTGTATAGTGTTTTCATCCCAATTGAACTCATGTAATTTTTTGAGTCATCAGCGAGGTGGTTTCCAAGGTCAGTATACGCCTCAAAATTTACCGACATAAAGGAGCGTCCTGTTTTCAAAAATTTTTTTTTGATTCTCTTGTGGTCGACAAGACAACAGAATTTCAACGCCTGACCATAAACCTTGAATTTGACACGATCAAATGATTTGGCACTAAACGATACATAATACGGAGAGACAGTCGATTGGAGGTGAGAGGAAGGAAGGAAAAAAGGGGTCCAACCGAAAAACATTTCGACAATTGTCAATAACACTCATGGAATTTGATCACAAGATGAGAAGATGTTTGATGAAGGCAAAAGAACGGCACAAAAAGACTTACCCATTAGTTCCGTGCGCGCTGGTGTACGTCCTCGTGGTTCTTGTGGTAGTCGTTGTGATGATCGGCATTTTCGGGGAAAAGCTGCAAAATTTGAATACAACACCGGTTTTATATAGTATCGTTTTTCTTTCTTTCTGACTAAAACAACACAAAAAAATAATTAAAACGACAAAAAGAAAATGTAGAATATTGTAGCGGAATGGCGAAATTATTGTTTTATAAAAAAAAATTTTGCAACGGGGGCGAAAGATAGAGTGAATGTTATGAGTCACCAGTGTTTGCCGTTCCTGGAAAGGCAAATATGGTATGATAGTGAAGGTGAAATGAAGTGAGGAAAAGTGAAAATTGTTTTTTAGAAGGTCATGTGTAGTTTTATTTGAAAAAAAATGGGAAAGTTGGGTACTGATGTGTATTGTATTACCACATTTTCTGCAACGAAAATGCAATTTCTTGCTTTTCATTCTTTCGCTTCGGAATTTTTTATTTTATAACAAAATTCTGGTAATTTCTTATAGACATGCTGAAACGTTGTAGAAGGATTACTATTAATTCACGACAAGTCTTTAGGTGTGCTAAGAAATTGTCACCATTTACCGACAATGATTAACAGATCTTCTGCAGCTCACTTTTTTAGTCTTTAAGCAATTGTAAAAAGGTAGCAAAATTTCTCAACGTGTCAATCTAGACTAATTCTGAATTTCTTTCTTAATCTAACTACTACACAATATTCCGTTTTCATTTTATATGCCTGTAGTTTTTGAAATTTTCTTTTCTTATCCGTTTAAAATTTTGTTGATTGCTTGTGGTTTTTTTAAGGTGTTTGCTCAAGGAAACAAATATTTTCGTCATAA